GACGACCTCCCACTGCCGAGCATATATGAGTCTGCGTAGGCAGAAGAGCGGGGTTCAGCAGACCACCGGCCCAACTCACACTCCATACTTACTCCGACTCATCACTCAATGGCCGGCGGTGGTACATCATCTCAGCCCTTGTCCTCTGCGCGCCGCAAAAACCTGGCCGGAAAGTCTGGATGGGTGGGTGCTTCTCCCTCGCCTCCATCGAGCGCGCATAAATGGGTGACAGGCGGGCTTAGTCGAGAATCGGCGCGTGTTTGTGATGGCGGTGTTCGCTTCGTTGGGTGGATTGTGAGTTGCTATTCCCGGTGCTCCTGCTCGTTTCGCTGACGCTACTTCGCATAGACTCTATGGTATGTTGTTTCACACTCTCGTTGTCTCATGTCTGCTGATGCTGCGTGTAAGGTTATAACCAGGTGAGTTGCGCCGCCGATAGCACTTTGACTGGTACTCAGGGCGGTTAGGGTGTCTTCTCGGGTGTCCTGGGGTGCGTCTTGTCCTGCTGTCTCGAGTACTTCTCACTGACGTTTGTCTGCTCAGAATGCGCAATTTTGACGATGCGTCCGTATCCGGTTCTTCCATCTTCGCTGTACATTGTGTCTTAACACCGACCAGGATGGGAAATGCTGTCACGGACTCCGGAAAGAAGGGTTGGCTCGTGTCCATCCTGGAGCTCGGCGCTTGTAAAGAGATCCCCACTCATTGGACTCCCGATACTGACTTTCTTTGCTAGGGCTCGGTGTTCTTCTGACGGGTTAGTTCTTATCTTCCCGCGCTCTTCCTCCATGACGATTGAGCAGGTTATATTGCCGACAAAATCTCGCGCAAGTATGCGGTTGTGGTTGGTAAGACGGACTGTTTATGCGAGTCCCCCCCAAAAAATCTAAGACTGGACAGCTGTGATCGTGTTCTGCATCGGTGTGATTGTTCAAACGACAGCTCATGCCTCTCCGTCTATCTACGGCGGTCGTTTCGTGACGGGTCTCGGAGTGGGGTCCTTGAGCATGGTTGTCCCGCTGTACAATAGTGAAATATCGCCCCCGGAAGTGCGCGGCAGTCTGGTCGCCCTGCAGCAATTGGTCTGTCTTGTCCCGCTGTCCGCCGTTTTCGTTTTCTCGCTCAACGCTCTTAGGCAATCACTTTCGGCATCATGATCAGCTTCTGGATTGATTATGGCACAAACTACGTATGTTTCTGATTCTCGTGATAATCCACATACCTGGACAACTTGGTATCATAGATTGGTGGCACCGGGGCGACTCAAAGTGAAGCTGCCTGGAGAATCCCTTTGGCGCTCCAGCTCGTCCCGGCGCTGTTCCTCGGCATTGGGATCCTTTGGATGCCATTCTCACCGCGGTGGCTGGTCAATCAGGGGCGGAACGACGAGGCTCTGGCTGTGCTCAGCCGTGTTCGCGGGCAGTCCTCCGATTCCGAGGTTGTCCAGATTGAATACCTGTGCGTTTTCAGACCAGGCAGTACCATAACGACCTGACATCTCAACGAAACCCAGGGAGATCCAGGCGCAGTATCTGTTCGAGAAGGAGACCCTGGAGAACAAGTTCCCTCAGTATCAGGATGGCAGTTTCTCTTCCGATTTCAAACTCGGGTTCTTTGCCTATTTCAGTTTGCTCCAAGAACGCAGCCTGCTGTATCGGGTTGCTGTTGGATCGCTTGTCATGTTTTTCCAGCAATGGACAGGCAAGTCTACTTTCGCTTCTACCTCGAGAGGTGTGTACTGAGCGGGATCAGGAATCAACGCAATCCTGTATTATGCTCCCAGCATCTTCCAGAAACTGGGGTTGACCGGAAATACCATCTCCTTGCTTGCGACAGGTGCGTCGTTGGCGATCTCAGTCAGGACTGGCTGCGTCTGACCGCGTCTTCTAGGTGTTGTCGGGATCTTGTAGGCATTGCGCTCTGACGAGACGAATGGGGCTCTAATGAGATGCAGGATGTTCTTGGCGACGATCCCCGCCGTGCTGTGGATCGATAAGCTCGGGAGACGTCCGATTCTCATTTCAGGCGCCTTTGTGATGGCGATCTGCCATTTCATCGTAGCCATCCTCACTGGGCTGTATCAGAATTCGTGGCCCGATCATGTCGCCGCTGGTTGGGTCGCCTGCGTCTTTGTGTGGATTTTCGCCATTGGTTTCGGATACTCGTGGGGTGTGATCTTCTCGCTGCGTGTATTCGTTTCTTCATCTACTAATCTGCCTCATCAGGTCCTTCTGCTTGTGCGTCCTCATTTTCCCGTTCTACTTCGCAACGGTCCTCAGCACATTCACAGGGGTCATTGTCGCTGAGGTAAGCACCGTGATGTGCGATGTTCGTTGCTGACGAGGCGGAAGATATGGCCACTTTCTGTGAGTGCCAATCTCTTGTCTGAATTAATCATTGCTTATTCTCGTTTTGCGCAGGTTCGTGGGAAAGGTCTTTCCATTGCAGCGTCTTCAAATTGGGTTTGTCTTTTCGTGGCCACTTGGAAAACTTTCATTACGAGCATCCTCAGATGAACAACTTCATTGTCGGGCAAGTCACACCGACGATGCTCCAGCACATTGTCAGTCCCTGCTTACCCACGTGTCGATGCACTAACCTAGTGCCAGGGTTTTGGTACATTTGTGTTCTTCGGCGCATTTTCTCTGATGGGCGGGCTTTTCGTTTTGTTTTTCGTCAGTCGCATGCGTGATGTTGGCGCCTGGACCATGCACACTCATGCTCTGTTCAGGTACCGGAGACAAAAGGAAGGACGCTCGAAGAGATGGAAGAAGGTGCGCCGGCTCGGAACCGACGCGGCCCTAACCTACTGAACGTGGTCCAGTATTCAGCGACAGCGCCAAGATTGCACTGGAAGATCAAGCGCGCCTCGACGCTATATATAAACGTCTCGGGCTTCACGATGCGTCGACCACGGAAAAGAACGATATCGAGGACAAGGCGGCAGAGGATAGGATTTCGAACAGTGTAGAATAGTGTTTTCACAAGTGCTTAGTTTACGATGTACGAGTCTTACGAGATCCAGCTTGAGGATGTTTTGACGACCCTGAGAATAAGAGATCAGCATTCCGCAGTCTATTGAAGGTGTCGGAGATCAGAAGTCGATTGAGTATCCTCAACCCAGTAGGGTATAGGTAGTCTAACATGCTTTTGACTTGATGCCAGAGGCCATCACAAGAGAGAGAGAGAGAAATGAAGTGAGGACCAACCTTTAACATGAGGCAAGCGAGAGGTTTTTGGACACTTGCGGTTGGTGACGATACCTAGTGTGCGCAAGTTGTGGAAAAGAGCAGAGAACGAAAACGCTGAGACGGGCCGTTACTGATGTTCTTTGTCACAACGACTCTCATCACGTGCAGGAGATCTGATCGGGCCGCTGCGCCTCACTTCAACTAGGCCAACACACACCGCCGATGCCTCGTGGTCTTCTCGTATTCAAATACCAGCCGTAAGAGGGCAGGCTCGGGCATCTAGAGTGCAAAGATCAATGTATGTCTCCCGCTCATTTCCGTAATCGACATGGATCGGGTGCGCATGTCTTGTCGCCTGCTTCCTGATATCGTAGTGTTGGCAGTTGTCCTTGTTGCTCACCAGTCCCTTGTTCTTGCCAGTACATAAAGGAATCCAGCGCTCGCATCTGATTCCCACACTCGACCACCGCGCGCAGCCTTCTCATCGTTTGCTTGTATCGCACAGTATTTCGGGTGCGATATGGCGGCCACTGGATTTCCTCCCGCCCGCATCGACATAATATCACCCGATCCTGGCAGGCGTCACAAATCCCCCATCACACCCGCCACTACCGCCGGTGTCACTGGTATCGTCTACCCTTCGCCTGTCGACGCGCCGCCTCGACCGCCCCCCTTGCCGCCCAAACGACGCCCGCCCGGGCATCGATTGTCCCGCATCGAGTCTGTGTCGTCTGTGACGTCGCAGGACTTCATCCAGATCTCGGACGACATCGTGGCACTTCCGCAGCTGGAGGACGATGCTATCCTGGACGATCTGTGGAAGTCGTTGCGTGCAGACAAGGAGCTCAAAATGCACAAGGAGGTCTCCAAAGTTAAATCCCTGGAGGAAAACAAACCAATTATACCTCCGATCACCGAAGTTGTCCCACCCCGCGCGGCATCGAGTTCGAAAACGAGGTTGGTCCAAGGATTGTCGATACTGTGCTGTTTGCTGAGCCTACGATACAGCACACCCGCCCTTCAGCATGCACGGACTGCATCGATTAGCAGAAGCACCTCGTCCCCGCACCGCTCGCCGCACACGCCGTCGCCGCTTTCCAGGCAGAGCCATAGTCCGCCTCGTACGGAACATTCACAGTCTCACGCCAACCGAAAGTCGCTGCTAGAGGACGTTGTGCCTGAGACTTGGGTTCGGACGGCTCCTCCGAGTATCGTGTCCCCTCCCCCTCCTTCGCCACCGCCACCTCCTCCAAAGGCAAAGACAGTCAAGAAGAAGAGATCTGTGTAAGCGAGCTACGTTGATGATCGATTTAGGCTAACCGAGAGCAGAGTGTCGTACAAGACGGTGCCAGAACGGAACTTTCAAGTTGCTATATTTGATCTACGGGGCGTCGACCGAGACGACATCCGCGTGACCTACAAACGAGATCACCTCATCGTTTCGTGGGAGATATGGGAGGTCGAAGATTGGGAGGAAGAGGACTGTATCGCCCGCAAGACACTCGAGCGAGTGTATCATAGAATCATTCCCCTTGCGCCCGGGACAAAGGTGCTTGCCGATTGCCGTTGAATGATGCCTAAAACTGACTGCCGTATCCAGTTTAGTGAGGTGTACAGTACGATGAAAGGCGAGGACATGCTCTTGCGCTACCCCCTCACAGCAATGTAATAGTACTACACCCCTTGTGTGCATGTTTGTTGAAATCCAGCCGTAATACACGTGGTTTGGGGCAAGAGATAAGGAACCGGAACGCAGTAGCTGCTGACTAATAATGTGGGATAAATAAGTAGCTGTCGCGCCCTGGCTGCGCGCCCACGACCCCATCATTCGGTGCTTTGTACCACCCACCACTTTCTTTCTCATCCTATCATGACCTCTCCTCCCGAAACGTGGGATAATGAGGACGTCTCGCAAATCGATCCTTTCGTTCCTGTCTTCACTTCACACTCCCGCTCCCGTTCTTTGCAACAATCTAGTGATCTACTAGGCTCTCCGCTAACCGGAGAACATGCGCCGCTCCTCAATCGACCATCTCGCGTCAAGAAGCCGTTCTACAGGCCACGGCCGCTGTGGTGCGGTGCTCAATAATGCCGTCCGCGCGTCTCTCATTCACACGTTTCCAGGCTCGTGCCATTCGCAGTCATCTCCGCCCTCGTCGTAAGTGTTGCACTGTCCCGCCCCACTCGATCCTTATGATTCTGATGCGTCCCACAGCGCGGGATGACCCTTGCGCCTCGCATCGAAGTGTTTACTCAACTGTCATGCAGTCGGTTACATCATAGCTACAACCACACGCGCGCCATCGATCCTCCTCCGCCGTTCGTACCCCCGCGCGGGCCTCTCTATTTCTCGGCGGACCCGCTTGGACCTCAGCTCGTTCCCAGCGACAATGCTCCAATCCTAGCATTTGTTGGGGAGCCGACGAATAACGAGCCGTGGGACGACACGGACACGGGTGGGGACGATGTACGGCGGCTGCCCTCTGCGAGATGCATGGCCGACCCCGCGGTCCAAGCGGGTGCTGCGCGGCTGCAGACTATCTTCACTACGACGATGGGCTTGCTCAGCGCGTTCACCACGAGCTGGTGGGGTCATTTCGGGGAACGGCATGGACGGACGAGAGTTCTCGCTTTCACCACGATTGGGCTCTTAATGACGTGCGCGCGATCGTGTCGATGACGGTTATGTAGCTTACCTTGGGCGTTTGTTTAGGGACCTCATCTTCATATTATCATCTACGCCGTCTTCACCCTTCTCCTCCCATGGTCACAAACTTCTACTGGTCGCGCCCATCATCGAGGGACTGCTCGGCAGTGCTTCAACTCTTCAATCCGCAACTTCAGCCTATATTTCGGACTGCACATCGAGTGGTAGTCGGGCCTCAGTGTTCTCTCGGTTCACGGGTGTGTCATTCCTCGGATTCGGAGTAAGTGCAGTTGCGCCCTGGTCGCAGCGACAGTCACTCACACGCTCACACAGCTTGGACCCATCATCGGTGGATATCTCATCCGCAATCCTATATCGTTCTTGGATGGTCCGCCCCACCCTGGGCAGGTCAACACGCCCTCCGTGACCTCTGTGTTCTGGGTCGCGATCGTCCTTCAATTCATCAACTTGTGTCTTGTTGCGCTGGTCTTCCCCGAGTCGGTGTCCAAGGAACAACGCGCCCTTGCTGCTGGCAATCACAAGGGCAAGGGCAAGGCTAGAGATAATTCGACTAGATTAGCCGACGTCGCCGAGGAAACAGAGGTCGAGTCCGGATTCTTGACAAGGCTTCTGTCTCCTTTGGCTGTTTTCATGCCGGTGTCGATTACTATTCCTGGGACGACGCGGAAGAGAACTGACTGGAGCCTGACGTTTGTTGCCTGTGCGATGTTTGGATATATGCTTTCCACTGTTGGTCCTTGTCCACTTGGTTTTGTGCTTTGTACAATGACGCATTTTTGCAGGGACTGTATCAAATCAAGTATCTATATGCCGGCCATGTGTATGGCTGGGGTGCCGAGCCGCTCAGCTACTATATATCACTGTTGGGAACCACGCGTGCCGGTTTCCTGTTGTTTGTATTTCCCCGTGCGTTAGCGTCCATGTTCTACCCTCACAGCAAACACTCAAAGAATTCTAGTGATCATCTCTACTTTCAAACCCAAGTCCGACGCTCCCAAGGACAAGGCGATGTCCAAAGCCGAGAGACCTAAGCCGACCAAGGGGCAACTTGCCAAAGAAATCCGATTCGACATGGGGCTCAGCCGGCTCTCGTTGATCACCGATATCCTAGCCAACACAGCGATATTGGTTTCTCCGGCTCCGACCTACAAGATGCATTCGAATCTTATGAACGATCTGGTGCCGCCGTCCACGGGCAACTCGGAGTTCCAGAAGTCGCAAGCGTTGTTTGTTTTTGCTAGCTGGGTGCAGTGCATGGGCGCTGGTATTGTTCCTGCCATCCAGAGTCTTGCCTTGTGCATCGTACAAGCTCGCTCGTTGCTTGCCTCCGAATCTGGCCAACTGCAAACGAAAGATGCTGGTGCCGGTGCATTGTTCGGTGCACTGGCTGTTTTGCAAGCTAGTGGGCAGATGGTTCTTGGGGTGCGAAGTTGTCTTTCCATCGATGCTGTGCCGTACTCACCTCTGTTCCAGCCTCTTCTGTTTGGCCTGGTATATAGCGGCACTGTTTCAGCGTTCCCAAAGACGGTGTTCGTACTCTCGATCGGCATCCTCATCACATCGTTCATCGCCATTCTTCTTGTGCGAAATCCGCTGTCCAATGCCAATGGCAAAGGAGCTATGCGCAAACGTCGACGGGTCAGTGCTAGTCAAGAGCAAGAGGAGTCTACTCGTGGCAGATCTCGGGTCAGCAAGGATCTCGGCTATGGCAGCACCATGCAGCGACCGCCAGCGCTGGGGGAGCCATCCTCCAGCGGACGGCTGGGGTAAATGGCTAGTATTCTGTTCTATCTATTCTAGAACATATGTAGTCCTCTTTTAGTTTACTATCTATATCCTTGTATTATAATCATCATCTCCTGGCCCGGAGCACACGCAAATCACCTGTCGACACACAATCCAACACAGCCACGCTTCTTGTACACCCCTCCCCCCAACCGTTGCTTTGATCGAAAGTGCTGGTTCGCGATGGATCTTGAAGCCGCCAAAGACGTGGAAAAGGTCGACGTGGAGGGAATCGAGGGAACTTCCTTTTCGGTAAGGCAATATCACACTAGTCTCTGATTATGCTCGGTATGCAAGGTCGAATCCCAAGATCGATCCGAACCAACTCTCTCCGGGTTCCCTTGTCATCATGAACAGCGCCGATCCTTCTGCTGAGCCCTTCATCACGACGAGAGAAGCGTTCCTAAACGCGATCCCGGACAGCGGTCCGCTAGTTCGGCCCTGTGGGAACTGCCAGAACGTACCGCCCAAAGGCAAAGAGTTCTCGAAATGCGCAAAATGCGGGGGCACATACTATTGCAGGTACGCACCCTCTCAATGAGCAGTCTCTGTAAGGAAGACTTGATGACACGTTGCTTCGCAGCCGCGAATGCCAAATGTGCGCGTTTTCGCCCACTCCGAGAGACTTTTCGTTATCGATCATCGTCGGTCTAGCGCCCACTGGAAGGAACACAAAGCGACATGCAAGCATCGTGTAGGAATGAATGCGAAGTTTGCGCAGGCCAAGGAGGCCGCGCTGGCAGCGGGGGAGAAGTACTTTCATCCCGCTACGTTACAGTCGTGGTATCGCATCAACCACGCTGCCATCGAGTACGCTGTACGTTTTTCGCTGCGATCAGCTCTCCAATTACTCTGGCTGAGACTGCGCATGTAGGGATTCTATGCGTTGGAACACCACAAGGGCTTCGTGCAGTCGCTGATCCGGACGCACGTCGCGCTGTTCCTGGTACGTGTGGACGAAAACGCAACAGAAGACCCGAGGGCCGTCCGCCTGGAAAAGGTCGTTCCGATCCTGCTGACGGAGCTGGCTGCGATGCTGCGGATGACCGAGTCGAATCTCGCGCAGTGCAAGAGGGCTGCGCGCATGGGCCAGATGGCTCTGTTCTTCATGGACATGAAAGCCAATCTGCAAGTGCTCGAGTTCCACGAGCCGCCTTCACCCGAGCCGTATCTCAATGGGACGAAACCACTCGACCCATTCTGGGAAATCCATGTCATGCTCAAGGTCAATGGGGGCCTGCCAGCCGAGGAAGAGGAGAAAACGGAGACAGATGCTACGGCGGAAATGCCTGCGGTGGAGGCGCAGTTAGAGCCGGAAAAACCGGCGGAAACAGACCCTGCAAGTAAATGAAATGTATTTTATCGCGTTCTGTCACGGCTGTTATTCGTCGCGCGTCGTCACGGATCACGTGTCGTGAACACTGGTGAGATCGAGCGCCGCGGCTCGCCTATCATCTTACCCTTATCTTTTCTTCACAGCGGGAGAACGCCCGTCTCGAATCGGAGTCCAGACTCCCATGTCATGATTCCAAAGAAGAACAATATTCCCTCATCCAGCAAGCAAACATAAGAGATGTGAGCAACGACATGTAATACCAGTGCGACGCATAGCGCTAGAGCGCCATAGCTGCGGAGCCGGAGCTCCTTAAGTGGGACCCGTCGATCAAAAGAAGCGTTCAACATGTCCGCTCGTGGAGGCGCCTGTTTTGTTATCTACGTCGAATGCTTATCAAGACCTCCCTTGCGCGTAGCTTCCATCCTCTCTTCAGTCTTCACTTCTACTTTCGAAGATGTCACAATGGCTGAACAGGTCGGCGTGGGCCCTCGAGCCCGAAGCGTCGACGTTTGCGCCGAATTCGCGGTGGAGCAATAAGGACATGGATCCCGTGCCGGAGAAGTTAAGGACCTGGACGACTTGGGTGCGTGGAAGCTAGGTGTACATTTTTGCGGTGATAATGATAAACGAGTTTGAAGAATTATGTGGCTTATTGGATTTCGGATGCAGTGAGTCGTGAGGACGTCTTGCGAAGTTTCGGCGACTAAAACTACTGAACAGACGAATACTGTGCGTGTGAATGGCTTTGATTGACCTCTCGATATTCAGCAGGACATACACAGGCTTCATGGGAACTAGCGAGCTCGATGATTGCGGTCGGGCTTTCATGGTGAGGATAGTGTTGTGATTAACCGACGTGCTAACATTGCGACCGCTCGAAGGCGACAAGCACTCCCTGCTATTGCAGTCGGTCACATCATTATCGGAGTAGCCATGGTACGGTCGTACTCGGCTGTCACGCAGAGCACATCACAGACCGTTCGAGCAGGTCCTCAACGGGACCGCGGGCGCGCGGCTGCATATACCGTTCCCGGTGCTAACGCGATCCTCGTTCGGATTTTGGCTCAGCTACTTTGCGGTGATCTCACGGGTGGTTCTTTCAATGTTCTGGTTCGCAATCCAGGTGGGAGGCCTCTCTGATCCGTATTCGAAGACTCTTGTTGAACAGCTGCAAAGACGTATACGGGATCCGAATGTGTTTATCAAATGCTGAAAGCAATTTGGCCCTCTGTTGCCCACATCCCCAATCATCTGCCGGCGTCTTCAGGGATAACCACGGTTGGAATGATGTGCTATTGTGTGTGACTGGACTTTCTGTGTGGCATTTACGTTGAACAGAACTCAGTCCTGTACTGGCTGGGGCAATTTCCGTTCTTACTCATCTCGCCGCAGCGGATCCGGTACCTATTCGTTCTCAAGGCAGCGATTGTGCCCGTGACATGGCTGGCGATGTTGATCTGGGCACTGCACAAGGTCCCACCGAGGCTCAGTCTCCAGCCGCAGCACGAGACGCTTACGGGCAGTGCGGCGAGCTGGGCCTGGTTGAGCTCGCTGAACAGTGCACTGGGCATCTACGCGACTCTAGCAGTCAACATCCCTGACTTCACGAGATACGCTCAAAACGAGCGGGCCCAGTACGTGCAGCTTGCTATTATTCCGGTGGCGTTCACTCTGGCTGGGTTCTGCGGCATGGCTGTGGCGTCGGCCAGCGAGCATCTCTATGGGACGATCATCTGGGACCCACTTCAACTGATTGACCGCTGGGACAACCGCGCCGCTGCCTTCTTCGCTGCGTTCAGTTTCTCGCTTGCCAGTGCGCCAAAAGCTTTCGGTACTCATGGGATGTCTGTGACTTACCAATCCACAGCGCTGGGGACCAACATATCTGCCAACTCGCTCTCGGCTGCTAATGACATGACCGTCCTCTTTCCCCGGTACATCAACATCCGGCGGGGTCAGATCATCTGTGCCATCGTTGGAGGTTGGGTTCTGTGCCCATGGGAGATTCTCAACAGCGCTCCTGGATTCCTCACCTTCATGTCTGGCTACACGGTCTTCCTGGGGCCTTTCACGGGGATTATGATCGTAGATGTATGTCGTTTTTCTGCCTCATCTTCATGATCTGATGTGCCCAGTATTGGCTGATTCACCGCGGCAAAGTGGATGTGCCCGCGATGTATGATCCTAAAGGAAGGTACAAGTACTGGAATGGGATCGTGAGTTCAAGTTGCATCTCATTCTATCCGGATCGCTGATGGTGATCAGAACTGGAGAGCACTCGTTGCCTTACTCTTGTCCGTCACACCCGGTCTGCCCGGCCTGGCACAGAGCATCAATCCCAAGATCAATGTCGGAAATGAGGCTAAAATCTTTGATATTGCATGGATCTACGGATTTGTCACTGCCGGGGTGGTCTACGGCAGTCTGTCCACCCTATTTCCCGCCAAGGAGACCTATCTCGAAGCAGCAGATCTGGGGAAATCGGCAAGTGTCACATCGGTGGAGGAAGAGAAATCCGATTATGCCTAGAGTACATCCATTGTCTATCAAGCTGCTCTGATGAATGTCGTCATTCCCTGAATGTTGGCGGCGTCTGCACAAGATCGGGTCAGCTGGGTTGAGACAGGAGACGTTGGATGAGCTCACTGATAGTCAGACCAGCGGCCTTGGCAGGCCCTGCGATCTCGACCGTCTGCAGCGGAGTGGCCTTGCCGGCAGCGCCCAATGAAAGAACCTTGACTTGAGTCGCATTCGCAGCCAACACATACAGGAAACTGTGGGTTAATCAGCATGGAGCGGGAATTGAGACCGAGCGACTCACTCATTCTGACCAACACTGGCCACGTCGTTGTCGATGGTAGCCGTCCCGTTGCCTTGTGGATATTGCTGTCGAGCGCATGAGCATCTTCTCCCTTCGTAGGAGAACTATCGCCGACGTACAGTCACAATGGTCGGCTTGAGATTGCTGTCGACGTTGATCTCGGTCACCTGCGCAGTGCCGATGTCCGTGACATAAAAGTTACCGGTCTTGGGCGAGAAGCTTGACCAGCAGGTCGCCCCCTGGCCCGCGATCGGCAGCACGGACGACGATCCGTTAGCAACCCCGGCTGTCACGCCCTGAGAAAAGTCGAACACATCAACACCGGTGCCCGCGTCCGTGGCCAGGATCGCATTCTTGCCGTTGATCAGAGTCATGCTGAATGGCAGCAGGCCGCCCTTGGCAGGCTGCACTGCCTGGAAGTCCGCCGACAGAGAGTTGTCGGAGGCAATGTCCCACACAGCGAGGAAGCCCGGAGTCGGTGGGACCCCCTTGACCGACGCGATGAGTTGCTTCTGGTCCTCGGAGAAGACGATGTGGCTGGCCGTCCCCGCTGGTCTACATTTGCCATTAGAATCACGGGGATCTGTATTAGGAGTACTAGGCATTACCCAGTAGCAGGGCTGTGAAAACCGGGTCAACAACGCAAGCTCCATGGAAAAGGAGAGGACACTCACGTCGTCTGGTTCAATTTGAGGCTGCGAACTGTGTTGGCGACAGGCGACAAGCCCTTGGTCTTGTCCACCGAGAAGCAGGCAACACCGTTGATGGCGCCGCCGTTCAAAGCACACACCGTGTTTCCGGCTTTGTTGATCGCAAGCGACATGGGGAATTCACCACCACTGCCGATGGGCTTGCCAATCATTTGGAGGGTCGTCGGGTCCTTTGCATCGATGCTGAATACCGAGATCGTATTCGACCCCGAGTTGACCGTGGCAACGATGTTACCACCGGCGGACGCTTTCACGGCACCTTGAGAGAATAGCGCGTCGGGGTCGCTCGTCCCGGGCTGACCGTGACTTCCGGAACCCTCAGATGACGTTGCTTGGCGGAGGGTCTGAATTGTTTCGTAATCAGCGATTGCAGAGACGGTGGCTAAGCAAAGTCATACCAATTTGCCATCTTGTCCGATAGCGGCAGAGACGACGAAATTACCAGTCGGCTCGTTTGAGATGACTACGCGTGAGGGATGAGAACGGAGCGGTAAAACGCGTGAGGGGACGTGCAATAGGCAGCACCGGCAGGCGCGCCTCCAGACGGCTGCGCGTTCATCGTCATCTTCTGCTTACTGTGTCGCGGACTGAGGGGAGCCCCAGATACTGCAGATGCAAGAATAACGGAGCATGAAACACAAAGGATCGACAGTTTCATGGTGAAGATGTTCGTGGGCTGGATAAGAATTCGAAAGACAACACAGGGGGATCGGCTGGCAAGAAAAGAGAATTGAAAGAGAATGTACGAGCGCAGCTCGGAAGAAAGCAAAAGAATGAGGGGGGAAGAAATGAGCCTGAGGCCATGACTGGGAGTTTGTAAGGTTTTATACTCTGGTGCGAAGTCGAGTTTAGGAGACCTGTGCGAAAGCGATGGTGATCGATATCATGCATCACTGTATGGGCGTCGATCACCGTTGCCCGTTCCCCCCAGAGATAGAGACCGGCCAGGTCAGGTCACCAATGTAACATGGCCCATGAAGCGGCATGATACATACTTGATTAGTACCAATCCCTACATACCGCACTATTATTAATCCCTACATACCGGATTATTACCAATCCTGCCGCAGTCTTTGACAAGTGGCACGTAGAGACCAACGCAAGCTTTCGATTTCATCTACATAATCAATAAATCTACTCTGCTTCGGGTTCGTCTTCAGTAGTAAATACGAGACATGCACCGTCATCTCCCGCGCTGATGACTACTGAGCCTTCGAGACCGAGCGACGCGCCGAGGACTGCGCCCTGGTGCCCTAGATGTGTCCTCAACAAAGTGCCCGTTCTTGCATCCCAAGTCCGCAGCGTCTTGTCTGCTGATGCTGACACAAACAGGTGCGCCTTAGGTGCTGGCAAAGCAACAAGCGTCGTCACGGCATCCTGTGAAACGCGTCAAACTTGGTAGAAATGATCAACTGAGGAGACGCACTGTATGCTCTAGCGTCGCGCGCAGCCGCATGGTGGTTAGGTCCCAGATGCACATCTTTCCATCAGTTGCTCCGGTAACAGCTATCCCAGCACCGGTGGCACCCGTCCCGGCCAGATCAACGAATTGTACCGCCTCGATGCTCTCGCCGTCAGTGTGGCCACCCAGTGCGGCGACGACTTCCCCCTTAGCAAGGCTGACAACTCGCACGCCGCCGTTGGCACCGCCAACCACCGCAAGGGATGAGGCCTGGTTGACTCCCAGAGAGGTGATGCCCTCCAGGTCAAAACGGGCATCACCAGGTGTCAACTTGAAGATGGGCGTTGGTGAACGCGGATCCCAGAAAATCAAGACACCGTCCGCACACGCAGTCACAATTCTCTTGCCTGAGGTCATAATCAATCAGTCATTGACAGGATCTCTCGAAAAAGATCCCCAAACATACCATCGGGGGTGAATTCTCCGCACTGGACTGCACCCGAGTGCCCAGCAAGGACCTGCATAGTGTTGCCCGATGGCACTGCGATATTCATCAGATCCGACCCAAGGGCATGACGGGAAACGGTCGTACATTGCCAGAGCCACAGCGTCGAATCATTTGATCCTGCGAGCAGAACATTGCCCTTGGGATGCCAACGTAAGAACTGCGAGTGCAGATCAGATATCGTGCACTGAGGTTCGAAATATCTGTGCGTACCATGACCTCATCTGGTCCTTCAAGCTGCGTCAGGAACTCCCATGTCCGATAGTTCTCTTTTCCGACCCGTCTCCATATCCTGATTTTGCCGTCCATCCCACCAGTCGAGATCATCTCCCCGTCTGCGCTCCATGCGACACTGGTCACACTATCCGAGTGGCCTGTCAGCTTCACCATAACTTCGCCGTCTGTGATATCCCATATGTAGCCAAGATCGTCTTCGCCACCAGAGGCAGCTAGCGGTTCCGTTGGATGCGCCGCGACGGCAAAAACTGAGGAAGCATGTGCAGCAAAGGCTTGTAGAGAGTTGTCGTCTCCAGCCGGCCCAGAAAGTTCGCCGACGGTGTCTCCCATCTCGTCATCATCTTCGTCCATAGGCTCGTCCCCGTCTTCCACTTCAGCAAGGACATCATCTTCGGTGATGAACTGCTCTTCCTCAAGATCTTCTTCGATATCGTCGTGGGCACTCATTAGATTGGTAGCGGATGAGGTTTTCTTCCAAAGGTGTTATGCGTGCAGACTGGAAGAGGGTGGGTTTAAATATGGCGCGGCTTCTCCAAGCAACTTTTTGACTGACAAAGGCAGAGATTGCGAGATCGCTTACTACGATTGCTGACCGAAATGATGGCGGTGTTGATGGGATCAACATATACGTTAGGACCAGAATGGTGTTGAAAGCAATCGTTGCTGAATTGCAATCTCTGGACGTCATTCACTCACTTAGCATTTTGGTAGGGAGATTTTTTTCTAGGATCTATCTTAGATTTTTCTTGTATAGGAACTATGTGCTTTGCAAGCCGGGCTTTCAGGCGGGCTGACGGATGGTAACCCTAACCACAAATAACACTTGATAGTCAGCAAACCGACGTGGAACTTCCTGAACACAACTTGCTCCTCTCCATCCATACACAATGAGATTCACTTCGTCGCTCCTTGCGGCGGCCCTGCTTCACCTTGTCTCCGCATCCAACGTTCTCGACCTGAACCCTGGCAATTTTGACGAGATCATTGGGCAAGGCAAGCCTGGGCTGGTCGAGTTGTACGTGTACTTCTATCATTGCGCCAGCACTGTTCTCATTCTACAAACAGTTTCGCGCCGTGGTGGTATGCCCCTTTATTAAATGACCGCGTTTGCAGCTAATGACACGTCCTGAATTTCAGTGGTCACTGCAAAGTGCGCCGCTCAACTGTCTCGTGGTCCCCTTCTGACGCGCACTTGACAGAACTTGGCCCCCATATACGAGGAACTAGCAGATGCTTTCGTGCACGCAAAAGACCGAGTAGTTGTCGCCAAGGTGGATGCGGACGGCGAGGGCAAATCCCTGGGACAGAAGTTCGGCGTCACTGGTTATCCTAGTCCGTGGCATTTCCCTTCTTGTCCCTCTCATTCTCATCTTCACGTTAGCCTTGAAGTGGTTCAATGCCGATGGAACACACGAGCCATACGAGAGTGGACGTGATTTGGACTCACTGGCGGCCTTGTGCGTGTCCCCAGACCTTGAGAGAATAGCGCGCTGAGAAGAGCAGTATCTCCAAGAAGACTTCGATCAAGTCGAAGGTCAAGCCTCCTCCAGAGCCTGAATACTTGATTCTGGACGCTTACAACTTTGACGACGTTGCACTCGTAAGCAGTCTTATCCAACTAGAGAATACTGAAGTTAATCTTGCTTAGAACGCTGAGAAAGATGTCCTTGTAGCTTTCACTGTACGTCTGTGCGCTCGTTACGCTGATAACGTCTATCTCATTCTTTCATTTCCAAGGCGCCGTGGTGCGGTCACTGCAAAGCGATGAAACCGGCATACGAGAAAGGTTTGTGTCGTATCCATTGACGATATGCCATCTCTGAACATATCTGCAGTCGCTGCGGCTTTCAAGCCCGAGAGCAACGTGGGTTGGGCAACATTCAGGTTGTATTTGGCATTGAACACACACAGTGCGTCGTGGCCAACGTCGACGGTGACGACCAAAAGAACAAAGATCTCGCCACAAAATACGGTGTCAGCGGCTTCCCCACTATCAAATTCTTCCCCAAAGGCTCTTCTGTGCCTGAAGCTTATGACGGTGGCCGCTCTGAGGCAGACTTCGTGAAGTTCCTCAACGAGAAATGTGGTACTGCGCGGGCTGTCGGGGGTGGGCTCACAGATCAAGTATGTGGTGATTCAGGCTATTTCATATCAGCCATCTTCATGAGTTCGTTTAGGCTGGCCGGCTTCCTGCCTTTGATGCTCTCGCTGCCAAGTTCTTCGCGGGTGCTGCTGACGTCAAGGCCTCCGTGTTTGACGAGGCTACTGCTCTTGCCGCAACGGCTGGCATCGCATCTAAGCATTACCTGCGGGTCATGGAGAAGATCGTTAACGGAACGGAGGGCTACTTGGAGAAAGAGGTCAAGCGGTGCGTCGTGGCAGATTTCCAGGCTTTCTGCAGATGTCCCTGACATGTTGTCGTTTTGTTTCACAGGCTAGAATCGATCCTGAAGAAGCGGAACCTCGCGCCAGCCAAGCTGGATGAGATCAAGATCAAGTCCAACATTCTGCAAGCATTCAGTGCAAAGAGTGAGGAAGACTCTGAGATAAAGCGAGACACCGCGGAGTTGTGATAACACAGCTGTTATGTATTTCGGATTATTTCGTGTCTATGATACCTCGACGTACGAGACTGGGCGCAAATGGCATTAGACCGGCAATCGCCGCCAGACGCCCCAAAAGCATGAGGTGAGACAATTTTGTTTGTGCGCCAACCGCCTCGTGTTCGGGAAGAAGTACTCGTGACGTTCCCTTGGATTGTTCGAGCCGTGCTCAAGGCCCGAATGTGTATCAGATTCCTTCTATCGCGATCGATGGTCCTCACCCCGCCACACAACCTCGTCGCTTAAAAGTAGGCGCTCGACCTCCTTGACGCCCAATTCCTGTGCCCTGTGCCACTGTGTCTCCATGTCCTCCAAAATGTTTCTCTCCGACGATCCCCACGGTCCTGTCATACCCAATCCTCTGCGCCAGATTCGCATGTGCCGTTGGCGCCATTCGCGCCAGAAATGGCACCGCTTAACGACTAAACACGCTTATGGAGGGGAGAGCGAAGCTGCTCCTTCTGATATCGAGATCGTGACCTGGAACGTCGACTTTAATACGCCCATGGCTGAGGTGCGGATGAATGCGGCGCTGGACCACCTGGAAAAAGAGGTCTTCCAGTGCCAGGATGGAGAGGCTCCGAATCCTTGCGTGATTCTGTTACAAGAAGTCCATGTCGTTCACGGCCTCAACGCGATTCTGGGAAATAGCTGGGTCCAAGAACACTTTTTGGTCACACCAACCGATACGAGTAAATGGCCGCTTGATGCGCAGTATGGGAATGTGACGTTGGTGGAAAAGTCGATTCCGGTCGAGGACGCGCACATCCTCGAGTTTGGATCATCCGACATGGGACGCACAGGTGTGATCGTGGACATCAAGCTGAGCGCGCCGGCAAAGGAGCGCGAGCCGATCTTCCGCATCATTAATACACATCTGGAGTCGCTGGCATCGGGAGACAGCGTACGTCCAGAGCAGATGAAGTTGTTATCCAAGTTTTTGAAAGTGAGTCACGCTTCGTGGCCCAGGATTTATGCTGACATGACCTTCAGGGTCCGCAAATTCGCGGGGGCATCATTTGTGGCGACATGAATCCAATCGGCGCTGCGGATGCAGGCTGTCCTGCGGCATTGGGCTTGCGCGATGCATGGCACAAGGGCGACAAGACGAGGAGGGATTCACCTGGGGAGAGCAACCTGAACACGCCGTCTATCCTCCAGCGCGCTTCGACAAGGTGTTGTATCTTGGGCGCAAAGGATACCGAGTCGAGGAGCCGGAAAGAATCGGCGTTGGGCTGCAGGCTTTTCACGAGCGATTACCCCGAAATATCTTTGTGAGCGATCACTGCGGACTTTTCACCAAGCTGCATGTCCTGCGGTAAACGGCATTTAGCCGGTTCTCGGTGGAGCTCTGGAGGCCGTCCACGACAACCGCCCTGGTGCTTCTTTTGTGATCTGATTGTTCTTTATCTTTAGCTGTGTGCTGTGCTCTGTACTCCTGTATTATTGGTGTATGTTTTCTTGTATCAACGGATCCCTGTCTAGAGCCTGTGGAAGGGCGAGCAGAGAGCTGGGTCGCCTCAAAGAAGGACGTAAGAATAACCTTCTATGGTTGTGATGTCAATCCTGACAGGTCGAATAGGAGACTCTCGTGAGTTGAGCCGGCTGATCCGAATATATAAGGTGCCAGTGGAGAGTCGACAACAACTTTGTTTGCATCAACTCCCCCTCTTTTCCTCTCCATCGCAACCATGAAGTCTTTCGCCCTCGCCGCCGCCTTCCTCGCCGCCCGCGCTGCTGCGCAGATGACCATCAACACTCCGTATGTTCATGCTACTGCTGCTCAATTATCTCGATTTTGAGAATATCTGCGCAGTACCACCGGTGGCAACCCAGGAGCTGGTAAGCCAGCCTGCGCGTCAACCTTCAAGCCACTGTCCTAAATCCCTTGTCCAGCCGAATGTCAGCCTCAACTGATCTCTTGGTCTGGAGGAACCCGTGAGTATCCCATCATTGCTTGCTCTGATTCTAAATTTTCCGTCGCAGCCCCTACTTCGTTGTAAGTCTCATCCGCATTCAATGATCTTGGGTCGTCATCAATGTTTCCTAGACGTATGTTGCACCGGTTCCGGAGCTTATTTGTACTGATGTGTTTGAAGCGCTGCCACTGTTCCCGCTGGCGCCACTCCTCTCGCTCAATGGAATGGTGTCACTACGACCCAGGAGACCTGGATTGTCAATGCCACAGTCGGTATGTGCATAACTCCACTACTGGAATCTTGACTAAATTCACGAAGGAACCCAAATACTTCTGGGCCTCAAGGACAACACCGGTGCCTCTGCCAACAGTGCTACCTTCTCTGTTCTCTCCGGCAGTAAGTGTTCCTGCGTGTACCATCTACGTGTCAGTCCTGACACTATTTTTAGGTGGTGATGGATGTCTCAATGGCGGTAAGAATTTTCTCGAATCACAGCGAAGCCGTATCTCACGTAAACAGCTGCTGCCTCTTCCCCTGCTGCAGGAAGCACCACCGCAGGATCAACCGGCACCACGGCGGCAGCTGGCGCTTCCACGGCCGCTGGGGCCACAACTGCCGCTGGGGCCACGACTGCCGCTGCCAGTGGAAGCACCGTGGCACACGTTTCGTCGGCGTGCGTTGGGCTTTATTTCTTGTCCCGAATGATCGCTAACGCTTTTCACAGCGCGAGCTCCCATGCTTCCGGTAGCGCGACCGGCTCCAATGCCGCAACGGCGACCAGCGGCGCTGCTGCTCTCGCACCCCTCTCTGCCTTCGCCGCATTTGTTGGTGCCTCCGTCATGGCCATCCTGGCTTGATTGGCCTGACTGGACACTACCACCCTATGCACACCCGAAAACACACGTTTCACGCACCTCTTTCCGGTCTCCAACAGCCTTAGAGCTATCGTCATTCTCTTTGCCCCGTACTCCTACACGGACAGCCATCTCTCTAATACATCACTTTGCATCAGACACCATATCCTTATGTTCCTATACCATGACAATGTGTGTTTGTGTGTGCAGTGAATGGGAGGAACACTTGTCCTAACAATCATACTACACGGGCGCCGCCAGCTGACCCACGGGTTCAAGTAGCCGCAGTTCCTGCGGGTCCTGCCCCATCAGTCGATCGCGGGCTTCTTGAACATATGTCCGCATCAACCCAACCGCTCGAGTGAGATTCTGGCCGTACTTGGCTGAAACAGGGACAATGTCCAGATGACGCCCTTCTCCGGTGACCATCCTGTCAGACACAATCGTTTCGAGCCGCCGCAGTTTGGCTTTGGCCTCGGCGACGGCGTCTGGATCGCCATCACCCCCAAGCAGATCTGCCTTGTTGGCAATAACCATCCGCCCTTGCGGCTCATTCCAGGCTGGTATTTTTCGAGCTCGTCTCGCAGCACAAGCAGCTCGTCCCAGGGTGCAGGCCCCGACAGATCGACAATGTAGGCCAAAGCGAGCGAGCGCTCCATCGAACGCAGGAACGAGTGCCCGAGTCCCACGTTTTCGGACGAATCGTGCACCAGACCAGGGTTGTCTGCAATCGTGAAACGAAAGGTTTCTGCGAGATCGAAATGGTATCCTCCACGCGTAGGGTCCGCCCGCAGTGTCGCATGTCGCTCGGCCGTTTGATTGCGGGTGAGGGCATCCGCGAGTCCGCCGTCCTGCATCTGGCTTTGCTTCTGTGCCTCTTCGACGACGGTTTCGTCATAAACCTGTTCGGGCTTGACGCTGCCCTCGAACGTTCCATCGTCAGCCACGCGGACGATACCGACAACGGGATTCAGAGTAGTGAATGCATAGCTTGCCACCTCGCTCTTGGCCCGGCCGCCTGTCAGTGCGCGCAGCAGCGTGCTCTTGCCAGCGTTGGGCATACCGACGAAACCAATGTCCGCGAGGATTTTGAGCTCAAACTCGAGAGTGATGCGTTCTCCGGGATGCCCGCGAGTGGCGAATTTCGGAGACCGGTTGTACTGAGCTAGAAAATGAGGATTGCCCAGACCCCCCAGCCCACCAGCCGCAACAAGATGACCCAATGGCTCTCGATGCCGAGCTCCGAGAGGCGCATCGACAGCACGCACTTGCTGCATCTCGTGCTCCAGGTCCAGGTAGATCGGGGCCTCTTTTTCGCGCTGCCGCCGTTCGTATCTCCGCTCTCGTTCGTGTCGGTACAGAGACTGTTCAGCCTCCTTGAACGCGTCACGGGTGTAGTTGGAGTCTCCGGAGCGGGGATAGTGCACCCAGCGATTGTCGCGCATTTTTTCGAGCCGCTCGCCCGTGTTCATGCCCTGCATCGACTCCTCCTCCGCCTCCCACTCGTCCGGCGACCGCCGCGTGTCGCCCCGAGAGATCTCGCGCACGACGGTGCCCAGCGGGACGTGTATGATGAGCGGCTCGCCGGCCTTCCCGTTCTGCCACGTCCCCTGCCCGTTGGCGCCTGGGTTGCCGCGTATGCGCTTGGCGATGCCAGAGAGTGTGGTTAGGTGGGGGGTGGGCATGATGTAAACGTCCCCGCCACGCCCACCGTTGCCGCCGGAGGGCGGACCGAAGGGTTTGTATTTCTCGCGATGAAAGGCGACGCAGCCGTCACCTCCGCTGCCTGTCCGGACCCTAAGTCAGGAAGACGGTAGAAAGAAGCTTTTAGAGACGGACCTCCCCGGATCGATACAATGAGGTTGTCGAGGAATGTTTGACCCTACGAGGAGGCAGATATGAGTGAGTGATGTCGAGAGTGCAGGGCTTGAGTGCGTACCCGTTGTTTGCGTTTCCATTCTGTTCGGCGACGGCGTCGTAGTCGGTCTTGTAAACTCTCGTCGTCCTCACTGGCGGTCACGGGTCGCGTGGGCGGTGCGATTCGGTTGAGGGTGGACTCGGCAGTGCGTAAGGTAGATAAGCGCGGCGTAGGTAGGGGTCCGAGTCGTGGCATGAACCAGGAAGGGATTATTTTGATCGGCTGGCATGTGATCGTGACTCCTTGAATCGAAACAGTATGCACTGAGTAGGTGCGCGCTAAACGGCGCGTTCGCTTGACGTTGAACCGCGATGCTCCATCCAGTATCCTACCACATCCGAATCTCCGCACTTCCTTTTAATTTCTGCGCGACATTTTTCCGAATCAACATCACGCGCCATGGGCGGTCCTTTTACGGTTCTGTTTACGCTCTGCTTCCGGAGAACTGTTCCCCCACCCTACGCTCACGCGGTACAGACGCGGAGTTGATGTATCCAGAGCCGGGATTCAAATAGGACTGCTGGATTATGCATGAGACACTGTCCCTCTTGTACGTTGGTTCCGACCCAAGTCCCCGGCAACGATGCCCGGCCAGCTCCCCGAATGGACGGTCGTTGACTTTATTCATCGTGGGCCGTGGTGGAATAACAGAGGTATATCCTACGAGTGGAGGTGACCCAGCCCTTTGTCGCTCAAATCTCTGCGCAGGCATCTTGCTGCTGAACTTGTGTCTCATCCTGCCACTGCTCACCTCCACAGCAAATGGGTTAGATTCCTCCCTAATCAATGGTATAGTGCTAAATTATGATATCCTGAATCTTACCGAGCCCTGTTCTATGCAGGCCTCCAGATTCTTCCCGACTGGCAGAACTACTTTGGCTTTCCCCATGGACGAACCCTCGGTCTGATCAACTCTGCGCAAAGCATCGGAGCCATGGCAGTGTGTGCTCTATCTTCAGTCTGATCTGAACTGATTTCACCGCTGATCTTGTCTGAAGGCCTTGCCGTTCACACCGCTCGCATCTGACTCCCTGGGACGACGCCCGACGTTGTTTCTAGGATCTGTCATCATGCTCGCAGGGGTCGCCCTGCAGATTTCGGCGTGGACTGTCACAGTGTTGATCTGCGGGCGTATTCTAAGTGTGTTCTCTCCCATCTCCCCTCTGGATCATCGCATTTACGGGATGGACAGTTGGACTGGGGCTTTCATTCTGCTTGAATGCGGCGCCGCTTCTTCTGATCGAACTAGCGTATCCGACGCAGCGGGGGAAGATCACTGCCCTGTACAACTCTAACTGGTATCTGGGAAGCATTATGTCGGCATTCATCTGCTTTGGCGCGTCGTACACATCAATCACGGGTAATAACTGGTCGTGGAGGGCACCCACTCTCGTCCAGGCTGTTTTTCCGATGATGCAAGTCACGCTCATCTGGTATTGACCCCGCGCTATCGAGAATGGGACTTAACTCAACTGGTTCCAGGTTCGTGCCAGAATCACCACGGTTTCTGTTGTCCAAAGGCTTTGTGGGTGTTTCTTTCCACCGGATGCAATGCGGACCGGGTACTGATCTTCTCCCAGGAAGGCAAGGCCACCAAGATTCTGACTCAGTACCATGCGAATGGCGAGATCGGCCCCCATCCTCTCGTGCAGTTTGAAGTCGCCCAGATCCGGCATGCCTTGAGGGTGCAGGAGGACATCGACCGAGGCACTTACTGGTCGCTGCTTACGACGCCAGGCAACCGGAAGCGCATGCGGATCATACTGGCGATCGCCGTCTTCTCGCAGTGGTCCGGCAATGGCCTGGTCAGCTACTACATCAACCTTGTCCTCAACGGCGTCGGGATCTCGGGTACCAAGACCAAAGCAGGCATCAACGCTGCGCTCCAGGTGTTCAACTTCCTCGTGGCGGTGCTGGCGTCGTTCCTGGTGGACTACGTCGGACGCCGGACGCTGTTCCTGGTGTCGAATGCGGGAATGCTCGCGGCGTTCATCTTGTGGACCATCAGCGAGGGCATCTTCAACAGCCTGCACAAGACTGCTGCAGCCAAAGGTGTGTGTGGTTCTCCACTTGCATCGCCCGGAATTTTGCCTCTGCCGGCGGATTGCTGACGCGGACCGGTGCCAGCCACGATCCCGATCATCTTCATCTTCTACTTTTTCTACGACCTGGCGTACACCCCGATGTTGGTGGCGTATACACTCGAGATTCTCCCGTACAAAATCCGAGCCAAGGGGTTCGCCCTGATGGTCAGTGGGGCCTGCCGCGTCCATGTGATTGTGCTTGACCGACACAGAATCTCACGGTGTTCCTTACCACGGCATTCAACCAGTTTGTGAATCCATGGTCAGTGCTTTCTGTCTATTCATCTGGAATTGCCCCTCACGTGAACTGCCGCCATCAGGGCCATCGATGCGATCGGATGGTGGTACTATCTTGTCTACGTCGGCTGGCTCGTCATCGAGTTGGTGTTTGTCTGGTTCTACATCGTCGAGACCAAAGGCCGCACCCTGGAAGAAACCGCTGTCATATTCGATGGCGCGCAGCAGCAGCACGAGCTCGCGCACATGGGGGGAGAGGCCGCAACGACGCACCTCAGCCGCGCGATTGCACTCGAGGACCGGTCGAGATCAGATGACAGCCCTCCGAGCGACAAAAGCCGGCCGTCGGGTGCGGAGAGTGTGATGACGACGGAAGATAGTTTCTTTGATTAGTGGCGGGGTGTAGCAGCATTGATAATTACGGTACATAAATGTTGTAAGATTAGGCTTGTGTCCAGATTTGTACTTGGTTCGGGGGACAGGAGAAGACGGCCGATCCATCAGACTCGACTTGCACTCCGCTGTCCTGGGGAGTCAGGAAACTGACAAATGTCTGACCCGCGAGGGTCCGCCCGACCGACATGCGTATTTGATCGTGCGCAGCCCCAGCGACACTGGAAATGACGGGTCAGTACCACACAAATACACGTCCAGACGCAGGGGGACAGGGCGCACGGGTCTCTGTTGCTCAATACAACCACGCATCCCGGGCGCGTGGAATCGCCGTGGCGCACGAATCCAATGCAGTTCTTGTCTGTGCGGTAGTCCACGCAGGCGCCATATGCAAATCGCTTGCGCGCTTCGATCAGCAGTCGCAGCGCCTGTGCGATCCGGGGGTTGAAGCACTCCTTGTTGGGATACAGGTCCCCATAGAACACGCATCTGGGTCAGCTGATCAGGACCTGCACTTGGTAAGTACCGGGAGCGGGAATCGCTTACGGGTGACCATGTCCGCGGAGAAGGATGAGCGCGTAGGCTTGCAGTTTGAAGTCGTCGCCGACCTGTCATGTCATGTTCCATTGGACCGAGCAACGATGCGGGGCGAGACGACTGACCCAGCTTTCGAGACTTTGCCCGATGACTGTGCTATTTCGACTGAGACATGCTGAGAAAGGCCCAAGAACGGAACCGCTCACTCGTGATTGTCGACAAAGGTGACGGCATCACCAGGTTTCCACTTGACGATCGTGTTGTCTAGTATCTTGCGGAGATCGTATCGGGACCCTTGCTTGCTTGCGAGATGGAAGTTGTGATGCAGAGGCACGTCGAAGAAAGCGGTCTCAATGTGAATGTAAGAACGCTGAACAAGGGAGAAAGAGTCCCATACCTGGCCTTTGAATGCTTTGATATAGCCGGCCACATCTTTGATACTGCTCTAGGGGTGAGAAGGGACGCGCATTCGCTGCTAGAGGTCCTTACTCGGAGGACCAATACTCTGCTAGAAGACAGTCAGAGGATGCGAGCATGATGGAGTAGACGACTTGCAGACGGCAAACATCTGAGGATGGGCGTTCCTCACATGATTCAGCTGCAAGCGGACGGATCAGCAGCGTTCGCGAGGAAATTGGGTAACAGGCATACGAAAGTGTACAAAAACCGGCGGTCCATGTGTTTGATAGCATCCAGCCTGAATCCTGACGCGCCCGTGGTCTAGTCATCATTTACGACCTGCCGATGGACCGCATCGCAACCTCGCGCACCTCAGTGATCCACAAGCCTGAAGAACCTATCAGTCATTGATTCAGACATAGCAGCGCAATTGTTACCCCAATCCAACAGATCTTTCTGTACGTCCGGATGTCTGTGGTCTATCTGAAACCTTATGAGTACATCCTCTCTCAAAAGAGAGGCACAGGCCTACATCAATACCTAGAAGATAGTCGTAGTTTCCGAGTTCCGTGGACACCTCATCAAAGTTTCAGCCAAATGCGGCGACTGGTACGAGCTGGATGCACATATTGTGACCATCCCTTCCGTCCTTTGCCTGAAATCCGAAAGATAGCCTTGGTCTGTGTCTTATGATCCCAGTCGAGTCCGGTGAAATGCTCCTGGTTCCATCGGAAGCTGCTGTACTGTCGCATGATAAACACACATTAGCGCAACGCGCTCGAGTGTCGCACCTAGTGCCTCTGCCTTCGAAATCAAAGGCGGTCCATCCCTGCAGGGTCGTGAGCGTCATGTGGAATCAGTGAGAGCGAGCGCCCCACATCAATCTCCCGTGCAGGCCCCATGTCCTGCATCCGATTGTCCGGATTGACCTGGACGGCAGGGAAGCTCTCGAACCGGTCCGCGCCGAGTTTGTGCTGTGTGGGCAGGTTCAATGACGGGATAGCAAGGCACCGAAGACGGACATTGAGGACCGCGTCGATGAGAATGTCCACCCCATGCTTCTTCGCACCATCGCAAGCCCGGAGGAACTCCTCGCGCGTTCCCCACCTCGTCGGGACCGTACCTAGATCCCCGAATCGTCAGGGAAGCGAACAGAAGCGGAGTAGCAGCAGCGCCGGAACCTTTCTGGTCGAATTCACCGAGATCCCAGAGGTCGTATGCATCGTAGCCCCGACCGAGCTGCGAGGAATCGAGGTCATGCCCCTGCAGCAAACACCCGTTGCACGAGACTCACGGGTTCCGCACCTTTGTTCGGCGGAGGGAGCCAGAACTGCGTGAAACCCATCTCGGACAGCCCGGGGACCTCGCGCTCCACATGCGCCCACCAGCTCATGTCGCTTTGGAGCGCATCCCAGGTGAAGAATTGGAGCTATTGCCGTGACACCGAGAGTTCAATGGACTGGCGGGGTATTCGAAACGGAACGGACCATCAGGGCGTTGTCTGTGCTTTCCTCCGGGCCAAGACGCATCCTGGATAGGGCCGGAGGCGCTGAGAACAAACCAGAGAACCAGCCTCTGAAGTTGAAAGACATGGTGGTGAGATTCTGAAGCACTGACCACCGCCCCAAAAGTAGTACAGCGGATCATCGGCATCGGCGCGGATCACGGAAATTGCCGGACGCGCCTATATAAGTTTGCGTCACGGCTCATGCTTGTTGTTGCTGAACCACAACCTGCCTTCGGCGTCGAGTCAACGTTCTGTTGATGCTGACACGCTGCTGGGCAGACTCCTTGCGAGTTTGTATTGATGGTCTCGAACGACGCCCTCTTAATCGCTCTGACGATTCTTCCTACATCCGAAGAGTTTCATGATACGGCTACAACTACTTTTTGTCATTCGCAATACGAATCCATTGAAACAAGGAAAAAAGAATCCACACGAATCTCACTGAAAAAGCGCTCGGGTCTCTTCATTGATTGAAGGGACGACCATGCCACGTTACTGAGTGCGAGTGCGAGTGAGAAAAAGAGAGAAAATGGCCCGCCCCGTCCAAGCTTCCAGCGAGTCCCGCGAACCTTAGATCAATGAATGATCTCCTACTAGAGGGTGGTGAGCCACAGCAAAGTGGACTCAGCCGAAGAACCACTGGCGAACCAGAGTCCGAGCATCCACAGGGCGCAGGAACCCAGGCAGACGCTAGGTTATGCGAATCACTCTATACATGAAAGAATGGACGAAGGGCAGGGCAGTCCACGCCGTGTCTTCCAGTGGGTGTCAGAAAAGTGATGTACTGTGTTCCGTGCCACGGGTGCGTGTCTGATCAAAAGAGAGTCTCCAGAGAACATTCGGATAGGTGATGATGCATTGCTGGATGAGATATGATATATATTATGCTATGAAGATGCAAGAGCGAAAGATGCGACGGCAATGGACCCAGATCAGTAAGTAGCAGAACAGTACAGTTAATCGGAGGGTGGAGGTGGAGGTTTTCCAGGAGACAGTGTCTGCGCGTTGTCGGGTGACGGATCCGCCGGTTTGCATACGGAGTTCTCAGCCCCATCCCCCGGCTTCGCGATCGCTGGCTCCTTCATGATCTCCTTCTCGACAGTGGGCAAAAAGTCAAAGTATCCGCTGGGCTCCATAGCCATCACGGGTGTCGGCCCGACCGGCGGCGGCGGCCCCATCGGGTGCATCCCAAACACTCCTGGACTCCCGGCAAACGGCCCGTAAGGGGCTGGTGGCTGCCCGACAGGAGCAGCATACACCGCACCCTCACCGGGCCGGCCCCAGAAGGCGCCAGGCGACATAGCATACATCGGGAACATCGGCGACGTTGGCGTCGCTAATGGCGTCCCGTTCATGAAATGCGCGGCAGTCGGCGGCCCCATCCCGAGGTAGGGTTGCCCCGGCGATATCCCCGGAGAAGGCATCGGCAGGAAGGAGAAGGGAGGCATGCTTGGTGTGATCGGGGGCAGACCTAGCGGTGTCAGCAGCCCGAAGCCAGGGTTCGCTCCTCCTGGCGGCAATGCTGGCGGCGGCAGCGCTATTGGCCCCGGGTGATGTGGATGGGGCGAAGCCGAGGCCCGCTTCGAGCTCGTCGGACTGCTGCCAGGTGACAGAGGAGGAGGTGCAGCTGGATTCGGCGCCGCCCCGGATGTTGGCAGACCTTGCTTCACAGCTAATGATGGATCGACGAGCGGCGGCGGCGGCTTATGCGGTATCGGAGTACGCGAGTCGAGGTGTAGTTGTTGCATTTGAGTATGCAGCGCCATGGAAATCGGCGATCCTAGTCCCCCCGTGTCGAATGCATTTGGATGCACCGCTGGCGCGGGAACCGGAAACTGGCCAAACAAGTCTCCGTGGTACGGCTCGCTTTTGTAGGACAGATCAAAGGGCGATGAAGCGAGGTGGCCCAGATCGAAGGGATGCTGTTGGGTTGCGCCGTTTTGCGCAAATTTATCGTAGTGCACCTTGAGAGGCCGTCCATTTAGGTCGTATCTGTATCCCCACGTTGAATATTGACAGACGGAACAATGTGGAGCAATTTGAGGAACGCACCCAGAAAACATCGAAACTGCCTTCCGTGCATCTTTCTCTGTTGCGAACAGCACCGTACCAAACCCACGAGATCTCCCATCCGGTCCCAAAGCCACGTCCGCGCGAACGATCGTGCCAGCCTGTCGGAATAGATCCTTGAGGTCTTGCCACTGAACATGGAACGGAAGCTGTCATGTCGAGATGTGAGTTTAAAGAGACAGCGGTGATACAGTGCAACATACGTTCCCGACGAAAAGTGTTTTCCCAATCGGACCAACGTCCTCTTCAAACTCTGGAAACGGCTGGTCGAAATCGCGCATCCGGTCCGCCCTGACGTCAAGCGTGCGATGCTGCCACTCGTATCCGTTGAACATGTCCACGGCCCGTCCTGCGTCCTCGGCCGTAGCGAGCAGCACCGTTCCGTACCCCCTGGAGCGGTTATCCGGGCCCAGGGACACGTCTGCCCGCAGCACCGTGCCTGACTTCCGGAACAGGTCCTTCAGGTCCTGCCACCTCACACGATACGGCAGGTTTGCGACAAACAGCTGCGTCCGGGTGTCTCGCAGCGGGAGGGTCCGATTGTCGTTCCCTGCGGCCGCGGTGGCCATCTGGATGACCTTCTCGATGTCATCGTTGCTCGGGGGTGAGTGGGACGCCGACGTCGGCGGCGTGGGCATCGCAGGGGTGGTGATGGTCTCTTGCATCGAGTAAGGAGCCTCCGCTCCACCGGACGTCATCGATCAATGAACGTGGACATACTTTGTTCCCTGGCGGCCATCACTACTTACTTCATGTGAGAACGGTCGAGTGTCGCCGCGGTACAACTTATACCCGTTCCAGAGACCATTTTTAGTAGGTTGTCTGAGGGCAGAGATAATCTGCTGCTAGATCTGCCCCACAACACTGTTATAAGTCATTGCAATCTATCTAACTGATCGCAATCGTCACTGGAGTGTACGTCATTCGGTGCCTTACTTGAACCAGAAAACCGATTCTTTGAGGAAACGTCTTATTACTCAAGGATTTCTGCACCACGAATGCAAACGATTGCTCATTTCAGTTGCACCCTTCTACATAATACATACACAAACGACGATATGCAAGCAAGTACTCTATCAGCGACGTTTGGACGGGGGAGTTCCAGGCGCATCTTCGCCTGCTTTTCTCTTCATTCCGAAGCCAAATGTGACCTTTGACCGTTCAGTGACCTCGGTTCCATTGGACACGGGTAAATCCACGGCCGACGAGATCCTAGAAAAGCCGGGCTTGGGAGCAGATGATACAGAGCTGACACCTGACGGGATGGGACTGTCGTTGGAAGCCAGGAACGACTGCACTTGAGGTGCAGGAAGGGTGATGAAGCCAGTGTCGACCGGCTGAGGTGTGTCGGAGCCTTTTTTCTTCTTTCCCTTGCCCTTCTCTGCTTTCGATAGCGGCTGCGCGTCGAAGAACTCAGCTGCCTGAGGCACAGCTCTGCGAGAATCATCAGAAACCGGGGAAAACAGAAAGAAATCTCAGCGCACCCTCTGTTGCCGACTGACAAAACCATGTGAGCCTGACCCGTCTTTTCCTGCCGAAGTTGGAAAGCTTTGGTCATGCTCAATGGCGTGTCTCCGCTAGCCATCGCAGCTTGTTTCTGCTCTTCTTTGATCTTCTTCAACCGTTTCTCAGTTTTCATCTTTCCAGACCCTTTCCCGTGGAATCGATGCGACAAAGCCTTCCAGGCTTCTTTCGGAGTCAGCGCACGACCGAATTCATCGTAGTAGACCAAATTGACGTCGGGCTTGTAGTTCTTGAACAGCTCGACTGTTTCACGGATCTCCTGTTGTTCTCGTTGCCGATTCATTGTTTCTCGCGACGCCTGATCTTTCGCTGCCCCTCGGGACTGCCATTTCTCCGTTTCTCTTCGTTCGATAGCGCGCCGTTGTTGAGCCAGCCAGCGATCACGATCCGTCTGGACTACTTCCCGAGACGACTGGTCCTCGCTTGGGGCAGAGAGCACACCTTGCTGCCGAAGAATATTCAGTGTACCGGCCATCCCAGAGCGGAACGTTTGTTCAGATGCGGTTCCGCCGATCCCGTCGTCAACAGGGCCATCCGCGGCAGCTTGCTCAGCCTCTACACTCTTCACCAGGTTTTCGATTGCATCCAGGATCGCCATCTCGTCGTCTTCGTCATCCTCGTCTTTCATCGTCACTTCACCGGCTTCTAATTCCTCAACGGCTTCGTCACCTGGGGCCATCGAAACCTCTCTCGCCGATGAAGGTTGGGGAATTTTGGACTCCTTGGGCTCCTCCTTGATCTCGGTGTTGTTGCCAACAGCACGAATGAATTCGGAAGTATCGTCGAAGGTCAAGCCATCATCAGTAGCAACCACCTGGGCTTGAGCTTGGGCCTGTTGTTCTGCTGCTAATTGCTGTGCGACTACAGCCCATCAGAACCAAGAAAACGTAGAGAAACAAGACTCACTCTTGTCAGCAAGCTGTTCAGGCGTCAACTTGTTGGATTTCCTTAGCTTGGCTTTGCGAGATCGTGCCAAAGCCGCTTGCAGATCGTCATCGTCAACAAAGTTGGTGTCAAGATCCCGTGCACGAGGTACGATAGGCTTCGTATCCACATCCATTTGATCTGGCGGAGGTTCCTCCACCTCCGGCACCCGTCGCGATGACCGTTTCTTTTTTGTCTGTAGATTGAAATGAGACACTCGTAGAACATGGTGGAACATAGTGACAAACCTTCGGCTTTTTGAACCCGACATCACCTTCTTTCAGATAATCCGAGTCCAAAAAAGTTTCTACGATGGACAATCAGTCTCAGCGCCTCTGGAATGAAGGGAGACGCACTGGCGTAATCAATAGAAAGAAGAGATTTGTTGACTGTTGCAGCTGCAGTGTGCTTTTCCTCTTCGATGATAGCTGCTTTGCTTCGCACGGAGCTCCCGAGCCGAAAGCCCTGTCGGTAGCGATCAACAGTTGAAAATACCATAGGGGAGAGACGCGTACGGTTTCTTGCACACCATCAATGTCCTCGTCATACTTGGAAAGGACAGAGCGTTTCATTCCCTCATGTCCAGGAGTAAACTCTTCGTCATCGTACCCTGTGTAGTCTCTCTTCTTGATTTTCAACTCATTGTTCTTCTTCGTGCGCTCTGCTTCAGCCATTTCGACGTTCTGCAGTTCATCCTCTATAGAAACGATTAGTCATAGGAGAGGCAGAGACCCATGATACAACGCACCTTCGTTGTCGAGAATCCGACTGTCTTTCAAGGTAAGTATCCGAGCGTCTCCCTCGTCGAGATCTTCGAAGTCGTGGCTGACCTTCAGACCGACCAGATCACCTATACCGAGATGAGCGGAAACGACCAAGACATGTGACAGTGCTACGCACGTTCAGAATACTCCTCCTGGAACATCTTGTCCATGCTCTCTTGCTCTTCCAATCTCTTCTTCGCGAGCTCCTTCTCCCGCTTCTTGCTCTTCTTGATCCACTTGAGTGTATCGTCGTCGCCATCCGCATCGCCAAGAGTGGCGCCTTTGAGTGAGGCATTGAGCTCGCGCCGGTTTCTGACTCTGCAGGCGCGTAAATAAGCAGTGCGGCTTCCAGTGTAACGAACCCACTTGGCAATACGGTCTGTGATACGCCTGCCATGAAAAGCGCGTCAGAGAATTCTGAAATAGACGGGAGGGCGAACCTGAATTACTTGGCCTCACGGTCCTTGTTCTCCTGCTCCCTCTGCTTAGCATAATTATTCTCCGCCTGCTTGTCCTTGTCGTCAGCAGGAGCACTGTCGTCGGTGAGAGGCTTGAGACCCAGAGAGATACGGATCTTGTTCGTCTCCTCCAAGCTGATGCTTTCTTCCATAGACATCGCGAGTGGTAGTTGACTGAGAGAGTCAGTGATTACGTTATCATACACCTTCCTCTTTCGTCCCCCCAACCGAGCTCGTGAACATGCCCTTCCTCGGCGCGTATCGCACACTTGTGAGCCACTCGTCTACGCGCGCCCGTCATTGCGGTTCCTCAAAAACCTAAAGCAACGGCATGCGCACGAAAGCCCCGTCATTTTCTTCTCTTGTGTCATCGGCCTCACCGGACCCGCCATGATGCTCGTCGTCCCACCAATCCGAGAGCGCCTGGGATACAAGCCGTCCCCGCCCATCCCCAATTCTTACCCGCGTACGTAGCTCCTTCTCCACGATGCTCTAGTGATAGTGAACGTTTGGTTCGTCTGCCTTTAGTTCCCCAGCGACCACGGAGAGCAGTGCAAGGTTACGACGACGAATAGACGACCTGGCTGGACTCCAGTGGGATGAAATAGAAAGATGCGGTGGAGATTCTCTCGGGGTTCCAATACAAAACTGTCGCCTACCCGAATCGAATCTCACTGTTTTGTTGCATGGTCGTGCTGCTAATCTGGCAGTTCAGAATCTTCGAGTCATGCGGTCCTCAATGAATTTGGTGACTCTTACCGCTCGGATTCACGTCTCTGGCTAGCTGCTTAGGCCATTGTCCCCGCCGACTGTAGGGCTTCGGGAGTCGCGGATCACTTGACAGGATCACGTTGTCCTGCACTATCCTGCTTCTCTCTCTAACTGGCAAATCTATCTCCTGCATCCTAGCGGCTGGAGGTGGGCACATTCTATACTTGCAGGTAGCAGGATAAATGAACGTTCGGATCTACCAGTCGGCCCCGCACGCCCTCCGCCCCTAGACCCGGCTAGAAAGAGGAAATCTACGAAGCGATGGATTGCACCTCTTGCTCGCAGTCGCATCACTGACTAAGATCCAAGTTCACGATCACATGCCGGCGATACTGAATGCATGTGATGGATCGTTCAATACCATTTTCTGCCGCGTCCACTGTGTATAAGAGGGGCAGAGGAAAGGGAGTGCGCCCATGTAGCAGGTCATATGATGGGCCATCTGCAGATCAGCATCCTTCAGGCTGTGGGCCACAGCTTGTTCAAGACGCAGAATTTCTGACATCAATCCGGTCTTCTTTCTACTCAGGAGTCTCCCCGACTAGCAGTACCGGTCCCGGGGTGGAGTAGTGGGACTGAAGGCACCGTGGGCCAGTGTATGGTACAGGCGAACACTGAAAGCTTGCAGCGTCATCATCAAAATGCAACCGTGACTGAGGTAAGCAAGTGGCCCCTCCGCCGCATTCATAAGTAGCTGAGATGTGTCACAGGTGGCGGCAGTGAGGTCACCGAAACCTCCGAAACCCGGCGCTCAAATCGATTGCTTCGAATGAATATAGAGCCGGGCGCTCAGCGCCTCAATTTGTTTCTTCAGACGGCTATAAGAGACGAAGCCTGAGGTGGAGAACGTCATATCTTCTATCGCTATCCAATGCCTGGCACCCAGTTCGAATACGATTTCAAGACCCCATCTTACACGGGCAAGACAAGCTTCGCCACGGGTGTCTTCATCGACGGCGAGTTTCGTGACGGCGCTAAGGGCAAGACCATCGAGTGCGTAGAGTGGTTTGGCCCGTCGGCTGTGAATCTGATCCCAGCCTTGTCGTTGCAGCGTATTCAACCCCACCAATGGTCGCGTCGTCACCCAAATTTCTGAAGCCACGCCTGCGGACGTGAAATTGGCTGTCAAGGCTGCTCAGCGGGCCTTTGACACAGAATGGGGGCTCAATGCCCCAGGCTCTCAACGCGCCAAATTGCTGTACAATCTCGCTGCGCTCACGGAAAAGCACATGGATGAACTGTGTGCCATCGAAGCCCTGGACAACGGCTGGTCTTGTCCCCCGCGGGCTGGTACATCACGACTGACCTGACTGAGCAGGCAAGACCTTTACCTGGGCCAAGATCGCTGATCTGAGTTTCGGCATCGAGCTATTGAAGTGCGTCGCTGACCCCCCGCAAGTGCCGAGTAGGATGGTCTCATGCTTTGCAGGTATTATGCAGGATGGGCAGACAAGATAACCGGCCAGACGATCGAGACCGATGAGCGCAAGCTCATATACACTCGCCACGAACCGATTGGAGTCGTCGGCTTGATCATCCCTTGTGAGTTTCGTATCTCTCGCCTGTCAATCTCACGCACTGACACGGACGGCGGCAGGGAATTTCCCACTCATCATGTTCCTATGGAAGATTGGGCCTGCTCTTGCAACAGGGAACACGGTAGTTCTGAAGGTGTATTGCGTTTCAACTGAACAACTCTTGATTTATCATGCCCCAGCCCTCTGAATTCACTCCTTTGAGCGCTTTGCGAATGTGCAGCCTGATCCAGGAAGCGGGATTCTCCAAGGGAGTCGTGAACGTGCTCACTGGGTGAGAGATTACTGGACTCGTTTTCCCATTCAGCGTCTGACAACCTTTCGTAGTTACGGCCCTACTGTTGGCGCTGCCATTTCTGAGCACATGGATATCCAGAAGGTATGTATGCGACATCCGGCTGGTCTGTTGATGTATTCATCTAAGCCACAGATCTCGTTCACAGGCTCGACGCTGGTGGGACGTAAAGTGATGATGGCCGCTGCCAAGACGAATCTGAAGAACGTCACGCTCGAGCTCGGCGGCAAGAGCCCGAACATCATCTTTGACGATGCCGATCTGGAGCAGGCAGTCAGCTGGGCGGCGCACGGCATTTTGTAAGCTGCTGAGTGGCAGTCGCGTCGCATCTGATCGCCATTCCAGCTGGAATCAAGGTCAAGCTTGTTGTGCTGGCTCGCGGATTTTTGTGCAAGAAGGAATATACGACCAGTTCCTCGAGTTGTTCACACAAAAGTCGAGGAGCATTCGGGTTGGGGATCCGTTCTCAACCGAGGTCGATCAGGGCCCGCAAGTGAGCCAGCAACAATACGACGTGAGTTTATTTCACTCGAAAGATGAATGGGCTCTGATCATCGCGCAGCGCATCATGTGCTACATCGACTCCGGTGTCCAACAAGGTGCGACCATCCACCTCGGTGGCAAGCGGCACGGAACGGAGGGTTATTTCATCGAGCCTACTATCTTCACCGACACCACCCCCGACATGAAGATCGTGCAGGAGGAGATCTTTGGGCCCGTCGCTGTTGTCATCAAGTTCGAAGACGAAGCCGGTGCGTGCAATTGAATAGTATTTCCGCTCAGCCGCTCACGTTAGATCAGACGTACTGCGCCAGGCCAACGATACCTGCTACGGCCTTGCTGCTGCGGTATTCTCCCAGAACATCATCCCCGCTCTCGATACCGCCCACAAACTCCAGGCCGGAACTGCCTGGGTAGGTGTCTATGTTCGTTTCTGTACTCGGCTCTCAATCTCTGCAGGTCAACTGTGCCAACTAATTGCACCCGAATGTGCCCTTTGGCGGTTATAAGCAGAGCGGTATCGGCCGAGAGCTTGGGCAGCAAGCGCTGGACAATTTCACCAACGTCAAGGCCGTGCACGTCAATCTCGGCCACCGCATGTAGTTTTGGCACGCCCCACAACCACTCGTGTAGTCGTGATTCTCATCAAGTCGGTTGTAATTGTATGACCTGGCTTCGGTATTCCGACATCGGTCCTCTTCCTCTTCCTCTTCCTCAATCAGCTCGGCATGCACGAGACAGCTGAGTGTGGCGACCAATCAGGAGACACTGAGACATGTGTATACGGGGACCCCGATACGCAATTTTATTTTAGCCTGCCTGAGCTGGATCGCACTGGCTTCTGCTGGATATCGACCCAACGACTTGGTGGGAATGGTTTACCTTCAAGGCTCACGGGGTGATTATCAGCATTTGCCCGACTATCGAATCACTTGACGACCGGTGTCCGGGCCGTCGCCCCAGACCCCTTGAAGATCCTTGGAGAAAACCTAATCGCATGACCGGATCACATATCTCTTTCAGCTGCAATACTTGATCGTGCCAGTGCGCGGCTGAAGACCCCATCAAACGGGATCGAATTCCCCCAGAAGTTTGCTCCCGTCACTGCTGTGATGCATTTATCATCCACAGCAGTTTCGAGTCTGAGGACAGCGCAAATCGACGATTCGCACGGATCCACAGGAGCCTGGGACAGCTGGAGAAGCGCTCACGTGAAGCACGCCACGGAGCCCCGACGGACACTGCAGCAGACAGCCGCGGCTTGGTAATCTTCTGTCCAAGTGATTCCAAAGCCCGAGCACTCTGCCCGCAGCTGACGCAGTATAGCGAGGACAATCCCTCGGAGGTTCACTATTTATCGCGTAGAAGCACCCAAGTAAAGAGACTGGATTAAGATATTGCGGACATAGCGTTCCATAATAGATCATCTACACGGAGTACCAAAAATAATTCCGCGGTTCTCCTGCGCGGATCGTTCGAAGGTGCACTGCAAGTCTCTGTTCCGAACAGATCCGGCGGCTGCCGATCTTTGCCGGCGGGGTGATCATGTAGACATCATATGTTTCAACTTTGCAAACAATTCTTCCGGATCTCTGTGGCCAATTGTGGCACCCGTGCCCACCCAGAAGGTCAGATGATGCGAGTGGGGACCCGACTCCCACACACTAGTACCCCTGCGAGCATCGCCGACCCAGCCTGCTCAACACGCAAGAGCACTGTCGAGGATCAGCTGAAATCACTTACTCTTCCGCAGTTGCTCAGAAGTCTTGGATTCTTCCCCCACGAAGGAAGGCACTGGGTATATAACGCTGAGCGTTATCAATTATGTCATTAGGAACGCCGCGAAGTCACCGGGACCTGCCAAAACCCGGTACTTGAATGGATTTCTTCGAATGAATAATAATACAAAAGGCCAAGTGTGAATCGGAAGACGGCATCTTCTCCCTCTCCCCCTCTTCGATGCCTGGCACCAAGTTCGAATTCGATTTCAAGACCCAGTCGTTCACGGGCAAGACAAGCTTCCCCACCGGTGTCTTCATCGACGGCGAGTTCCGTGACGGCTCCGAAGGCAAGACCATCGAGTTCGTTGACCCCCGTCGTGCTCTGTGTCTGCATCTGGCGCCAACGTTGTTATCCCAGCGTCGTCAATCCCACCAATGGCCAGATCCTCACCAAGGTTTCTGAGGCAACCCCCGCGGACGTGGACCTCGCGGTCAAGGCCGCTCAGCGCGCCTTCGACACGGAATGGGGCCTCAAGGCGTCTGGTGCCCACCGTGCACAGTTGCTAATCAATCTCGCGGCTCTCATGGAAAGCCATATTGATGAGCTCTGCGCCATCGAAGCGCTGGATAACGGTGAGGAGGCTCGCTGCTCGCAGGAGCGCGGGGCCGCACTACTGATGCCCCTTCGTAGGCAAGACCTTTGGTTGGGCTAAAGATGTCGATGTGAGGTTCGGCATCGACACTATCAAGTGTGTTACTCGCTCGTTCGTGGCAGGATGATGGTTCTATCCTTTTCAGGTATTATGCAGGATGGGCAGACAAGATATCCGGCCAGACCATCGAGACGGACGAGCGCAAACTCATATACACCCGCCATGAGCCCATCGGAGTCGTTGGCCAGATCATCCCTTGTGAATCTTGGGCCCCATCCTAGGCAGTTTCACGCGCTGATATCGACGGCAGGGAATTTCCCGCTCCTCATGTTCACGTGGAAGATCGGACCGGCGCTTGCGACAGGCAACGCGGTAGTCCTCAAGGTGGGTAGCGTCGCGTTTGGATCGTGTCATCCGCGATCTCACCTGTCTACAGCCTTCGGAATTCACCCCTTTGACTGCGTTGCGAATGTGCAGCCTGATTCAGGAAGCGGGATTCCCCAAGGGAGTCGTGAACGTGCTCACTGGGTGAGAGCTTAACCGACGCGTTTTACTCTTCAGCGTCTTACAGCCTTGCGTAGTTACGGCCCTACTGTCGGCGCTGCCATCTCTGAGCACATGGATATTCATAAGGTATGTGCGCCACATGCCGAGATAGCTGGCCGGCTTGTATTCAGACGCGGAATAGGTGGCGTTCACAGGCTCGACGCTCGTCGGTCGCAAGGTGATGGAGGCCGCTGCCAAGACGAATCTTAAGAACGTCACGCTTGAGCTCGGAGGCAAGAGTCCCAACATCATCTTCGACGATGCGGATCTAGAACAGGCGGCCAATTGGGCGGCGCACGGCATTTTGTGAGCTGATGCCGCTGTTGAGCACCCGTTGTTTCTTATCTTAACGCCGCATTCCAGCTGGAATCACGGACAAGCTTGCTGCGCAGGCTCGCGAATCTTCGTCCAGGCCGGGATCTATGACAAATTCCTCGAGCTGTTCACGAAGAAGTCGAAGAGCATCCGGGTTGGGGATCCGTTCTCAACCGAGGTCGATCAGGGCCCGCAAGTGAGCCAGCAACAATACGACGTGAGTTTATTTCACTCGAAAGGAGGATGAGGTTTGATAATTGTGTAGCGCATCATGGGCTACATCGACTCAGGTGTCCAACAAGGTGCGACCATCCACCTCGGTGGCAAGCGGTACGGAACGGAGGGCTATTTCATCGAGCCAACCATCTTCACCGACACTACCCCTGACATGAAGATCGTGCAGGAGGAGATCTTCGGGCCCGTCGGTGTTGTCATCAAGTTTGAAGACGAAGAGGGTGCGGCACTTTCGTTTTGTTTGCTTCGGGTGGCTGAAGTCAGATCAGACGTACTGCGACAGGCCAATGACACTTTCTACGGCCTTGCAGCTGCGGTGTTCTCCCAGGACATCAACCGCGCTATAGAGACCGCCCACAGACTCCAAGCTGGAACTGCATGGGTGAGTGCCCATTTTTATTTTCGCACTCGGCTCTCAATCATTGCATCTTTCCAGGTCAATTGTGTCAATCAACTGCACCAGAATGTGCCATTTGGTGGCTACAAGCAGAGTGGCATCGGCCGAGAGCTTGGGCAGTATGCGCTGGACAACTATTCCAACGTCAAGGCCGTCCACATCAATCTGGGTCATCGCAAGTAGGATTGTCAATGGTCGTGTACAGTAGTGATTGTAACTGAAGACTTTTGTAATTTTATGATTCGTCATCTGCATCTCGTCATCCCTCCTTTTCCCTTTCGAACATCATCATGCTCAGCGCGTTCGCGAGACGGCTGCACGCGCCGCGACTATGCGTCCCTTTCGGACTCAGGCGCGCGTATGCCATCCCCGCCGCGTCCAATGACATCTCCGGCGAGGACATGAAGAAACCGCCCAAGTCGACCACCCCATTACGGCGCTCGGCTTCGGCATCACTTCCCATTCGAGCCAATCCGACGCCGACCAGAAGTACGCTGCCCGCCCCTACCCTCACCCGGCCGCCTATGAATCCAGTTCTATAGGCAGCATCCAAACAGTCTTTACACTCGCGACCGCGGAACGATATTTGCTATCCCGGCTCAGAGCACATGTCGGACCCCCGCTGCATGCTCAGAAATTCCACGAATCGTGGTGGGTGTCGCGGTGGGGTAGAGCGGGGAAGGAGGGCGAGATATTCGTCTTCGCGAACGGCAGCTTCGTCTGTTGGGGTCTCGAAGAGGAAGACGCGCACCGGTTTGCGCTTGAGGTGATCGAACGCGTTCCCGGGTCCGAGGTATCGCGTCTTCCCAAGCCAGAGACAGAGGAACTGGAGTTCGTGATAGACCCTATCGAGTTACGCCCCCTGCCCACCTGGCCGACGTGATTATCTTGCTCATCTGGTTCCAGAACGACGCGGCTTCAAGGCGACTTGATCATCCTCGGCAAGGGCCCCGAACTGAACGAAGTCGCCGCGCCCTCCCCCCTCCCATCCATGGCGCTCCCTCTGGAGACCCTCTACGCTCGTTATGCATTCTCTCAAGCTTTGTCTCGGTCGACGGCTTTGTCGGCGCTGGAAGTGTCCCTGGAAGAATATCTGTCCTCTATGGCTCTCCTCCCGCATTCTCTAGCCCAAACGGGCCAACCTGGAATGGGCCGTAAGGCTCTAGTGAAGAAACTCGGGGAACTGATGAAGTTTCGACAAGGATTAAACCTCAACCGGGAAAACTTCAGTGACGTACCCGATTTCTACTGGACAGAAGCGCAACTAGAAAGTGCGGTCTTGTGAAAGTTCTGTGATCTTCTCTCTGATATTGAGGGCAGAATACTTTCACACATTGAGCGATGCGCTCGACGTCAAAGCGCGCACGGACTCTGTAAATGACAAGATCACTTATGCCGCAGAAGTTCGTCGCAATATCATCATCACCTCTGTTGCAAAATTCTTAAATGTGTTGTCAGGCTCAATCTGTTTTGAGACAATTACTTACTGAGGTCAGTGCACTTTTGTATTTCTTGTTTGACATTGCTGACGACGCGGTGTTCAGACTTCCACGCATAGCATGGAGCTTGTTATCATTGCACTGATTGCCGTAGAGGTTGTCATCGCATTAATCCGCGACGGACCTGAGCTGTGGGAGATGTTTACAGGACAACCTGTCTCTCACAAGCCTGCTGCTCCTGATTCTGCAGTTGTATGATAGAGTATCATTCATTACATAAGTACACAACAATCCCATCTCACTTGACGGTGCTAGAGACGGGGTGCGTGGTAATGAATGTGCGAGTCTAGTAGTACATCTTGAAGTATAATAATGATACCGGTACAGAAAAAAATACACAAAGCAGGCACGCCCTATGCGGCCGAAAGCATTACGTGGCTTGTGGCCTGGTTAGAGCATAGCCTCTTGTGCAACTCAGCCCGCCGCTCCGTTTCCCATCGCACCAGCTCCTCTCTGAGCTTGCTCACCCGGACCTCGTTCACAGGATGTCCGGACCCCGTGATTTTGTGCACGAAGGATGAGGACGGATGGTCGTGCTTCGCAGAGCCTGACGACGAGCATTCGGCATTGCAGCGGTTCTCCCAGAATGACACTGCCTGGCGGGCATCGAAACCCGCATGGGCCAGTAATCTAAAAAAAGCCACTTTCAGTTAAGGGAATACTGGGTCCGAGTAGCAACCGACGCACCTGGCAGAGACCACATCTGCTTCAATCTCTTGCTTGACACTTGTACAGTACTCCCCGACCTTCTCCAATTCGCCGGAGCCGATCTTGCCCAACTGCGCGACGGCGTCATTGACGAACGGGCTATGCGATTTATCAGACATCGCAGTGCGAGCGAAACTAATAGTATCATACCCAAACAGCATGGTGACTGGGAAGATGAGCACCCGAATCACATCGGCTACTATTGACATGACTCCAGGAATGATAATGGTTCCGGAAGACAGCGTTTCGAGGTGATGAGAAAGAATGAGGTGGGCCAGCTCGTGCGAGAGAAGGATGGCAAGCTCCGCCGTTTGAGACGGCGTCGGAACTGGGTGAGATGGAGCCGGAGGCGGCGTCAAGCCAAGCAGACTAGAAAGGAAGGACGGCGAGGGCTTGGGGGGTGGTGTAACTGGGTCATCATTTGACGTGTGGCTGAGAATTTCGTCCAGGAATCCAGAGTAAACGACGATCCCCCCACTGCCGTCAGGCCCGAATCCGTACGAAAAGGCATTGGACGCTTCGGGTTTGTCGACGACGAGCAGTGAATACGGGGGCCCTGGAATGGAATGTGCACCCGGCCCGACTTGCCGATTGCACATGCACTCGCAAAACCAGCGCAGATACTCTGATGCCCGTGGTCTGGGTCGCAGAGGGTATTCCGCAGGGGGCGGCTGCGGATTCGCCGAGTCGTGCTGATACCAGTCCTTGCATATTTCCTGCTCGTTGACGAGCACGGGGATCGTCTTCTCGAGATGTCGTAACGTATCACGAATCCAGCCATATCGCCAGTCGGATGCAGGTATGAAATGCGCCGGCCCGTCGTTCGAAAGAATCTCGCTAACCGCCTGATACCAGCCAGGGCCGGCTAATTGCGTCGCAATGTCTTCCTCCTCTTCGGGGGACAGGATGATTAGTCGCCATCTCGACAAAATCAACCTCGATGTAGTCTAGTCAAAAAGAAGGCAGCTCACCGCCCTGTCACCGGTGTCCTTTCCAGACTGGCAAAGATGGTAGCCCAGAAGAGCATGGCAGGAATGAAAAAGAGCGTGTGGAAGATCCAAGTACGTTGGCGTATCTGCTTTAATAGAGTATTGGCTTTTTCTTCTGATAGAGGGACACCATTAAGTTCCGCGATTTTGAGATGACGTCGCGTTTTAATATTCTTGAATACCAATACTGTATGGACGATAAGTTAACAAGGAGGAAGGGAAAGGGAGGAAATCATCACCAGGTATGACAGTGAGTACTATACGACCAGCGGTTCGTATTATTTCCATTGCGGCCGAGGTCTGAACAAAGAGCTCTATCATTAATGTGCGTCCTACGTCAATGAACAATCGATTCGCACTTTCAATACCGCAAGAAGGGGTATGAGAGGAGCCCCATCGCGTCTTGGCGTGGAGTGAAAAGAGGCAGCACCGATGCCAGGAAGCAGCAGATAAGGAGCGGTCGCCGCAGGCTTGATTAGCACCGAACGACTGAGACGAGAGGGTCGAGCACGGAGAGGATGGGTCGCATGGCTTTGGGGACGGATGAGAGTCGAGATAAAGCGGCGACTGGGATAAGATGTATTTGATGTTGAACGCCGAGAAAACAAGCTAAGCATCGTACATTTAAGACAAGAGAGGAAGGGAATGGGCGCGTCGGAGCCGTGTCGTGATTCGTATCACATGCGCCTCGATCAGATGGGCTTGATGGTGGCCGGTAAGTGCCGGCGACGCGCAATCCCCAAGTCTCCTTTAAGTCACAAGGTCGCCGGCGCTGAGTCAGCGTTAAAGATTTTATGACCACCTCGGAAGATCTTATCTCTTGCCTTCCGCGCGGCCAACCTTGCTTTATCTCGGAGATCAAATGATCTTTCTGTGGAGATCTTTCTGCCTTCACCTCCTTCTGACTGAGTAGGCCCTCGGTCCCGACGTTCCTGCTACCGCATCGTACATAGATCCTTACCCGGGCAAGCGCTTGACTCAACTCACTCTCATTCCACACACCTACCCAACTCTTGGTGCATAGGCACACCCAGCATTTGCATGGCCCCCTACGACATCTACGTTGCAAGCGCGCTGGACGCCATCGCGCTCTTCAGTGCTACGCTTCTCGGGATTTCGCGCTGGAGATCTGCACGTCGGGAAGGGAAGATCAAGCTCCCTGTCTCGGATGGAGTTCAGAACGGAAACAACCCCGGTGTGCAGAGGTACGACCCGTTCGACGTGACGACACCGGAGGATGTTCTGGAGGGTTATCCGTTGGAGGAAGAGTCGTTCTGGGATGGGGTTCGTGACATCAGTTCTACTTTCTTTCTCGGAGTCTGACGGCCCTCAGATTAAAACTAGAAAACGCATCTTGACGACTTTCGTCGCGCTATACCTCGCAACGGAAGTGCTCGCGACGACGCTCTCACCGACAGCCGCTGAGCAACAAATCCACGGCCTTCGTCTCGGCTTCGCGGCATATACCCTCATTCTGTCCTTGCTCTCTCTTGGGTACTACGAAGTCGAACTCCATCGTGAATCTACCTGGCACATGACCATGGTCCTCCTGCTGCAAGTTCTGGCGATGGGCTTCGCCGCGATCTTGCCCTCAGACGCGTCCACGATCACAGTCACTCTCTACTCGCCGTCCGTCACGTCCTTCGGCTGGGTGGCGTCGGTCCCCGTCGTGGTTACCATGTACCTGTCATATCTCAGCCCGGCGGCCTATTTTTCCTGGCGGTCGCGCTGTGGTTAGCGATGAGCATGCGCACCGGTCCCGACTTGCGATACCCTGTTGATGTGATCTACTCGGAGAAGGTGGCGAAAGAGATTTCGAACAGGGACATCGAGAGGAGCAATGTCTCTGGCTCGTACGGTGCCTCTGTGCTGGAAAACTCTTCTTCTCGTTTGCTGGGAAGGTTCTGCTGCTCGGGGCATCCCTCGAACAGCTGCAGATTGGGGATCTCCCCATCCTGAGCTCCCAGATGCGTGCGACATACCAATACGTGAACATGCGGAACATCTTGAGTTCTACATCGAGCTCGTCCTGGTCCCTAGTGCGGCAGTTGCTGAGCGCGAACAAACTGTCCCTGCCCCCTATGTTGGGCCTCTCGCTGTGGACCGGGTCTCTGTTCTACCTCCCGCCGATCTTCCTGAAGCAGATCATCGTATACCTCGAGACGGATGGCCAGCGCGAGAATGTGCGCTGGGGTCTGCTCTGGGTGTTCGCCTTCCTGCTGTCGAACATTCTGCTGTACATCGTGACTGGCCAAGTTTGGTTCCTCTCAATCGTCACGATGCAGAACGAAATCAAGATGCAGCTCAGCACTGCACTGTACGCGAAGACACTCGTCCGCAAGGACATCGCGTCGGCTTCCGCTGCGGCGTCGTCGGATGTGACGAAAGACGAGGCGGACAGCGACGACAAGGCCAAGGACGACGCGTTCTCGTCCAAGGCGCAGATCATGACTCTCATGACGACGGACGTCGATCGCATCGCGCGCCTGACCCAGCACCTGTTCTTCGTCTTTGATGTGCCCATCGAGCTGGCTGTCGGCACCATCTTCTTGTACCAGCTGCTCGGCACCTCGGCATTCTGGGGGCTGGCGGTCGCACTGTTCTGTTTACCGCTGAATCACATTGCGGGAAAGGTTGTCTCACGTGGGTTCTCGCTAGTCTCGTGCTCGAGTTCCCATTTGACCGTCTTTCCCTGTAGACGCACAGGACAGTCTGATGAAAGCGCGTGATGAGCGAGTGGCCTTGATGAACGAGGTCCTCGGTGGTATCCGGATGCTCAAAGTGAGCCTCCGTCTCTCAACGACAGGAATTCTGCTAACATTAGAAAGTTCATGGCCTGGGAACGCAGCTTCGAGAAGCGAATCATGAAGATCCGAGCACGAGAACTGCACTACCAATGGCTCAACTACGCAATCCAGGCGTTGCTGTCTGGGCTCTGGGCGCTGGCTCCCATCGTGATCACGCTTGCCGCATTCTACCACTTTGCCATCGTCCGGGGCGAGCAGCTGACCCCGTCAATCGCCTTCACGTCGATCATTGTGTTCAACGAGTTCAAATACGTGCTCGCTGCCATCCCCGAGACATTGATCGCCATCTTGCAGACCGTCGTTTCAATACGCCGGGTTCGCAAGTACCTCGGCACCAAGGAAGTCGCGAAAGTGTCGCCCCTCGAAGAGCAGCCGCGCGAGATCAAGCTGGTGAACTGCACCATCACATGGCCTGCGCAGGCTTCCGCGTCGGCAGCCTCGACGCCCCGACAGCAGTTTCTGCTGATGGACCTCAACCTCGAATTCCCAGGGGTGAATTGACACTGATTTGCGGTAAACTGGGTGCCGGAAAGACACTGCTCTTGCTGGGTCTGCTGGGCGAAGCAGATGTGCTCGCGGGCTCGCTGGTCTGTCCGCGTTCGCCGCCGGACGCATTGGCGAGATATGTCGAGGTGGATGGGGAATGGCTCGTGGAGGGGCTCTGTGGCTATGTTCCGCAGACCGCATGGCTCCAGAACGCGACGATCAGAGACAACATCCTGTTCAACCTCCCGTACGACGACGCTCGGTACAAGGCGACCCTCGAGGCTTGTGCGTTGACGACGGATCTGCAGATCCTCGAGGACGGGGATCAATCTGAGATCGGAGAACGCGGTGTCAACCTGAGTGGAGGCCAAAAAGCGCGCGTCTCTCTCGCTCGTGCTGTTTGTCAGTTGCTATTTTTTGGGATTGTTTCGTCTTGATTCCCTGCTGATGTTATGCGACAGACTCTCGCGCATCGATCCTGCTGTTGGACGATGTGCTCTCCGCGGTCGATGCGCACACTGCCCACCATCTGTACAACAGCTGTCTACGCGGCGAGCTCATGCGTGGGCGGACGCTCCTGCTCGTCTCGCATCACGTGCAGCTGTGTGCTCCCGGGGCGGCGTATGTCGTCGCACTCGACAACGGCACGGTCAAATACGCCGGCGATCGGGACACCTTCCGGTCGAGCGGTGTCATGGGCAGTCTGGTGCAGAGCGCCGCCCACGAAGACGACGGGGTGGAGGACGCTGCTGATGCGACGAAGAGCGACTCTGAGTCGGAGAGAACGACGGTCGGACAAGAAAAGGCGGCTGAGGAAAGAAGGCGGCGCCGCGCAAGTTCCTGGAGGAGGAACGTCGGGCTACGGGCCGGGTCGCGTGGTCTGTTTGGATGAGCTACATCGCCGCCGCCGGCTCATGGTGGTACTGGTTGCTATTTATCGTCCTGTTCGCCGTCTCTGCCATGACTCCGGTGCTGGAAAACGGGTGGCTGGGATACTGGTCCAGCGGTAAAGACCAAGACATTCACGGCACCGAGTACTTTATCGGCATGTATGCTGCCGTTTGTGTCTTTGGACTGGTGGTCACGGTCGTGCGCTTCTTTGTGCTGTACTTCGGAGGCATCCACGCGTCTCAAGTGCTCTACAAGAAGCTCCTCTCGACAGTCCTCTTTGCGCAGATCCGGTTTCATGACACTGTCGCCCGCGGTGCTCTACTGAACCGATTCGGGCGCGACATTGAGGTGATCGACAGCACACTCCCGACGAACATCGGACAGACCGTCAGCTTCTTCCTCGCCGCGATCGTTACTCTCGGGACACTGAGCGTCGTCGGCGGACCGGCATTCATCCTGCCCATGTGTGTCGTCCTGTGGCTCAGCTACCAGATCGCGAAAATCTACGGGCAGACGTCCCGCGATCTCCGTCGCCTGGACTCGGTCACGCGTTCGCCGGTGTACTCGATGTACTCTGAGACCATCGCCGGCGTGTCTGTTCTGCGTGCATTTGGCGCTGGTAGCAAGTTTCTGCGCCAGATGCTGCGTGCGGTAGACACGAATGCGAATCCGTCATTCTGGTCGTTCGGGGTGAGCCGCTGGCTGACGGTGGGTGGTCGCGTGTTTGACATCGTCAGTCGAAGTCACTGGCTGATTCTGGACAGATCCGGCTGACATGCCTCGCCTCGACATTCACCGCACTCATTGCCCTCGTAGCCGTGCTGACGCCCGGGATCTCGGCCCCCCTCGCAGGCTTCGCCTTCTCCTTCTCGTACATGAGCACCTACACGCTCCTCATCCTCGTCCAGTCGTTCGTCGCGCTCGAGCAGGCGATGGTCGGTCTGGAGCGCGTCCACGAATATTCTGCCCTGCTTCCAGAGGGCGAAGAGTTTCTGGAGCCGCGGCCCGAGCCAGACTGGCCCGCGGAGGGTGCGATTGAGTGCAAGGATCTGGTTATCAGATATGCTCCGGAGCTGCCGGCAGTGTTGAAGGAGGTGTCGTTCGAGGTCAAGCCTGGCGAAAAGGTGCGTGACGGACATGTATAATCCGGCTTGGTCTTTTCACGAAGCACACGCAGGTTGGGGTCCTCGGTCGGACTGGATCCGGGAAATCCACCCTCGCACTGTCCCTCTTCCGTTTCGTGAATCCGTCAGAGGGGACCATCATCGTTGACGGGGTGGACATCACCAAGATCGGGCTGACCGATCTGCGGAGCCGGCTGACGATCATCCCGCAGGACCCGACCATCCTCAGCGGAACCCTCCGCTCGACGTTGGATGTGTTCGAGGAATACGAGGACAAAGACATCTTCGAGGCGCTGCGTCGTGTGCACCTCATTCCACCCGCTGACGACGGCGCAGACTCAGACTCTGTCACGCCCGACTCCGAGTCGGAGGTCAACGCGAACGTATTCAAGAACCTCGATTCGCCCGTGTCGGAAGGCGGGGACAATTTCTCGACGGGCGAGAAACAGCTGCTGTGCATGGCGCGCGCGATCCTGAAACGGTCCAAAGTCCTCGTCATGGACGAGGCGACTGCCTCGGTCGATTATGCCACGGACGAATTGATCGGAAAAACGATCCGCGAGGAATTCGCCGGGAGCACGATCCTCACCATCGCGCATCGGCTGAGGACTATCATCGACTATGATCGAGTGCGTTTTTTTTTACATTTGCGGGGCTCGAATTAGGACCAACCACGCGCAGATTCTGCTCCTCGACAAGGGCCAAGTGCTCGAATTCGACGCGCCTGCGACCCTCCTGGCCAACTCTGACTCGAGCTTCTACAAGCTGTGCCAGGCGACGGGCAAGAACGAGTTCAAGGTCCTGCTCGACATGGCAGGCGTCAAAAAGTAAACTAGTTGCCCCAGATTACTAACCGCATGTAATTGAAAAAACCTCTTGGATTACGATTCCGACAACATACAAAAGTTATCGACGAGAACAGATCAACCTTGAGCACCATACGACTGCCCCGGCTGGGCGAAAGCATAAGCCGGTTGCGGCGCTAAGCAAAGCGCATGAGCACAGGCCGAAGGAATCAAGCGAGAAAATGCCAAATACAGTAGTAGTGCGTCATGGTCGCATTGGGGTCCACCACGCTCGCGGCCTCTTCCTCTCTGAGCTGCTTGATGTAGCTGTTCACGATCAAAACGCCGTCTAAGAAAGAGACAACCGCGATCAGACGCTGCCGCACTAAAAAGGAAGGAGAGGGGAGACCACTTACATAGCTCGACGAGCCACGTCAGGCAGTACGCGACGACGACGATGACCTTGAGTATCTCCAGTCCCCGGTGGCACGCATCCACGATCGCCGCGTCGGACGAGCCGTTGATGCAGTGTGCCAGCGCCAGGGCCGTATTATGCGCGAACAGCGTCACCATCGTGTACACACCCGTGATGACGCTGAAGCCGAGGTGGAACGCCAGAAGGCTGCCGAAGGAGGAGACGAGCCCGGATTGTTTGGTCAGCGATCCGATGAGCCTGGGCGGGGGCGGACTCGGTTTCACAGAGCGGATGCAGACGAAGCGGACACGCACCCGAAGCCACCGAGGACCGCCAAGAGCGAGAACATCACCGCGTGGACGTACAGCGCGATCTCGTCGCCTCTGGCGACCGAAGTCCCCTCTGCGCGCGCGTGCCACTGATTAGCATCGCGTCTAGACCAGCCGGAGCCCTCAAGACACTGCTTCACTCACGCAGCTTTTTGACCTCGAGCCAGCCCGCCACCGCGAAGAGCCCGCCGAGCAGGAGCGTCACCAGACCGGTCACGAACACGCCGAAGCGCACGGGGATGCAGCAGCAGAAAGTGCGCGTGCGGATGTACCCCATTCTAGTCGAAAACTTGATAAATTGAGTGTATGCTGTGAGAACGAAAATCCGTCAAGGAGCCTGTGATTCTGAGGCTTTGCTGGGAATGAACAGAGAGGACTTGGCTAGCAAGCAAGCAAGCTCAGAAGTATAGGCTAGAGAAGGAGAAGAAAGATATGTGGCAGAAGAGAATGAAGAGAAAGGTGGGCCCTGCCGCTGAAGAAGAATGAAGAGGAAAGAGTCTTGCGGGGAACCATGCGATGGACTGTTTTATACAAACCGGCGCTCGGTGTTTGAAACATCAAGCACTTGGTGATCATCATTGCCCGTCCATGCCCTGATTCCCGTGCATGGAAACAACATGGAGACATATGCCCCAGATTCCAGAAGAAGCGTAATGGTTATTGAGAGAGATATCCGTAGCGTACATAATTAGCAAATCAGATTGTATCGTACACAATAACGTTTGCACAATTTCTCTAGCTTTCCGCAGAGATGAAAGTGGCTTCGTTATACACAGTACCCTCGACCTCCACACTCTCAGTCGGTGTATTCACAACAAGCTTGCTGGGGTTGAGCCACTGCAGATTTCGTGAGCACAGAAGCAACGATATGGAATCCATCAAAACTCACTTGATAGATATAGGGCTTCGTGCCAGCCACATAGCTCACAGCCATCTTGATGACCTTCGGGATCTCCGCCATGAAATCAACCTTCTCGACAAGACCCTTGGGCGCGTCATTGTCGCCCACATCCAGGTGCAATTTGGCCGTGAACGAGCCAGGCGCGTCCGCGAGCAGCGATGTACCCGCCCACTCAAAGTCAAACTCGCTCGGCGCGTCGTATGTCGTGTCGGCATCGAAGAAAGTTTTGCTGTGAGCCGCCCGAGACTTCATCGGCGCATCGGCGCTCAGCTCCTCGTCCGGCCAACGCGTCTCGGCAGTGACGGCCACGAGTTTATCATCAACCACGAGCGAGCCGACGTTGACGACGACGCCGCCGGGGTTCTCGGACCCCTTCCTCCCGTATGTGTTCAGCGTCTTGAACTGCATCTGGGTCGCAGAGATGCCCTTGTCAATACTCTGGAAGTGCACAAAGTCCCAAGAGCTCGCGACAAGGTTGGGCCGCATGCCCTGGATCGCGTGGACAAAAGACCTGGGCCCTGGATGGCCTCAGCCGCACCGCTGCGAATGATGTGGCCCGTCGCGTAGTACCGAGGCCAGAACCGGTGGATCACGTAGCCCTCGGGCTTGCTCGAGTCGGGTCCAAAGTACGAGTACCCGCCCTTCTCGCCCGCCCCGACTTTGTACCCCGGGATGGCGGTCGGACGGCACACCTCGAGCGAGATCTGCAGGTCCGCCGCAACGTTGGCGCGGATGGTGTACTTTTCAGGGAACTCGGATTCAGGCGCATTGACGTATGTGATCGAAAACTCGTCTGCCTTGCACGAGTGCTTGTCGTGGCCGGGCGGGGGAGTGACGAAATTCGAAACGTTGATCGACTTCCAGGTCGTCGCCTTGGTCGTCGGGTTGTAGATCTTGCAGTTGAATTGGATGGTCGGATACCACAATCTGAATGACATTCATTCAGGTCGCGCCATGCGGTAGCCTGGCACAAGACATACCCGACGGATGAGTGAATCACCTGGCACATCATGAACGTGCCATCCTGCCCAATCGTATAGAATGTCTGAGTCTCAGCAATGAAGCCGCTGGTGGAACACAGCCATTCGGTGTCCTTGGCTTGCAGTGCACCAAAGGCTTCGCCCGGAGACACTGCAGACGACGTCGGGTGGAACGTCGGGGCATCCGGATCCACAGGTGCAGATGTCCTGCATGGATTTCAAGCTATGCTCGTATTGTTGAACGATCAACTTACGAAAAGAATGAAGAGAACATGGTGGGGTAGAGGAAGGACAACTTCAGAAGGGGGGACTTGGCAAATCAACTACACGTAAGCAACTTCGTCATCTATGCGACGTCGTTTATTGGTCTGTGCTACATCTGGATCCAGAGCATCATCCGGCGAAGGCTGGAATGAAGAGATTGGTCGACGACAGAGCACAGGACGCGGAGAACATACACGACTCTGATCGTACTGAATTGCCCATTCAAAGCTTGGTTCTTCGTCGGTCGCAATGGTTTCACGATCATGAGCATACTCAACGCCACTCAAAATTCGGGCAAAGTGTATTGCACCACTTTTCAATGCGTCAAGTAGCTCTTTGTTCTGGTTAGCCTTCAAGGAGGACGGATTTTGCGATGGAATGGAAGCTGGCCAGCCGACAAGACGGACCCCGTATGTCTCCAACTGAGAAGGATTGGACCATTTCATTTCCGCATTACGGACTCCGCTAACAGACCTGCAGCAATGAGCAAAAGCCGTCAAGTGCTGACTAAAATACCTCAGAACAGTGCGGAATTTATCATACAGTTCTGTCTTGACTGAACGCGCAGATTGGTGGGTCGGATGTGATGATGCGGCAGCAGAAGTCCCTGGTTCCGGAAGATGCTTTGCGCAGTAGGCCTTGAACGCTTTGGCCCCAGCATCTCCTCCTCCGCGCTGACCGCGCCAGAACTCCCGGCCCTCTACGGAGCCACCGAGAAATCCAGGATGCTCCGAGTCAGTTGGATCAACGGCTAGAATGAAGGAGTGTACCCCAGAAACCGCACGGAGAGACTCGAGCATACGAGACGTTTCCTCAAGAACAGTTTGAACTAGATCATTCAGGCTCCACATATTTCATAGCCTGAAACAATCTCCACTGACTGCGGCGTATTCGCTCTTGAGCGGACGCGAAAGATTCAGGTAGCTGAGGTTGAAATAGATACTGGCCATGCCACTCTGCGACGCAACGCCTGATCTTGTGCGAGCTGTCAATTAGAGGAATAGAAATCATTGCGGTTCACCATATACCTCGTCAACAGGACGGTTCTCCCTTTCAGCAAAACTCTTCACCTCTGCCCGGCAGAAAGCGTCTAGTCGTTCCAGGAAGAGGGCATCCGTAGGTCGCGCAGAAGATGAGTTGTATTCTTCCATGGAAGTGTGCAATGTCCTGGTACTTAGCGTTACGTCTAATCTCGCCGCAACGAATGGGAAGTAGCGCGAAACTAGCGTTCGTTAGAAGATGCAAATGGCCAACGTTCAACGTTCAAGACGACGGAGAGCAACTTGTGATGGCTTACGTCATGAGGTTGATCCCGCGATTTCTTTGCCTCGTCTTTCTTTCTCACTTTCTACCTTACAAGAAGTTAGATGGGGCGGACGCAGACGAAGAAGAAAATCTCGAAGGCTTACCGGTCTGAGGCTTCTACAAACGCGACGCCGTCGAAAACGCCATCGATCGCAGCTCTCTTGGAGAAAGCACAGGGATTGATCGTGCAGTGCGATTATGAACTTGCGCAACGATTCATTTTGCGGGCCCTAGAGCAAGCACCAGATCACGCAGAAGCTCGAGAAATTCTCGGCGTCGCACAGCTCGAACTTGGAGAATTGGATCAAGCCAAAGCCGTCAGTAAAACTTGCTTGACTCTGCTTTATAGTTGACCAACTTCAAGCCCTTTCTCCTTCATTCAGACATTCTCTTCTCTGATACAACCGAGTCCGACTGCCCCAAATCCTCCGCCCCCGTCGGCCCATCTATATCTCGCTCAACTTGCCGAAGATGATCCTACATACGCGTTGAAGCATTATCAAGCGGCTATAGACATCCTCACCACCCAATTGAAGGGCAAGGAGCGCGACTCAAGTATCCCGAGGGAAGATGAGGCCGAGATCAAAGCGAATATCATCAGAGCTTTGATCGGTCAAGTGGAGATTTGGATGGACCCGTCTTATGATCTTTGGTACTTGCTTTTCACTGAATGCTTCCACGCTTTGCTCAACTCAGTCAGCTTCGATCCCGCAGCAGAAAGCACTTGTGAAACCTTGCTCGCGAGTGCGCTACAAACAGACCCGGGAAATGCTGAGGCGTTGCAAGCCTTGGCTTCTGTGCGGATGTCCCAGTCGCGTCCGGAGGAAGCCAAGCAATACATCGAGCAAGCTTGGGCTTCATGGAAGGATCTAGACATCGGTTTCGTGATTTTCCTGTCTCGAGCGACCCTGACTTAACTAATTCACTCTGAAGATGACCCAAAGCTTCCTCCGATAGCGACCCGACTGGCCTTGGTCAAGATCCTGCTGGAACTTTCGCTTTACTCTGCTGCCTTGCTGGTTCTCCATGGAGTGATGGCCTCTGACGACCAGGAAGTAGAAGCCTGGTATCTCGAGGGCTGGTGTTTCTTCCTCATGGCCGAACAAGCTAAGGAAGGGGGAGGCACATTTGAGGGTTTAACATGGCAAGAGCTGGCAACTGACGCGAGGGATTGTCTCGAAACCTGCCAGACGGTGAGTTTAATTCTTTGCTCAGTTCACCTGTTGATAGCTCTTCAGTTACATGTTAATGAGGGACATCCGGACACACCGCTACTGGATCATGTGCGAGAGTTGCTGTCAAAACTCGATGCTTTAGGCATAAAACCGTCCCCGGTTCAGGACGAAGACAACCCAGAAGGTGATTGGGAAGATGTCCAAGGCAGTGAAGATGAGGATGGCGATGTGGACATGGCTTGAGAGCGCCATAAGTACACAAAAGTAGCTTATTTGCATCGAGTGTAATATATTTTCTAGTCGGAGCGTGACCTGAGGCGATCATCGTTTCGTGACATCCGCAATTCAAGGTCCTCACTGGTATGTCCATGGCGAAACTACGCAAAGAACAGTCAAACACTAGTCTTTCGTCTACATCCGGACGTGGTTTGCGTATCGTCGCGTCTGGAACGCTATTCCTCACCCACACACTTGGTCTACCCGTCTACCCCGCTCCTTCGACTGTTGCGCGGGCCCATTCAGTTAGCAAGACGCGTGGAGGGTCGGCCAGCACGCTTCTGTGTTTGCTGGCTCAATTCTCCAAAGTTGAAGCGCTTCTAGTCGCGCCCTTGGGAGGTAATACCGAGGGCCAAGCAATCATAAGAGAACTCGAGCGTGAAGGGGTTAGCACTCGTTATTGTAAAGTCGTCGACGGTGCCGGTGTCCCGAGTGCATGGGTCCTGGAATCTCGTGCGTCTGCATGTACGCTTGCAGGCTCCCGCTCACCTACGCGCTCCAGCTGACCCCAACACGCGAACGGTTATAAACCATAATCCTCTCCCAGATATCACGCACGAAGAATTTGTTTCCAGTCTCGGCCCGCTCCTTTGCCCCGAGAACTATTTCGTTGGCTCTCCTGGATCACCTGTGGCTCCTTCGCCCAGCGTGTCTGCTGGCTCTTCTGCGCAGAGCCCCGCTCCATTGGACTGGCTTCACTTCGAGGGCCGTTCAGTTAAGACGACGCTGCACAACATCACTGGAATAGACGGACTTGCAAGAGAACGCAAGTGGCGCAGACACTGCGTCTTCAGTGTTGATGTAGGGAGGAGTAAAGGCAGGCAAGGAGTCGAAGCGGTGTGAATTCTTGACAGCCTTGCATCCTGGATAGCTACTGACGAGTGACATCTTCACTAGCTAATACCGCATGTTGACGTGCTGTTTCTCAACAAGCACTACGCACAAGCCAATTCACCCAATTTCGCTGCCAGCCCACGTGCCTTTCTGCTATCCTTGACCTCCATTGCCCCGCCGCATGCACTGCTTGTTGCCCATTGGGGTTCCGAAGGAGCCGCCGTTCTCTCCCTTCCGACGCAGGAGTATTTCCAGAGCTCCGGTTGGGTTGAGGAGCGTCCCAAACCTCCACCAGCCTCGCATGGTCACCGGGCAGCCAACGGCACCTCGCCTGAACCTACCAACGAAGTCTTGTCAGTTCGAAGCGGGAGCGATTTCTGGGCCGGTGGGGAGAGTCGATCTCCATCGTCCAGTGCATTTACTGCGACACACTACAATTCCGACGGCAACACGGAGGCTTGGGTCTCGTCGGGATCTTACTCTCGATCGCCATCACAGAATTGGAATCACGAGCGCTCCGACGACTATGACGACGACGACGACGACAATGATTCGACGGGGACAGAGGTTCCCGACGACGGCGTGATTGATGAAGTGGGAGCTCAGGATGCGTTCGTTGCAGGGATGATCTATGCTCTGAGTCGCCGAATTCTTCCTGGGGCACCTTACACCCCAGGAGACACATCGGTTTCGCAGTCGCATGAAAATGATAAAGGACGTTGGAGGCTGGATGAGTGTCTTCGGTAAGTCCTAATTCATGCCAAGGGCCGCGCTTGACTAAGCCGTCAGCTTTGCAACTGAACTTTCAGGCCGCAAAGCCAGGAGGAGAACATGGGAGGGATTGGGTAACGAGATGAGACGTGCAGGTTGGTTCGACGGCTGATCGTGGACAAGCAAATTATATCCCATTGGCTGAATAGCATTGATGAAGCTGTGTGGTACAAGCACTGACAGTGAAACCATTCTTGTTTCCTGATTTGTTAGCGGCGTCAGCGCAATCATTGTTCTGATCAGAGATTGTTCAGTCCTCTGCTGAGAAAAAGAGGTCCTGCGTACCTGGATATCGCTACAAATGGTAAATCAGAAATACCGATCAGATTGTTCATGAAATCCACGCACCAAGATCTGGCTTGTGCGTCACGCTCTGCGTTGAAGACGTTGCCTTGCACTTCGAACTTATCTCCGGATTTAGACACTGTGGGTGCACCAACATTTCCCAAAGTGCCACTGAATGTTTGTAAATTCGCTGGGGAGGCTGCCGGTGACGGGGCTGGGGCTGGGGACAATGGGGCCGGGAGTGCTGGGGCCGGGAGTGCTGTGGTCGTAGTTGGGGTCGGAGTCACAACCGGAGGAGGAGTGGAAGTGACAGTAACGGGTTGTGTGTTCGGAGTTGTAGCGACGGCTGTTGTTATCGGGACCGGTGTGGTAGATGCGGGGGTTGTTGGAACAACAGTCGGAGCGGGCTTGAAAACCTGCGTTGGAATTGCGGTAGTTGTTGCTGCAGGTAAAGTTCCAGCAGGGGTATCTCCGGAAGATGAACGGAATGCATACTGGGAGTGCTAGGGACTGTGACTGCGGCAACACTTGTACTGGTTACAGCGGAAGATGAGGTCGCGATTTGGGTCGATGAAGTGACTATTGCTGGCGCCGAGCTTGCAGTTGCAGACACACTGATGGAGCCCATGTTCCGGAAGTTCTGTAGACCACAGTCATTGGTATTTTACTGGGAACCGCCAAGTGACTCACAGTCCCGACTCCGAAAATGGCGTTGAAAACATCAGCAGCAATCCCCTGGTCCGACGGCTGACTCGATATTGCAGTGAGCGCATTGTTGCAGGTGGTCCGGCCAACAATATCGGCTCCGCACTGAGAAAATCGATTCAGCGAACTAAAGAGGGTGGACTGCGCGACGGACTGTAGTGGCCAGGGCGTTGCAAATGGAGTTTGCAACGGAGTTGATATCCGCAGAAGAAGCGGCAGGATATGAAGCTGTGGATGCATAAGGACTTGTATCGTCAAACGAAATTCCAATCGACCTTGGTCAGTCGCCCGAAAAGTGTTGCCTGCATTCCCGTCGAATCCGGGCCCAAATTCAATTTCAGGTCTGCCGCACGACCCAAAATCGCTCGCAGTCACTGTGGGAGTTGCGCTTGAGGCAATTGTGCCGTACGTAACTGTGATTGCGTTTGCAGCCGCGTTCTGAGTGGCCGTCCCTGATACCGTGCGAGTGACAGGAGGAGTAGAGCAGGTGGAAGCGCAGGTCGTTGTGGGTACAGCTAGTCGCACGACCACATGTGCGCGGGTCACACTGCATCGTCATCTGTTAACGCATATCCGGAGGACAATCTAACAGCACAAACCGTCGAGCAGGGGCATTCTGGAGTGGAAGCGCGTGGGATGGATGTACGAAACAAAGGAGAGACAGTAGCAGCAGAATAGAAGAGCCGAGTGGGAGGAGAGAAACCATAGAAGACGACACAGTCGAGGGAATATGGAGGCCACTCGACGATGGGGCAGGTGTATCAGATAAAAGAGACCGTCAAGGACGCAGAGAAGAATGCGCAGGCATGAATTTCAATGAGCCTGAAGAGATTGGCTGCAAGGAGCCAGCCGCAGACAAGCAGGTGCAGAGTAAATTGAGAGAGAGGATCGCGTCGCCATTTGATCCCATCGCCATTAGGGGTCTTGACAACTGATTGGCATGGAGATCTGTTGCTCGCGATTTTCGCTGATTACACAAGTGACTAGTCTAACTAAGGGTCTCAAGCAAGCCCTTTGAGGGTGGGGGCATGTAAAGAAGAAGAAAATGGCTGAATCACGATCACATGATCCTGATGAGCTTCCCAATGAACATTCCGTCGCAGAATATCTCGCAGAAAAAGCGGAAGGTTTTTGAAAGGACGCGACTTTTCACGAAGCGCCCCAACGAGTTGCAAGAGAATCTCCAGAACTCATGCAAGACACGCACTTACTTATCGAAGGTCGATATCGATGTCGATGTCACAATGCGCTCCCACAGACGATGGGATCGTTCAGTGCCAGTTGTCGCCGCATGGAGAAAGTGCAGGGGAGATGGCGGACTGCCTGATGGGACATGGAAGGCCAAGACAATAGTCCAAGATCGTGATTGACCATGCAGGCAACTGGACAAGGAACTGTGACCTTGGCCCAATATTGGTCATTCTTTTGCTCAAGCGACCTCACTTTCCCAATCTGGTCTGTTCGGACGGAGGAGAGTCAGGAGACCCATGATGACTTTCGGGTGAATCGTTTGTCGAGAGAGACACAGGTTTGATCTAAAGGCAAATTATATTGAACTCGGGTAGTAGCCATCCGCTAAGTTTTCGACTCGTCTTGCGAAATCGGTGGGCAATTGCAGTCTAGGCCAAACGAGATTGCTTCGGTGCGCAAGGTGTAGTCCAGCCGGTTCTATTATTGTTTAATGATGCTCGGCGTGCGAATGAGCCGCACTCGGGTGATAGTCCAGTTGGTAAACTGGCACGAACCGATGAGCCCGTAACGACTTGAGCCTCAAGATGGGACACACCTGAACCGCACTCGGGGCAAAATCGCTGCCTGTCAGCAGGAACGTTGATCCAGTGGATGTCGTGAGAGTCGGCGGGACTTCCAGTGCATCCAATGGTTCGCACAGGATCCTTAGGGAAGTAGATGTCAGCTACACATATACGTAGCCAACGAAAATACAAGGACGCACGTAGGACAGAACGAGAATTGGGTCTTTCTTGGTCCCAACACGGCTCGAGTCTAGAGGTGCCGAGTCAAACACGTCGATCCCCTCCATCTCCCCCAAGAGTTCGAAACGCTCCAACCCAGTGGCCTGCTCGAAGTCGGTGGGGACTTCACCGGCCTTTCCACCAGGACCGAAGATGGAAGGGGGCTTCGGACCCGAAGCAGCGCGTAGTGTGGTAGAAAATGTCCGAGCAGAGGACTTCAGAGCTGGGCGAGCCGCAAGAGCGGGACGCGCGGCGTTAAGTGCGCAACGGAGTAGCGACATGGCGAGAGACTGATACGAGTTGTGATTGTCACAAACTTCCGTTACCCATCAGCATTGACTGAGTCAGACCAGGCGCAGGGTTGAGTCAACTCTGCTGTAAGCTGACTTTTATAGGTGGGTTTGACTGGTAGCGACTTCGTTAGTCCTGACCGTCATCCTCAAGCCCATTAGGATGGCGACGTTCGCCAAATCTACATTCAATACCGCGCTGTACGCCCTCTCGCGCCCCACGTATCCTCAAGTGCTATTTGACGCGGTATTCGCGTACCACCAGAAGTCACTGCTCCTTCCGGGAACTACTGCGGGCTGGGATAATGCCGTCGATCTCGGCTGTGGAACTGGTCCGCACATTTCAATACTTGATACCGAGGCGCGACGAATGATATTTCTGGCTTAGGTCAAGCGACGGCCGGGATTTTGCGACCGTTCGATGCACCTGAACCCGCCCTCTTCTCCAACTCTGAAGAACCGACGTTAGGGTTCGCACGTGCCACCGGTATTGACCCCAGCGCCAAGATGGTCCAGGGCGCCTTTGAATACGCGAAAAGCTTAGGTCGGCAGGGCACCGCCCTCAACTTCGTTCAGGGTGCCGCGGAGGACTTGAAGTCCTTGGATGACAAGAGTGTGGATATGTTCATCGCAGGTCTGCTGCTCGACGATGCTAGATCCGGGTGAACCGCTAATCTGCAGCTCAGCTCAGGCCGCTCATTGGTTTGACTGGGAAAAGCTTTGGCCTGAGCTGTCACGAGTCCTTCGATATGGAGGCACTGCAGCCTTCTGGGTAATCATCCTTTAACTTCACTGGGACGAAGGCTGAAATGACTCGCAGGTATATTCGGAATTCCGGCTTCCTGAACATCCTCATCTCACATCGTTCATCACCGAATACTCCCAAGGCAATGATGCTCAATTGTCGTTGGGTCCACACTGGGAGCCTGGGCGTGCCATTCTGAATAACCACCTGCTGGATATCAAGGATCCTCCGAGCGGGTGGGATGACGTTACTCGCATATTTTTTACCGGAGACCACTACGAAAATTTGCCGCAACCACTGCCCGTTGTTATGCAGCGCTCGATGCCCTGGGGCATCAATCTATCGCCTGACCATCCGATAGACGACATTCCTTCACCCAGTCTGCACTCTTATCTTCGAACTTTCAGTGCGTTGCATCGGTATCACGAGGCTTTCCCAGACGACCTTGCGAAGGGAACCAACGGAGACATTGCTGCTCGGTTTTTGCGACAGCTCATGGCTCATGCGCAGATACCTGCTGGCCCAAGCGGAGCTACGCAGGAAGTCCAGGTCGAATGGCCCCTTGCACTGGTAGTGGCTCGTAATCAATTGGATCATGGTGATCCGTGGCTCCAACGCTCTGAAGACTTGGACCGTCGCATTAATGCCGTCAAGACTGCGTATGAAGCTCACGTGCAGAAAAGTTCTGACAGCGACCAAGTGGAGGAGAATACGAAGCGTCTATCTCAGTGGCAAGATGCTCAAGATGCGGTTGCGGCGATGGTCTACCAAGATCTTATCGAGGTAAGCAATGCTACACTCGAGCCCGAACAAGCAAGAGGGCGGGTACGATATGTCGGAATTCTGGAAGAGCGACGGGCAACTCTCGAGTGGCAGTCCATCTTCACGGCCGCGCTCGACACAGCGGTCACCCTGGCCGATCAGGTCGAGGTCGAAGTCGGACGGGATGATATCAACTCAGGCGTGACTCGTTGGACAGCCCTCATGGGAGAAAAAATTGCAGACCATCTCTCCAGAGTCCCGATGTATGATGAAGAAGATGGTGAAGCCACCCCACAGGAAATGACTGAGGACAACGTCGAGGAAGCCGAACACGCTCAGGCTCTCACGGATGTGATCACCGTCGTCACAGAGCTGGCCAACAACTCGGACGACCAGCCCATATTCGATGTCGTCCGTCAATTCTATGTTGCATCGGCCTCGGGAATCTCCGCAGAACTCAATATCCAGTAGTGACTCATAAACATACGTTCCGATTAGGAAACCATATTACTATATCTAGCTGTTTGCATCTGCCAAATAGGCTCGCCCATTCCTCTTCTCTTCTCTCCGATATCTCAATGCTCCATCTCCATCTGAGCGCAAGGTTTGGTGCGTCCCGCCGCAGCCTTCGAACTCATTGACGCGTTCGTCGACATCGATTTGGATTGGGCGTACCCGCTGTGCCTGCTTGCAAAGGGTTCCGGCCATTTGTCATACCAGACGATCGCCAGAATTGAAACTATTGCAGGGATGAAGGTTGGTTATTTTGGGCTCCTGTGGGCATTTATGCGTGTTCTCTCGTCATTGAGTGCCATATTGATTGCACTCGTAGAGCTGAACACCCTGATGATATTCGTCCCGATATATGTACGATTTGGGGCCTCTCCTCGCAGAGTAAGTACGGATCACTGACAGGAAAATAGTGCATAATAAGCGCTACACATCCTAAATCGCGCGCCTTGATGTTCGCGTGTAATGTATCAAGCACCCAGCTGTGGAATCCTTCTCCAATGCGCTACGAAAGTGCGAACTGCAGGTGGTGCAGTCGTCTTGTGAGAACCAAGTGACAGATTTCGTGGATGTTACTGACCCCATCATATAGTGATTGGCTCGATGCTCAACAAACTCCGTACTACACTTCGTTGTCTCTGTCGCATTCTTACTCATGCGGTGATGTACGCAGTGCTTGTTCTCGGGCTATGTCTGTTTGCCGGCGGGTTGCGTTTCTCCGAATAAGGATTCAGGGTCGATTCGAGTACGCGTATTTGAGTAGTCCGGTACTCTCCAACTTACCTTTGCCAGCCGCGACGCAGCTGAATCCGACTTTGCTGTCGCTATCTGTTGGCGTTGTTCTCGTCCCGGTTGCTTATCACTTTGTGCTGAGTGATAACTCCGGCGTGCCATCGCAGACGCAGATTCGGAACATTCTAAGCATGAGCCACGGTGTTGCGCTTATCCTGTTGCTCCGTGGGTAGCACAGGACCGTCTAAATCCTGCGCCGAATTGACGAAAGGGGACACAGTCTATGGATGGTATCTCTTCTTCCAATTGAGTTAGCATCCTCACTTGTACAAGGACGAACCTCTCCCTTCCGAAATCCAAAATCACCACAGACTGCCGTGTCTTTTCCGTTTCACACCCTAGCTTGCTCGACTCCAGATTTACGATGTCCCGCTACTCCAAACTATTCTTCGAACGATTCTGGGGCACCACGCGTCAGGCCCAGTGTTCCTCACTGACGACATTGGTGGACCTCTATTTATCTCCTATATCTATGCCTCTGGCCCCATGCGAACGGCCACGGCTCTGCCTGAACCGCGCCATCGTCTCGACCTCTGCAAATCCCTTGGGATATCTTGATGGGCTACAGCGGGTTGGTGGGGAATAACAACCGCGGAGTGGATGTTACTTCGGGTGCTCGAGGAGGAAAAGGTGATTGAATGCCCGTAGCATACACTTGACACATGTATGTAGTGCGGACCCCCGGTTGTCCCTCAATGGGACCGCGCCGGTGATCAACCAACTCTAGGGTAATTATGTTTTACTTTTTGATGCCTGCCATCTCGAGCAGGACCTTGAACTCGTTCTTGCCCGTCGCCTGGCACAGCTTGTAGAAGCTCGAGTCAGAGTTGGCCAGGAGGGTCGCAGGCGCGTCGAATTCGAGCACCTGACCCTTGTCGAGGAGCAGAATCTGCGCGTGGTTGGTCCTAATTCGAGCTCCGAAAATGTAAAAAAACGCACCCGATCATAGTCGATGACTGTCCTCAGCCGATGCGCAATGGTGAGGATCGTGCTCCCGGCGAATTCCTCGCGGATCGTTTTTCCGATCAATTCGTCCGTGGCATAATCGACCGAGGCAGTCGCCTCGTCCATGACGAGGACCTTGGACCGTTTGAGGATCGCGCGCGCCATGCACAGCAGCTGTTTCTCGCCCGTCGAGAAATTGTCCCCGCCTTCCGACACGGGCGAGTCGAGGTTCTTGAATACGTTCGCGTTGATCTCCGACTCGGAGTCGGGCGTGACAGAGTCTGCGCCGTCGTCGGCGGGTGGAATGAGGTGCACACGACGCAGCGCCTCGAAGATGTCTTTGTCCTCGTATTCCTCGAACACATCCAACGTCGAGCGGAGAGTCCCGCTGAGGATGGTCGGGTCCTGCGGGATGATCGTCAGCCGGCTCCGCAGATCGGTCAGCCCGATCTTGGTGATGTCCACCCCGTCAACGATGATTGTCCCCTCTGACGGATTCACAAAACGGAAGAGGGACAGTGCGAGGGTAGATTTCCCGGATCCAGTCCGACCGAGCACCCCAACCTGCGTGTGCTTCGTGAAAAGACCAAGCCGGATTATACATGTCCGTCACGCACCTTCTCGCCAGGCTTGACCTCGAACGACACCTCCTTCAACACTGCCGGCAGCTCCGGAGCATATCTGATAACCAGATCCTTGCACTCAATCGCACCCTCCGCGGGCCAATCTGGCTCGGGCCGCGGCTCCAAAAACTCTTCGCCCTCCGGGAGCAGGGCAGAATACTCATGAACGCGCTCCAGACCGACCATCGCCTGCTCGAGCGCAACGAACGACTGGACCAGAATGAGGAGCGTGGAGGTGCTCGTGTACGAGAAGGAGAAGGCGAATCCTGCAAGAGGGGCCGAGATCCCGGGCGTCAGCACGGCTACGAGGGCAATGAGCGTTGTAAATATCGAGGCGAAGCTTGTCAGCCGGATCTGTCCTGGGTCAGCGAGGAATGCGACGGATGTCATATACGCGACTACCCACCGTCAGCCAGTAGCCCACCCCGAGCGACCAGAATGACGGATTCGCATTCGTGTCTAACGCACGCAGCATCTGGCGCAGGAATTTAGACCCAGCGCCAAATGCGCGCAGCACGGACACGCCGGCGATGGTCTCGGAGTACATCGAGTACACCGGCGAGCGCGTCACCGAGTCCAGGCGACGGAGATCACGGGACGTCTGTCCGTAGATTTTCGCGATCTGGTAGCTGAGCCACAGGACGACACACATGGGCAGGATGAATGCCGGTCCGCCGACGACGCTCAGTGTCCCGAGAGTAGTGACCGTGGCGAGGAAGAAGCTGACGGTCTGTCCGATGTTCGTCGGGAGTGTGCTGTCAATCTCCTCGATATCGCGCCCAAATCGGTTCAGCAGAGCGCCGCGGGGGACGGTGTCATGGAACCGGATCTGCGCGAACAGGACTGTCGAGAGGAGCTTCTTGTAGAGCACTTGGGATGCGTGGATCCCTCCGTAGTACAGCACGAAGAAGCCCAGGACCGTGAACACCAGACCAAAGACGAAGACTGCAGCATATATCCCGATGAAGTACCCGGTACCGTGGATGTCTTGGTCTTTGCCGCTTGACCAGTATCCCAGCCACCCGTTTTCCAGCACCGGGGCCATGGCAGAAACAGCGAACAGGACGACGAACAGCAACCAGTACCACCAAGAGCCGGCGGCAGCGATATAGCTCATCCAAACAGACCACGCGACCCGGCCCGTAGCCCGACGTTCCTCTTCCAGGAACTTGCGCGGCGCTGCCTTCTTCTCTTCGGCCGCCTTTTCTTGTCCGACGGTCGTTCTCTCCAACTCAGAGTCGCTCTTCGTCGCATCAGCAGCGCCATCAACTCCGTCTACTTCGTGGGCGGCGCTCTGCACCAGACTGCCCATGACGCCGCTCGACCGGAAGGTGTCCCGATCGCCGGCGTACTTGACCGTGCCGTTGTCGAGTGCGACGACATACGCCGCCCCGGGAGCACACAGCTGCACGTGATGCGAGACGAGCAGGAGCGTCCGCCCACGCATGAGCTCGCCGCGTAGACAGCTGTTGTACAGATGGTGGGCCGTATGCGCATCGACCGCGGAGAGCACATCGTCCAACAGCAAGATCGATGCGCGAGAATCTATCGCATAATATCAGCAGAGAATCAAGACGAAACAATCCCAACAAAAAGCAACCGACAAACAGCACGAGCGAGAGAGACGCGCGCTTTTGGGCCTCCACTCAGGTTGACACCACGTTCTCCGATCTCAGATTGGTCCCCGTCCTCGAGGATCTGCAGATCCGTCGTCAACGCACAAGCCTCGAGGGTCGCCTTGTACCGAGCTTCATCGTACGGGAGGTTAAACAGGATGTTGTCTCTGATCGTCGCGTTCTGGAGCCACGCGGTCTGCGGAACATAGCCACAGAGCCCCTCTACGAGCCACTCCCCATCCACCTCAGCATATCTCGCCAGTGCGTCCGGCGGCGAACGCGGACAGACCAGCGAGCCCGCGAGCACACCGGCTTCGCCCAGCAGACCCAGCAAGAGCAGTGTCTTTCCAGCACCCAGTTTACCGCAAATCAGTGTCAATTCACCCCTGGGAAATTCGAGGTTGAGGTCCATCAGCAAAAACTGCTGTCGGGGCGTCGAGGCTGCCGACATGGAAGCCTGCGCAGGCCATGTGACGGTGCAGTTCACCAGCTTGATCTCGCGCGGCTGCTCTTCGAGGGGCGACACTTTCGTGACTTCCTTGGTGCCGAGGTACTTGCGAACCCGGCGTATCGAAACGACGGTCTGCAAGATGACGATCAATGTCTCTGGGATGGCGGCGAGCACGTATTTGAATTCGTAGAACACAATGATCGATGTGAAGGCGATTGACGGGGTCAGCTGCTCGCCCCGGACGATGGCAAAGTGATAGAATGCGGCAAGCGTGATCACGATGGGAGCCAGCGCCCAGAGCCCAGAGAGCAGCGCTTGGATCGCATAGTTGAGCCATTGGTAGTGCAGTTCTCGTGCTCGGATCTTCATGACTCGCTTCTCGAAGCTGCGTTCCCAGGCCATGAACTTTCGAATGTCAGCAGAATTCCTGTCGTTGAGAGACGCAGACTCACTTTGAGCATGCGGATACCACCAAGGACCTCATTCATCAATGCCACTCGCTCATCACGTGCTTTCATTAGATTGTCCTGTGCGTCTGCAGGAAAACACTTTGCATCAAATGGGGACTCAAACACAAAAGCAGCGAGCACCCACGTGAGACGACCTTACCCGCGATGTGATTCAGCGGTAAACAGAGCAGTGCGACCGCCAGGCCCCAGAATGCCGAGGTGCCAAGCAGCTGATACAAGAAGATGGTTCCGACAGTCAACTCGATGGGGACATCGAAGACGAAGAACAGGTGCTCAGTCAGACGGGCGATGCGATCGACGTCCGTCGTCATGAGAGTCATGATCTGCGCTTTGGACGAGAATGCGTCATTGGCCTTGTCGTCGCTGTCCGCCTCGTCTTTCGCCACATCCGGCGACGCTGCGGCAGACGACGACGCGATGTCCTTGCGGATGAGTGTCTTCGCATACAGTGCAGTGCTGAGCTGTATCTTGACTTCGTTCTGCATGGTGACGGTAGAGAGGAACCAAACTTGGCCAGTCACGATGTACAGCAGAATGGTCGACAGCAGGAAGGCGAACACCCAGAGCAGACCCCAGCGCACATTCTCGCGCTGGCGATCCGTCTCGAGGTATACGATAATCTGCTTCAGGAAGATCGGCGGGAGGTAGAACAGAGACCCGGTCCACAGCGAGAGGCCCAACATAGGGGGCAGGGACAGTTTGTTCGCGCTCAGCAACTGCCGCACCAGGGACCAGGACGAGCTCGATGCAGAGCTCAAATGTTCCGCATGTTCACGTATTGGTATGTCGCACGCATCTGGGAGCTCAGGATGGGGAGATCCCCAATCTGCAGCTGCTCGAGGGATGCCCCGAGCAGCAGAACCTTCCCAGCAAACGAGAAGAAGAGTTTTCCGAGGACAGAGGCACCGTACGAGCCAGAGACATTGCTCCTCTCGATGTCCCTGTTCGAAATCTCTTTCGCCACCTTCTCCGAGTAGATCACGTCAACAGGGTATCGCAAGTCGGGACCAGTGCGCATGCTCATCGCCAACCACAGCGCGACCGCCAGGAAAAATAGGCCGATCGGGCTGAGGTACGAAAGGTATATAGTGACCACGACGGGGACCGACGCCACCCAGCCGAAGGACGTGACGGACGGCGAGTAGAGAGTGACTGTGATCGTGGACGCGTCTGAGGGCAAGATCGCGGCGAAGCCCATCGCCAGGACTTGAAGCAGGAGGACCATGGTCATGTGCCAGGTAGATTCACGATGGAGTTCGACTTCGTAGTACCCAAGAGAGAGCAAGGACAGAATGAGAGTATATGCCGCGAAGCCGAGACGAAGGCCGTGGATTTGTTGCTCAACGGCTGTCGGTGAGAGCGTCGTCGCGAGCACTTCCGTTGCGAGGTATAGCGCGACGAAAGTCGTCAAGATGCGTTTTCTAGTTTTAATCTGAGGGCCGTCAGACTCCGAGAAAGAAAGTAGAACTGATGTCACGAACCCCATCCCAGAACGATTCTTCCTCCAACGGATAACCCTCCAGAACATCCTCCGGCGTCGTCACGTCGAACGGGTCGTACCTCTGTACACCGGGGTTGTTTTCGTTCTGAACTCCATCCGAGACAGGGAGCTTGATCTTCCCTTCCCGACGTGCAGATCTCCAGCGCGAAATTCCGAGAAGCGTAGCACTGAAGAGCGCGATACCGTCCAGCGCGCTTGCAACGTAGATGTCATAGGGGACCATGCAAATGCTGGGTGTGCCTATGCACCAAGAACGGAATGAGAGTGAGTTGAGTCCAGTGCTTGCCGGGGCAAGGATTTAAATATGATGCGGTAGAAGGAACGTCGGGACCGAGAGCCTACCCCAGTCAGAAGGAGGTGAAGCATGAGGCCAAGAAGATCAGGATCGGGTCCACCAGTCAAGCGAGGAACCGTTCGATTGGTATATCCCCAAAAGGGGTGCACGTGCTAGTGCACTGCCCCTCATCTCCGTCGCTCGTCATGGCACTGAGAGGTAGTGTTGTGGCCAGCAATCTGTTCTGGACTGGTGAGCTGTCCAGCACTGTGCCAGATGTCAGCGCCCTCCTTGGTTCTTGCAAAATGAACGCAGCCAGCGCACCTTCATGGTGTTTCGACCTGGGGAGAGTGTCCATGTGTCAATCGAGGAGATGTCCACGGCAAGTCTAGAAGTCTGGATGGATGCGCATCGAGCTCGGTAATGTGTCGGGGAGTCAAGCTGGAGAGCTTTATAGCAATTTATAACGAGTTCTGATAACAGCTGGTTTGGCCAATTTGCGAGGCATTCCGCTGTAGAGAACTTGTTGATGATGTACACTACTTTGTTCACAAGATGCCATTGTATCACGTGCAGATTTGTAAGCTCCTTCCTTTTTCGGGCATATCATAGTGGGGGGGAGACGTATGAAAGATACATGTCGAATAGGTCTCTATGCCATCATTGGAATCAGCTTTTGGTTCTATCCTGGTGCGTTTTTTCGGAGTAACTAAGTATTCCTGGATTAATTTTCTCCAAAAACTGCCTGGAGCTGGCTGCGTCGTTTGGAGACTGCGGGATGCCGAGTGCGTCCTGATTTGGAAATGATGCTACCATATCTGGTTGTTTCCATGTGCCAAACACTCACTACCAGTGCTTCCTGTCATCCCAGCGCCTATTATCCGCTCCCACCTCCCTTTCCTTCCTGCGATAGTCTATGACAGATTTATGGAGTTCTATACGCCCCCACCAGCCGAGTATCAAGATGGCGACTTCAAATTGGACTTTGGCGGATACGGTTTGTCTGGCTATTGGCCTTACCAACCAGGATGCAGGATACGGCCAGAAGAAACGAATAATCAAAGCATGCTACAATGGAGAGATACAGAGTACACGAGATTACTAGACGAATAGATAGATAAATGAAGCGAACGGTGCCCCCTGCGGCGGAAAACATCACGAGTCGTGGACCTCAAAGTAAGATCTAAACATGGACTCTGACCGTAACGGGCTATCCCCGATCACCGAATGCACATGCAGGAACAAGCGCGGGAACCGTCTGGTGAAGTAGGCCAGATATCCCTCCGGCATGGCACCCAGATGTCGTTTTACATTATCCGGCAGGTCCTGATAATGGTGTTTCTGACGGCGGATCAGGGAATCGTGCAGACTCGTCAAGCGTATGCATGTGACATACCTTGTTTCGCAAAGCGCGGAGAAGATCCTGAACAGATTTAGCATCGTACTTGCGAAATTTGCCGAGGTTCTCGATGAACAAACGGTCTAGCCGAGCGAGCCAGTCGTTGCTGACGATGCTCGGAGAGTTGCGTTCGAGGGCGAGCAGATGCGGGTCTTTAGGATCCCGGCACATAATCTCAAACCGGTCAGACGCGTCTTGCAAGAACGCAAGTCGTCGGCCAGCATCCCAGAAATAAGGATGTAGTAGACACGTAGTCGTATCTGGTCTGTTCGGATGAGAGAGATGTTTGATGACGAATAAAGTAGACAGCTCACCGCTGATGGGCTTCAGGATGTATCATGGCTCCAATCAAGTCAACCGCTTCCTGTCCTTCCTCTCCGAACCTCTCCAGTCCCGCCAGATTCTTGGTACCCTTCATGATGTTCGCTTCTCGCTCGAAGCGATCACCAAACGGATGCCCGCCGTTGGTGAGCACGTAGAAGAACAAGCAGCCAAGCGCAAAGATATCCACCGTCTTTGTCAGCCGCGTCGGCTTTCCCGCCGTAGAATTGGAGCCAACAGAGCCCTGTGATCCAACAGAGGCATCGTCGCTCGGTGGATTCATGTCATCTAGATTGACGTCGCCTCGAAGAATTTCAGGGGCACGCCAACCGACCGTACCCGCTGCCATGGTACCATGCGAGGTAGGCAGGAAGCTCGTCTGGTCGATGTCCAGCTTCTTGCAAAGCCCAAAATCGGAGATCAACATGCGCCACGACTTGGGGCCCGAGCCGGCCGAAACAAGGATGTTCTGGGGTTTGATATCCCGATGGACAAGTTTCAGCCCGTGCAGGTGGCGGAGTCCGCTCGCAATCTGGCGCAGCGCCCGTTTCGGTTCGAAACCGAGAGCGATATCGCGCCAGGCATCGCGGTCCGGGTTTTCGACCAGGTCTGCCAAAGTGGCTGGACAGAGCTCCAGTGCGATGTACAGGAAGTTGGAGTGTGCCTCTTGGTAATAGTATCGGATCACATTCGGGTGGTCGTCGCTTTCTTGCAAGATGCTGACTTCGCGAGATGCGAGGGTGACAAAATCTTGAAGAAGACGTTTGACGGCTACAGCGCGACCTTGGAGAGAACCCTTGTACACAACAGTCCCGTGTGAGCCATAACCTAGGGTCTCGTTAGACTGACTGTAATCCGACTGAAAATTACCCGTACCGAGAACAGAATCCGACACGATCAATGATGGAGCTGGGGAGGGAGCTGGTGCAGGTTGAACGGTGAAGGAAATCCCTGATGGGGTCCTCTCGCTCTCCTTCTCGCTGTCATCCACGTCCTTGACTTCGATCTGAGCGCCGCCCTTCTTTTTCTTGCCGCGGCCGCCCCGTCGTGTCTTGCGTTTGACGGGAGTATTCTCCTCTTCGTCTCGCTCGTTGTCTTCGCCGTCTTCTGCTTCAGCTGGGAGCGGAGGTAGGCTTTTGGTCAGGAGAGGCGAAGGGGGGATCTCGAGTACATCTGTGACAGTAGCATGCGGCGAGTCTAGGGATAATGCAGCAGCGGGCAGCACAAATTCAACAGCGATAGGGGATGGATTTGCTTGGGTAGGAGTTGTTGAAGTCTTAGTCCTGTTCAGCCGGACTAGGCCGAAGAAAAGGCCAGTACTGCCGAGCACGATCGCCAGCGCAACGCCCTTCCAGGCCAATCCACTTGGCTGTTGCTGTTGCTGTTGCTGTGAGTGTGACTGCGATGGGTCTGGAGTGCCTGACACCGTGCTTTGGTTGTTGCGTAAGCTGGATGACGTGTTGGGTTTGCCCTCGACCGTGCCCTCGAGAGCAGCAGGCATGAGCACGCGGGGCACGCCATCTATCAGCCGTTTCAAGCGTCTCTCTGGGCCGTCCCCGTCACCGCCTTCCAACGGTCGCATACCAACGAGACACCGCCTATGAGTGTAGAGCGCATCTCGATTTTGGCATTGGTCCAGTCTCGCGTGTTCTCGTCCGGCCTCTTGCCGCTCCTTTCGAGCAGCCGTCACTTGGTCTAGTTCGAGTGGTCGATCGATGTCGTCATCGGCAGCGGGGCCAGAGTCGATCAGTCTCCCAGGGCTGGCTTTCTCTCCTCCGAAAACAAGCAACGGGAACCGATCTGGACTCATGGCATACAAGCTTCCTGTTTCTTCCACTAACCCAATGTACGCAGATTCGAGGTGGGGCAGCTGGTCCATCGAGGTCCCGTGATGAAGCGGAAGAATGGTCGACAACGGTGGCCGAGGCTGTAACAGCACGTATGTCGAAGCCGAGGATCGCAGCACGTCGAAGATAGCGACACTAAAGTCTGTCAGTTAGGATCTAGGGGGAGAACGAAAACATGTGTCGCACATTGGTTGAGAGAATCGGTGCCCCCACATCATCGAATCTGACACATATTGCTGTGATTCGGTCCGCGCCCTGAATGAGATAATTTCTCCATTGGGCAGACTCTGGATGTAGGAGTTGTCCGGTGTCCTATGATAGGTTGCTTGGAGCAGATTGTCTTGGTTATTGGGGCCGTAGGTTGAGAACGACAAGTTCTGTACAGGAACTTTCTGCTTGCTGGATGTTCTGGTGTGGATTGTGATGTGATAGTCTAGAAACGTGAGTGGAAGAAGCCAACATACATATTACACAGTACCTGTCCTGCCGATGAGTACCTCGGTGGGTTTCAACCTCTGAGGTTTGCTACCGTCCAGTTCATCCAAATCTAGTTCTTGGTCGCCAGTCAGATCGTCGAACGGGTCCCACGGACATTCCGAATCAATAGTGGCCTTGATCTTTCCTGTCTCTAGTTCCACCACCAACAGCGACGTTGATTTTTTACCAATGAACATCCGACGATATCCCTCCGTGCGAAATTCATACGGGGACATATCCACGAGTTCACCCATGCTGAACGGGAAGCGCTGCAGAGGACTCGACGGAGACGCCATGATATAGATATCACCCGACTGGGGCTCGATCACGTAAGTCTCCTGCGGTGTTCCCTCGTCGACTAGATCTGGGTCGTACTCGGCGTGTGACGTGCGCACGAGCGGCATCAAGCCCGACGGTGCGGAGACGCCGGAGGAAAAGGGCGGCATCGACCACAGCGCCTGTCCCGTAGTCCGATTCAACGCATGGAACTTCCCGTCCACGGAAGCGAGCACCACGATATCCAGCAGGTCTGACTCGTCGCTCCCCCCGTCGCCCAGCAGCGGAGAGAGGAGAACAGGGTGCGGGATTCCCAGACTCCGGGGTTTGCGCACCAACTCGGAGGTCTGGATGTTGACGATTTGGGCATGGGAAGCGATGAAAAAACAGAGCAGTAGGGCCGGTATGTACAGAAGGAGCGTCATGTCATTCCGGAGGAGCAAGAAAGGATGGGTGGTAGTTTAGCCCCGAGCAGCAGAGGTGGACCGTCCACAGCTGAACTGCGTTGAAGCAGAAAGAATCGAGGCCGTGCGCAGTCGAGGAGGTGGGGGTCGAAATTAGTTCCGTGTCTTATCACGTGAGCCATATAGAGAACAGTCTAGAATTTCTTCCCAGAATTTCCGTTCGTGGGAGTCTATTCTTAGTAGACAACTGAACCGACTACAGTAACAACTTCGAGCGGAACTTCAAGCAAGATGTGAAACCGACTACATGGATCACATTCCGCTTCAGAGCGGAGATTCCCAACCTCGACGCTATTGGTGTATTGACCATATGACCCTGTCACCCCCCCTCGTCATTCCGAGTGGAGTAGCTCCATACGTCTTGCACAGGCCCTATAAAGCAGAGACGTCCCTGCCACGCAATCGTCAATCAAGTACTCAACTGAAAGCATGTCTGCCGCTACTACAACCATGGCCGACACACTCCCAGCGGCTGTCAAGACGCAATCGTTCGAGCTTAAGGGTGCACCGCTCACACCGAGTTCCGAATTACCACACATTCCTGGCGGTCTAGATGAGAAGGAGTTGCAAGATGCAAGGGTCGAGCCGGAGACGGACAGCCTGGTTCAGCGCGTCATCACCAACGCTGGACAAACCGCCAAGGCGTACCTTCCACAATCTCTTGCCGACATGTTACGTGAGTGGATTCCCCATCCCAACAACTGGGGCTTCTCTCTGACACAAGCGCAGCATCGGCAGTTTCGGAGGACACCCGACCCTCTCTGAAGGATGAGCGCGCGGCTACCGACCTGAGCATCACCTCGCAAGCCGGGTCACTACTTCCCCCGAGTCCCGGCTCGATTGAGACTCCGACAGCATCTACTCCTACATTGCACCAGTCCTCGCTTGCGATGAGCACTGTGACATCGGGCGCAGACTCCACTATCAGCACGCAAGTACACACGGGCCGTGCTTCGTCTCCGACCCGTGTGTCCCCCATCCCGATCCCTCGTGCAGTGTCGCCCTCCGGATCCAGGTTCGCAGAGCAATTCGATGCCCTGATATGCCCGATTCATCAGCATCTAGTCCTGTGCTCATACCAGGCCCCCCGCCCAATTCGGTTGTCTCATCCACTCTTGACACCACCACTGGTATTTCCCCTGTCCTGGCCCGTGCGGATGCGCAGCTTCACCGCGTGGAGGAGGAGCAGTCTCTCGACGACGAATATTGTCCCGACGGTGGAGCTGCGGCGAAGCACTCCTCAGCGTCTCACAGTGCTGTCACTGCCTCGGGCTGCGTCCCCGGTCGCGCGAACCAGGACAACGAGATCAATTCTGGATTCTGCCCCGACGGAGGTCCGGACCAGGCTCGTGGATCGCTGGGCTTCAAGTCCGGTGCTCCGGACACGCTGCCACCTTCTGTTCCAACGACGGTCCTGTCTCCTGAAACATCGATCCCGGCTGTGGACAAGGATTCGCCGCCGCCCTCTTCGTCCTCCGACAGTGACAACGACGCAAAGCCAAAGTCTCCCAGCAGGCGCAAGCGTTTCGTCCAGAAACTAAGGAGAAAGTAGCTCACGTTGGCCGGTGAAAGCGGACTTCCTTCCTCTCGAGGATTGTACAATATTCATTTGAATCAATGTAATCGCCAATGTTGTAAATGTATTTTTTGCCGACGAAATGTCCATGAGATGCAAATGAAACGGTATATGGAGCGAGGCAGTTAAGACTGTATGGCAATCAGTGGCTGCTCCTCCTCCGGCCGTGAAGAAGTGCTGCCCACGCGGGGTGGTAATGTCCGACGCGTGGGGGTCAGCTTGAACGGTGTCAATGCCGGAGGCGGTTCTCTGGCTAGTATAGCCTCGTGCAGCGCTCGTGCGTCGCAATAGATGGTCCAAGAGATTGACGTGACTGTGCGGCGGGTCAGGGAACAGCCCGGACCTTGACTACAACGTGCTCACGACAGCATATTATCGCAAACGGAAGCACGATGTCCAGCCCGAGAGTAATGCACATTGGTCTCAGAATGAACCATTCCGCGGCGCAAGTTTTGATAGTATCCCTGAGACCGCCGCCCACCGTCAGCGGCACCATGACCACTACATACGTCGATGGACATGTGCGTCAGTTGTCTGTCATCGGGGCACGGGTAAGCATCGGCCGACGCACATGACATGACCCAGCATAGCAGCAAGAAGTTGGCGATAACGAATTGCTTGTTGAGCCTCGTCGAGGGGTCGTTCTCGCGCTGGAGCGTATGCGGAATGCTGCCGGTCCGTCACGGAGAGAAAGCCCCGTACATAACAGAGTACGTACAGCACGTAGACCATGTAGAAGGTTGTCAGGGCGTAAAGGATGGCAATGAACTGTGCGTCGCCTGTCCCCGGATGTCATGGATTGGAGGTTGCGCATAGAGGAATATGCGTTACGCACGGGCATCCTCAATCTGATACACGAAGACCGTTCCCAGACCCGTCCCCAACTGTATCGCCGAGAATAAGGAGACCAGTTCTGTGCGAGCGCTTCATTGGCCAGAGCTGGAGAGCCGGAGGGGATTACGCACTGTACAACGAACTCGGAGGTTCGCTGCTTGTCATGGCGGAAAGAGATAAGCAGTTGACTGTTGCGGGCGGAACGGCGAACAGCGCTTAGCCCGCGGGATTAGTCGACATTGATTACTAGCACACGTGACGTGCATCAAAGCTGAGATTAGATTTCCCTTGACCATGCCGAAGCGACCACTAGATATATACATTTGTGATGTACATACTTAATACGAAGCGATTCCGTGCGTGATATTGAATCTGAGGGGATTGAGCCCCTGTCGTGTTATGTTTGAATGAAGACTCACGTCAGGCCGGGGTTCGCGATGATCGGCAGCTCACCAGGGAAACTGGCTTGGAAGAGGTCGGCAAGCATTCTGCCAGGGCAGGGTGATCAGTGATTTGGAAGATTCAGCAAGTTTGTGACCGACCTTCCGAAGACTATGGTTCCGTTGGTATTGAGATGTGTGTTGTCATCCGGGAGTCTAACAACATTCAGCCGCTGCTGCGTGCATCATCTCACACAGCTAGCTCACCTGTTCAGACGGTGAGAAGCATCGGGCCCGATAGCCTCGCAATACGTTATAGAATGCGCGTGCAGGTCAAGCAGATGTGTGCCCTGCTGCTTTGAGATAAGGATGGTTTCATTCGCCCAGGGTGCAAGCTGGTCTTGAATAGTTCCATTCGAGTTGAAGCTGCGGCGGGTGAGACTGGTGACGAGCACTGGTTCTCCTCCCAAAGCTCGGATCTGCTTGACCATGGCTTCAGGACAGTTCAATGCCCTAGATAAGTTACTGAAAGGGAGCTGCCGCACCAGTGATGTTGGCACCCATCGACTCTGGCGGCGCAATTTTCATATCATCTTTTCAGGATCAGCATAGGATGATGCAGTGGACGCCGAACGAACTATGTCCGAATTGGATAGTGACCAGAGTGCTGTTGAAATGTCCATTCAGAACGAGACAGGTAATTGCTCCAAACAAGCTCCTTACCGGCGTCCTTTGGCCACCTCTTGCTTAATCGCAGCAACTGGGTCACAGTCAGATGTTGCTGAGCAGCTCAAGAAGGGCAATACATACGCGAAATATTCCAGAACCCGCCACTCACGAAACTGCCAGTCGTCGCGCCATTGTGCGCCGTGTTGATGCACGGGGTGTTCGGTGCCAACGAAGACGCCGTGTTGTTGTAAGAAGAGCCACAAAAACCTGTAATTTTCAGCCGAGGGCCCTGTAGAGCTCACGGCAGCCTCACCGTTTCCCCAACCGCCTGGAATGTGTCGCTTGTGAGTAGAGATGGTCCGGCTTCAGCAGCGATCACGAACCTGAGTTAGGGGTGGTGCTTGGGAAGTGTGAGTTCGATTCGCTAGATCAGGGGCAGAGGACGTACCCATTAGCCGTCGTGCTGTCTCCGACCAGGACAAACGACGTCGGAACCTGGAAGGGGATTACGGAAGAGACAGCAGATGCTACGAATAGCGCGAGGACACTAAGTGACGACCGCATGGTTTCGGATGCCAAGAGGTTGCTCCCCAGGCCACCCTTTTATACGGGACCCGACGAGGATTCGAAGCAAGTCTCATATCTGATGTAGATCTGCACGGTCCGCTCTGCGCGCCGTCGTTGTGGCACATGACTACTAACTGCTGCCAATGTCGGGAAAATTACGTAACGAGCGCGTGCAGTCACACTCGTGACATTCGACAAGTTCCTCTCCAGTTCCTTCGAACATCCTATAGATAATACCGGTCTCCTACACCGAGATGAGAGATTTACGATGAGGACAACAAATTAACTGACCTATATGACCTAACCCCGGCAAGAGAGCCCAAATCTGCCGGCCCTGTTCCGTCCCATCGGCGTCTATCCAGCCCTCTTTCATCCCATCATCGACCGCTCCCGTGACAATGTGTACCCCAGGGAACGCCCGACGGAGAACTGAAATTCCTCCGCCGCGAGCGACAAGAAACGTGACAAAGATAATGTGGTCTTCCTTCACTCCGTGGTCCAGCAATATCCGAATGGCCATGAAGGCTGAAGCACCTGTTCCGATCTGCATCCGTCGCAAAGGTCAGCGGGACAGAATCGCTTTGCGATGAACGTGCCTGCGCATCGAGCAGGAAGACGTAGGCCTCCTCCGCTCTTTCTCTCCTCTTCACGCACAGCGGCAGCATCGCATGCAAGAGCAGTGGCTCAGCATCAACGTTGTGCGACTGGACCAACAGCGAGCCGACAGGAACATCATTCAAAACACGCTTGAATCCCCGTTCTAATGCCCCGCCGCTGTCGCAGTGAGTTAGTCGAAAACAGGTGACCCCCAGCTTCAGCACTCACGAGCGAAGAATGACCACGCCGCAGACATACTGCATCGAACCGTCAGCGATTTATGCGAGGTTTCTTCTGGGACCAACTTTAGCACTGATAGAATTTCCCGTGAATTCGGACCCGGTGGGCGAAACATCGGTCTTACGCTCATATGGCAAGAATTGGAGCGCATATTCCATGAGAAGAGTGGACAATCTATCCACGAAGAAGATGAAGTCCTGCCGACAAGTCATGGACGAACGCAAGATCGTGAAAATCCCTTGCAGCTGTCGTGTCGGTGGATGGATAGATAGTCCCAGGTTGTCCTTCGTGTCTAGCTGCAGAGATGCCCCCGCGGGATTTCTGTATAAATGCGGGGACGCCAATCGTTGTCTGAAATAATGGGCGCGTTCATCTAGTTTTCGCTTGATATGAGTGCAGATAAGATCGATGGCCACCGTGTTGTTAGATCCCGGCACGATCTAGCTCGTTCAGACAATGAGAAGTCTGTAGTGAAAAGACTGACAATATCAGCATGTCGCTGAGAGGGCTGCACGTAATTATCGTAGGCAGGTTTAACGAAGCGCAGATATCTGAGAGCCCTCAGAAAAGAAGTCAGATCCTAGGACATTAAGAGATGCTCACTGTTCTAGTATGCCATCCACATCCCGACCTCGTTCTGCCACATCCCGCTTCAAGCGACGCGCCAGCATCAAATCAGCGTCACATTGGACGAAAACCTGGCGCTCACTCAGTCATGAGATGACCGGAACATGGAATGGCAAACCTTCAAATCATACAACTCCCTTAACTTGGCGTCCTGCAGTGCCATAATACCCTCCGTAATAATGATCGCTGCCCCATACAAGTATTGCGGCTCGTCCAGCCGCTGGTGCGTGGTAAACGAGTAGACCGGGATGTTCGTCTGCTGGCACGCTTTCAAGTCCGCTAGACACTGTGAAAGAGCCAATCTGAGAGTCTAGAGCTGCGCGCCGGGCGAAAGCGCGCACCGCAGCAAACATCGGCATGTCGATGCTATCAGGGTGATCGAAGTCGTACTGGTTGGCGTGGGCGAGGACAAGTTCTTCGGGCGTGTGTTTCTTGTAGAAACTGTCTTGCGAGAGGATGACTACGCTTGGGATGTTTCCCAGGGAGTGCACAATCTGTCGTGCGACATGGGTCTTTCCGCTCCCCGACCCGCCTGTAGACTTCGAGGAAAAGTCTTTGGAGAGTAGAAGGGGAGCGCACCACCAATGCCGACCACAAAAGCGTCCATGATCCTGTGTCCATCCTCTCCGTACCTTCACATGCACAAAAATCCGAGTCCGTCCGTACGAATGAGACGACTGCGCCTTACCAGGGCGGCCGGCCATGCGACACAAGAAGTGTATTCTTCTTCGGTTGTGGAGAGGCTGTCCTTAACGGGTCGGACATGGGTGGGCTGGTGACTGGAGCAGAACCACAGGCGGTGGTGTGACGGTGAAAACGGTGCAGGGACTCGGAGGACTAGCGTCGATCAAAGATGTGCTAGACAGGAATTATCGATAAGAAAATCTACAGCTGATAGCGATCTCTAGGCTTCATCATCCGAAAGCAAAAACTCAGATATAGCCTCTTTCATCTGGCCTGCATTCAACCTCCGGCTCTTTTCTTCCAGTCGTGGTCCCATCCAAACAGGCAGTGGGGTTGACTGGGCCTCATGCGAAATGACAGTCGAGCCGCGGCTGCTGCGACTGGTCAAAGTCGTGTGACACGCATAACACAGATGAGGTGTCAGCGCAGGCTTGCTGTTTTTGTTAGAGGACGGAGGTATCGAGAGTGCGGAGTTGTAATGCGAAGGCCAAAGATCAGGCGAAAGCTCGGCGAACGAGCGTATTGAAATGCGGCTTTTCCAGTCTTGCACCCCAGACTGAGCTGGCCGGTCACATAGCACGCATGTAACATCCTCTGCTGTCGCGTCTTTGGGAGCTAGTTTTGCGCATGTTCGTACGATGGTCGAGACTGTCGAAGGGTAATCGCGCTCCAAGCCCACGATGAAAGCTGACAAACTGTTCAGATGAGCCGGGAGGCGGCGGACTGACGCTCACCTCTAGTCAGAGAGCCGACTCCCTGTTTACTGGAGAACACGCTCTCCTTGCCCACTACAGGCAAATCCTTCCACCAAGCCCACAGCCCGCACTCTTTCATCCCTACATCCCGCAGAGGCCGGTTGACTCGAAGCGTTCGTTTGGACTCCACATTCACGTGCGGTTGCCATTCTTCCTGCGCTTCATCTCGGACGACATAGCCGCCACCTTGCGAGATCGACGAAATTAGCGAGATCGAGAGCGATGTGAGTGACGTTCCGAGCAACAGATGTGAGCAATCCGCGGCCCATGCAGTGTGCAGCAGTAGAAGTCGGATGAGGTTGTGGATCGCCGTTGGCACTGCGGTCTGGGTCGGCAACGCAGATAGATAGCCGCGCAAAGATTCCAGAGGACTCGTCCCTTTCTGTCTGGAAAGAAACAGTTCTGTGCACTGGTTACGATGTCTAAGTGAGACCAGGACGATCCGCGTACCTTCATCGGTGAGATCGGCCATGATATGCGACCGTAGGGGCGCTCCACCGACCCTCGTCCACCAGGAATCATCGAAGGCATCCTCAATCCGCAGCGGCACGAACTCATACTCCGGATACCTGGTCACAAATCCTCTGACTTCTTCCGTGCGATCTTTTGCCTGCGTACACGATGAGGACGGGAGCGGGAGCACCGTACGGGACACTCACCCCAGGTAAAGCGTTAGAGATATCCACGTAGCAGACCGTGACGCGTTTCCAAGCACCGGCCCTGCGAGGATGCTGTGTCCCGCCTTTGGAATCTTCCGGCCCCGGAGCAAAGTACAGTTGCGACACCATATCCAGTAATGTGCTGGAGCCGAGTCCACCAGAGAATCCCAGACAGAGGTTCCCCGCCGGTTTCAGGCCAGCTTTGCGGGACTTGGTCACATTGATAAACGGATCGAGGATGCGTCTGAACTTGTGGGTGATGGTCGAGAAAAAGCACACTCTAAGTAAGGGTGAGCTTGCACGCTAGATAAAACACCAATTATATCGAGCGCACTTGCAATAAACGGCGTGGCGGATGATGACGTTCCCGGTACTGGTTCTGCACTTCCAACACTCGCGAGTTTTGTCGTATTTCGCGCGGCCTTGAGATCAGGTCAGCAGGGCGCGAGATCCGAGGTTATGCGGATGCAGACGAGGCATAAGTGCATCTGGTTCAACAGCAGGATTGCCGCAAGAAGCCATGGCAGAAAAACGACGCGGCGGTCCAAGATCAAGTGTCGAACCGAAAACGGATCAATGACCATCTAGTGGCTTCCTTCCTCGACTATGACGACCACCACATCGGCCTTTTTCTATGTGCGGACATCACCCAGTCGCAAGACGCATATGAACGCGAAATGCTAGGGCACTCTCATGCACCCCAAGATCCTGAAGCGTGTCATCGGAAACGATGGGGCGCATCTGCTTATCTGCCCAGCGATCTTAATGGTTCGAGGTGCCTTCCTGCGACATCTGCCGCTTCTCATACTAGATCGCCATTTGGAAGGGTTACACGCGGCACCAAGTCAAAGTACGATCATTCTTACCATCGTCAGCATCCTTATCTGAAATCGAGTCTCTGCAGCATGCAGACTACCCAGGCGTCCTCCCGTACTCTGAAAGTCGCCAGTTGTTCGACCACGAGCTAGATCGGGAGACCAATTCTGTGCGCGGTGCCATGGTCACCGGGCTCACTCATTCCGACATGGCACTGCTGGACACCTTCGAAGGTGACGAGTACACGCGATCCACTGTGCCCGTGTACCCTCTGGAGCCGCTCGTAGATCTGTCACAATACCGCATGCTCCCAGAAACCCTGACGCCGCTCCCGGGACCCGCTGAATTGCCGGCCTCGGCTCCAGTGGACACGTACATCTTCAAGGACATGTCACGTCTTGTGCGCGACGTGTGGGACTTGGAGGATTTTGTGAACAAAAATGCATGGAAGTGGTACGGGGACGGGTCGAGGGACAACCCAGATTTTACGGAAGTAGACAGGCGGCAGGCCGCAAGTAGGATGGATTCGTAGAATGGAAAACGAATAGTAAGGGATGTCAAAGCAAATAATAAGCAAATAATGTTCTGAGGAGTTGAACGACCATTGCAAGGGATTGGATTACACCGCACGAATGTATGTATTGCGGACACGTGAAAAGGGTGCTTGTGCTTATATATACGATGGCCGGACTGGCGGAGCATAAGACAGACCAAAAGAAAAAGCAGTGAGTGGAACTCTCGAAGAGCTCGTGGATTCGGAAAAATTGCCAAGTGACAGTAGTTTGGCACCCGACACGGATTCCTCTAGTAAAAGGCGAGAGGAATGTCAGGGTTGTGGATGCCAATGCCACTGGTTAGGAGGAGACCGATGGAATGTCGTGACCAGAATCTTGTACCGTGTTGTGAGACAAAAATTGATGCTCAATCAGTGGGGCACTTAGCTGCTGCATTGCACATAAACGACATTGAAAGGTGGTACATATTCTGGCAGCCAGCGCATACATTATCGATACATTAACAGTACAATCAATCGGTATCGTTACATGTCCCAATCGTCCCACAACGCAGGCGCCGCTGGACTTGGCATCGGTGTCAGCGGGACAGTGATCGCAGTGGTCATCCTCAAGTCGAAGATCTTGTCGCTCAGTCCCCGTTCGTCGTCTTGGTCCCCTCGCACGGCCAATAGGATAGCAGCGTCTGACGAATGCAGCAGCCGAATATCGTGACCTTCGACGACTTGGACGAGCAATCCTGTGAGGATGTTGCGGATCTCGATGAATCCAGACGAAACGAGGAGAACGTGCACCCCTTGTGACGCAAACGAGGTGGCCTTGCACTCCCAACGGATGTACCCACCACTGCGGCTAGGCACACCGTGACGTGAGACGTAACATCCCATCGAGTCATAGACAACCAGCAACTCCGTAGCACTGCATCGCACAATCCCCAGTGGCTTAGCACCATCGAGTCGTTTCTTCAAGTTGTGGATATCAGCACTGCTTGCAGAATTCCGCTGCGCATCGAAATCAGGCACTAATGTGATGGCCGACCGCGACAGACTGCGATAGATGTCAGTGACCATTGACTGAGGACGGACACACTTACTTCACGGGATCGAGAATGACGATCCGGTCGTGGGTTGCAATCGCAATCGTTTTGGTTAGAGCAGTGATCCCATGTGCATCCTTCGCAATGAAGCCCGGCTCTCCAAATCTTCTGAAGTGCGTAGGAGCACCAGAGCGGGGTGACATCTCTCCTGGACTGCTTGCACCCTCCAGCACATGCAGATCGAGTGATGTTTGGAAAAGACGCCGACACGCGTAAACCACTGCGGGGTCTATCAGCCAAAATTCAGGTGTGCATGACAAGCATGACCTAGAGCACGTCTCCCGATTTGAACAACATCAGCTAACACAATATTCCCACTGCTGTCCATCTTCCCCATCGAAGACAGCAGCGTTCGCGGGTCAGCCTGTCCCAACCCAACTCGTGCCAAGGTGATCAGAGAGTACGACGTTAGATTTGCATCGTGCAGGACCACCAGTCGCTGGAACGGACGGTCCTCGATTGATTCGATCGCAAAGAGAGAGGTTGGATTCGAAGTCGAAAGCGCCCTGTAGAATTCTGGCAAAATTTGATGAGATGCGTGGGATATAAGCCCACATCACTCACTTTCCCCTCCCCAGTGTCCCACATATACTCCAGAGAAACATCCGACAGCGACAAACTTGCGATCACCACTCGCTACCAGACGAGTAAACACATGGAATATCAAGTCCTGCTGGACGTACTGAAGGGGACTGCGCTTGTGACTCTTCCAGTCGGTCTAGAGTTCTTCACTTTCGATGTCGGCGCCCGGAAAAAGCTGTCAGTCACAACTTGGGGTTCAAACCACTATCGTCGACCGAGTCAACTCAAGGCAGTGTATGGAGACAAAGTGATCATTTACCATGTTTGCATCCTGCCGAACTCTGTGTAGTCCCAGAGCTTCACGGAAAACCGAGTACCAGCGATTGCGTTCTGCTTCATTCGAGACATGCAGTGTGTAGCGGCGGGAGCGGCTGGCTGCATGGAAAACATTGAACGGGTAAACGGGATGCGTCTTGAGGCCGTCTCTTCGACTCTCCACCGGCGAATTGAACAACCCGAGCCGGAGAAACGACAAGGGAATTGGCTGATGGTCGAGGTGAGCTACTGTAGCAATATAACGCCCCCCGAGACCAACATACCCGAGAGACAAGATAACGCTTCGGAGGTGCGTTTGGTCGTTGTTCTTCCTTCGTGAGAAGGACTAGCCTTCGATCAGCTGCAGCAGCTACATAGAGAAAGAGGACGGCGCACAATAATTGTCCAGCAACGCAGCAGTCAAGTCTGTCCAGCCCGACAGACCAGTTTCTGTTCTGTTCCACCTTGCGACCGGCCCTAATCGCACCAAACTACGCGTATCGGCGTACAGATCCATGTCGATCAGCTCCCCTTTCTGGAAAACAAGACTCTGAGCAAATTCCCAGAACTTAACCTTGTTCTCCGCCGCTTCAATGCCAGGTTGAGTGCTCTACACTTCTGATCAATCATATGACATATGCTCAACTTGCGTTGATACCTTAACACAACTTGTCAGGATGTCCAGGATGATGGGCAAGATCTCCTTGTCCGGGTGCGCGTCGTCCGTCAGCTTGAGGATCTGGTCTAGGAGCAGATTCAATCTGGGTAATCGGGTGACTGGCCGGGACAGAAATGTGGTCAAGTCACGCTTGCGAATCCTGGGATCGGTGGACACCGATTGAACGAACGCCCGGTAATCTTTGTTCTGGCTCATCTCCTTGCGGTGCCGCGACTCAGCTAGCGGATAGTTTTTGATGTACACTTCGTAGCTGGTCCGGAAATCCTCCTTGAGAGACGCTGTAAACGATCAGCAAGGGGAACTTGCACCGAACGTGGAGGCAAGTGCTTACTATCGAGCACAATATCGGCAATACTTTGCACTACAGGATGCTGTTCTCTCTGTCGCGCAAACAGAGCACCAAGCATTCGCTGGTGATGCATCAGGACCTGATTCAAATTGCCAAACACCGAGTCGATGAACTTGTTCAAGAAGCTCTCTCGAATGATGGGTGGCGTAGCAGAATTTAATCGGTGGATGAAAACCGTTTGCACTGCTTCCAGATCGGCTACGTATTCGCGCTCAGCTGCAAGGTATGAGTCAGAGATTTATCAAAAAGCTCAAGCTCTGATTGTGACAGACCTTTGAACACCTCGAATATAACCGATTGTCGCTGAACCTCCTTCTTTCCTAATGCATCGCGTGCCTCTGGAGGGACCAACTTGTGCCATTCCTCGTCCTTTTCGGATAAGGCTCCGTTCTGAAACAACCTGACCCCGTCATCTGAGTCAAGCCTGGGAATGTGAGTTGAGTATGCGAGCAAGGACAACAAGGAGCTGCAGCACGAACGAAAGATGTGAGATGTCCCGGCTGACATCTTCTGTCTGGTCCGCATCGGACTGTGAGACAGTGAGCACCAATAGAATGTATGGCATCGCTCGCTGTCACGTACGTCTGCGGAACCCGATGCGTAGAAATCATGATCGTCGTTCGAATAGTACGCGCCCGACACCGAACTCAGAAGCGAAGTCATTGACGGATCACGTTGCAAGCCAATGGGAGTCATGTCCACCCCAAATTCTGCGGCAATGTCGACATTGTTCCTGCTGTGCCGATGTGCTAGCGAAGGCCGAGAGGCACTCGCGGAAACGGACCGATAGATCTGCGGCTCGGGAAAGGGGATATAAGGCTCGGCCACAGAGGCGCTGGCAGATCGGCTGGGAAGACTTGATGTCGGATGGGTGAACATCGAATGTGTGCGCGCTCGAGGTGTTCCGGATGAAGGCGACTCGTCCCATATTTCGTAGCTGGAATCGTAAGCAGGAGGCGTCACTTGAATCGAGTAGTCAGAAGACGGAGTGCTTTGCGGACGCGCAGATGCTTGAGTGGGGATATTAAGATGGGGTCGAGGTCGGTGAGATGAGCTCATGGCTTTCGGTTACAGGTAACGAAGTATCGTAGTCCTTGGCGCAGCCATTCCCGTTTTGGCCTCAATCTGCGTCATAACTGTAATTTGCCGTGGCGATGCCGAATGCAAATAACACGTCAACAACACGTCTGTCCTCCCAAACCAAGATGTCTGATCCTGAAGTTGATACTACACCTGTCGTCAAGCCTATTCCGTCGGCCCCCGGACCTTCAACTCCTCTCACCAAATCGTACACATATCACAGCCCAACCCCCACTACTTCTGGCCCATACATGCTTGGGGTGGACGAAGCAGGGCGGGGGCCTGTGCTTGGTCCATTGGTATATGGCGTGGCCTATTGCCCGGTGGCATACACAGAACAACTGGAAGATCTTGGATTCGCAGGTGTGTCCTGCAAAGTGCACTACCTGTAGTGACATTCAAGCCCACGCTCCAGATTCCAAACAGCTCACAGCCGAGACGAGATCGTCCCTACTCGATACCCTAAGCTCGGACCTAGATAATCTAGGATGGTCTGTCCGAGTGATAAGGTGAATCTGTCCTAAACCTCTTATTCACAGCTTGATGGACTCGACCTAGCCCACAAGCCATCTCGAACGGGATGCTTCGTCGACCGCCAACGAATCTCAATGTCCAGTCTCAAGACGCGACCGTATTATTAATACAGGAGGTTCTTAAGAAAGGCATTGAGTTGACAGAGGCGAGTATGACTCGATTTGCCCTGCGGGAGGTCTCAACGGGTCCGCAGGTCTACGTAGACGCTCTAGGAACCACAACGACGTATAAAGCATATCTTTCGGCGCGCTTCCCAGGGATCAACTTTACTGTTGAGAGCAAAGCGGATGATAAATTCAAGATAGTTGGCGCGGCAAGTGTCGCCGCCAAGGTTACTCGCGACGCGTGCATCGAAAATTGGGTGTTCGAGGAGTCGCAAGCCGCATCAGGAAATGTGCCTACGTCTTGGGATGCTGGGATGGGTTCAGGGTACCCCAGTGGTTTGTTGCGAGCTTTCTCTCTTATTCGTTGTCCAATGCTCTCCAGATCCCAAGACAAAAGCGTGGTTGGCTCGTTCTGTTGATCCTGTCTTCGGGCTGCCACGGGTCGTTCGATTTTCCTGGTCGACAGTCAAAGTGCTACTCGAAAAAGAAGCGAAGAATGTGGAGTGGTAAGCGCGTGAATACTGCAATCTTCAAGCTGACTCATGTGGGTAGGATTGACGAGGGCCAAGCCTCTTTAACTCAGGCCTTCAACTCCGCAAAAGGACGAGACAAGGACAGATCCGCAGTGGCGAAAGATCTTGGCCTCAAAAGCGTCGGAATACTCTAAGCGTGTCGGGTGTTCCGGATGACTATGACTATGTGTATATTGTCACTGTTGATCGTACACCGGGCTTCGCTCAACACCCGTATCTCCCTTCTCGCGGGCGGCAACGTGTTCCTCGATGACGTTTGCGACGACTGAAGCTTGAACCGGGATGTTCGGCCCATGGAAACCCTCAGGATAATCGGGATTCGGGGGTTCGTTGGGATACGTGTAGACTCTGTAGCAGAATCAGCAGGTGGCTAGTCCAGTAGCATGACATTATCAACTCACGTATCATTCCATATGGAGTAGTGCGTCATGCCCAAAGAACGACTGGTCCACTCATAATCACGCGCATATCCTTCAGGGAGGAACATCTCAACAACGGCGGAGACGAGTGTGGGTTTCATCATAACCTGGAGAAAATTATGACGGCTTCATCATCACAGCTTAGAACTGACCAAATGTGTCAAGCCATTTCCGTGGACACCCAACATGATCTGCGATACATTGAGGGATTAATCCAGGCTTCATCAAAATCGAACGCACATGGGTCTTAGCAGCCATTTGAATCTGCTCGTCCAACGTGAGCCGTTCGGCCTGCACATCATGGAACTCCCATTGCCTGCCACCCTCTTGATTCTTCCTAGCAACGAGTTCTTCGATGGCCTGCACAAGTTGACGGTTGTCCTCCTCTTTCAGATGGCGACGCGTCCCTTGGCGGTTGATGTATGTGATGACAATCGTCTCGGGCATCTTGAGAGTCGGGGAAAGATCCTCCTGAGGGTCTCCTCCAGCGTATCGGATGACGGCAGCTCGCATACTCGCCCACCAATTGCCGACTAGATCAATCTTTCCCTCCTTGGCCATGGCCATCCAGGCATTGGCTGCCGTTCGCTGAGTAAACCACCCGCAGATGGGATCCCGGAATGCCGCGCTTCGGTCCGTAAGCAATGCGAGCGGGAAGTGGAAAGCGCGCTCCGTCTGAGTATGTCTCGTTGCGTTGACGCGATCCATCCAATCTGACTCGACTTCGATGGTGATCGAAGGAAAGACAGCTCTCATGAAATAGCCATTGAAACCCGGTCCATCACGCCAGCCTTCGGCGTCAGAGTGAATGAAGATAGCACGGTCGATCGTGGGCGTTGTAGTCGAAAGTAAAGGAAGCGTGAACGACGCATCGGCTGCCGCACTTGAAGGTTTCGCCTCTTTCCCGTCAGAGAAAGCCCGTAAAGAAAGACCCAAGTCCCATAGATCAGCTCGGCGACAAAGTGAAAGTCTGCGAATGGTCTGTCACGACTGTTACGTTACCAAGTAGAGTGTACACCTACAGTGGTTGAGAAACTGTGGAGGGTCGTTGTACAGTAGCTGGAAGTACAGTTGACGAAAGTTCTCCCGTAAACATCTGGCCGACTTACCGTCGTTCCTTCGACCGTCAGAACACGGTTTCGCTCGCCCTTGGCAATGTTCCCTCCCCACCTCCTCCTCGCCTCCACAGGCGTGATAAAGTCCATCTCTTGCGCTGTTGGAATCCTTTGAGCATCGTTTGTGAGATTCCCTGGGAGCCCGGTGCTGGTCATAAGGCGGTGGGGGGGAAATTTGGACTCGTCCGTGGTCAACAGGAGAAGAGTGCCCCGCGACATGTAAAGATTTCTGAAGAGCGTCCACCCTGCAGCATGTGCGATGATGGAAGTTTCGGGCAAGTCGTCTACGAGCCCGAGGTCGACGGCGCGAGTTGGAACGGGCGAGACATGCACCGTGGCGGTTGAGATACGCGTAGTGGTTGCGGTGACCGTCTCTGTGATCGTATGGTGCTCAGGACCTTCCGAATTGGCAGTGTTGATGATGATGGAGGGGCTTTGAGCGGCGGAGTCGGTAAAGATAGAGAAGACATAGAAACAAGAAGCGCCTAAAAGAACGAGGATGGCGTCGCGCCGCGAGACATGCCTAAGAAACAACATGGTGAAGGCGAATGATAAGGAAGCGTTCTGCTTCAAGTTGACTGTGTGCGGCTCTCCTCTGCCCCTATGTGCCAATCGGATGTGTACCTATTATATGCTCCCATTTTTCTCAGGCGATGCAATATGCGCAAGTGCGGCTCGTTTTACTTCTATTCAAGTGGGAGAACATATATATATATACATGAAGCATGAGGACGTCTCGACTCAGACCGAAGTCTCGGTGGCGGGTTTATCGACTGCAAGTCGGATAGGCGGAAAGGTCTGCAATGGGCAACTGTCGATGTAGAAGCAAACATGATCAAGATTGGCGGTGATTTCATGTCTATGCTTAATAGTGAGGGACAGTGTTGACGAACGCTGGTAACAATGGCTTACGCAGATTTCATGTGTGCCCTCCAAGACCTCGAATAGCTCCGCTGGAGCCGGTGACATCGATTGCAGCAGTACATCAAGGAGCCAGTCGTCAAATTGAACGCCTTCGAGTTTTCAATCATCGAGTTGAAACGAGTGTGTTCGAGCTGTCTGATTTTGCGTTCTTCCTCACTGGTAAGCATCCTCCACGTAGGAATCTCTTTTTTATGCGCCACGCTGCAATGGACAACCTGAGAGACAAGTCAACAAGATGGAGAGCATACGGACCAAAACAAACTCACAGCAGAAGGAACTCGGAAAATCAATTTCCCTTTGGAAGGGTGGGCGCAGGTGACACACTCTACAAATGGCTCCATTTCCTCCAACTCAGCCTTGGTCGTGACATCCGGGTCCAACCCACAGACGACGAGGATGTCCCGCATCCTAGCTGACGCTGTTTCGTCGAAACTAACTAGTTTCCTTTCATTCCACAAAGTGCAGTGTAAACCAGTTTCGGACTTCGTGTCACAGTCGAAATGATTCCAGTGATGCTCCGTGGCATGCGAATGCATGAGGATGCGCGGATATGAAATTGGCGGAGAGTAAAAATCTTGTATGTCCCAAGCAAATAGAGTCGTCGCCAGATTGAGATCGTGATGATCCGCGTCACTCTGCGCGGCTTTCATGATCTGCACTAGTTCCTCGTCTTTCTCTTCTCTCCAAATCGCTGCAAGCTCTGGAATTCGACCGATGGCAGAAGCAAACAACTCGGATGGGACGTTTTCTTCGATTTGTGTGGATTTGCCTTCGATGATGGAACGGAATGGTTCACTACCGATGATGTCCAGCCGCGAGGGAAAAACGGAATTGGGATCCAGGCCTTCGATATATTTGTTATACTCCTGGGACGCCAAGAACCATCTTTCCCGGATGATGCTCTGTCGATCTATTTCGAGACGGTTGTCTTTGTGCTCCTGCAGAAATTTGACCAGTGGTTCCTTGATGTTGAACCAGACTGAAAGAATGAGATCAGCTCGAGAGAATGAGACTTGCTGCCTTACTTCGATCTGTTAACGGCTTGGGCTGCCTGACCAGTTTATGCTGTCTGAGTTGTGGCGCGTGGAAGGCAATCTCTTCGCCCCATCCTAAATCAGAAAGCCGTTGGCGAATCCTGTGCAATGCGAATGTGAATAGGATTGTTGGCGAGTTGGATGGACTCACGAATCGTATCGTTGTTCTCTGGCATTGTCCAAGTGTACACGCCGAATCTCTCGACGAACTTCGGCCCACTCCTCGCAGAGTTGGGCGTGCTGCATGGAGAAGTTAGAGACGTCCTTCGATGTGAACACCTCCTTACAGCGCGAAGCTGGTTTTGCTCTGCCACTTTCTTCTTTCTCCACTGTTCGAATTACGAGCTTGGCAGTGAGAAAGACTGTGTCTCTTCATATACTTTCCGAGCGGAATCTACTGAGTAGAGCAGGACTTCATGAGCGCGGTGTTCCACTGCAGAAAGTCAACCGACAGTAGGATAGGATGTAGCAGATACGAACGACGATCAAAGTGACTCAAAACATATTTTCTGAAAACCATGATGTCCAAGGCTGTAGCCTTGGGAATGTCTTCGCTGGGAAGAAACCTGCATGGAATTTAGAAGGAGTCTATAACCGAACACAATAAATACTTGAGAGGCAAACAAGACTTGCACAATCGCGTGCGACAAGTCCAAATGACTGAGGCTGCATTGCGTGCGTTGCAATTCTATAGCATAGTATAGTCAGACACCTGATAGAGGAGAGATCTGATGACATCCATACGTGACAGAAAGAACTGAAGGCCAAATTGACGTATTCCGGTTCAGTAAGATCGGCAGGAACGGGAGGAAGACCTGAGGTCGATACTTTTGGGTGGTACATCAAGTCTCAACCTGTACAAACGCACCTTCAACCCGGGATAGAGATTCTCTCCATATGAAGGCTGAGAAATGATTGGTTAGTGACACAGCCAGTGCGCGCCCCCGATAAATACCGTTGCGACGATTCATCAGTATCACTGCGTTGTGGACAACATTATCACCAAGATTGAACGTATACATCGCAGAAATGCACACCTCGAAAGCTCTTGGTAGTGCGAGATAAGTTTAATAGATCTTCAGGCTGCAGTTGTTCGAAAATTTCGAACAACACGTCCAGAGGAAACTCTTTCAGAGAGCTGAGAAGACCCCGTCTCCCTCGTACTTTCTTCCATTTCTCTGAGATAATGCGCTCCTCTGTGTACGGTGATAAGAGTCAGACATGATCTCGACGACGGAGCGCACGGGTGTCTTTTCGCGTCACAGACTTCGTGGTTGGGCGCCGCTTCTTCCTCGGTGGTGGGACCACCTCTTCTTCCTCTTCTGTTTCAGTGAAATCATCGTCCTCGTTGCTTGAGTCTGAAGTTCCCGCGAGGTCTCTCTGTTGAACGACCCGCAAACGTGTAGATCGACGGGGCATGGCTATGGCCTTGAGGGCACTTGAGGGGCGATTGGGTCACAGTGGTCACATCACTTCTTGCACTCACGCGTCGCGATCAGGTGCTCGTTCATTGGTCATGTGACCTGATCATTGCTCAGATATCGGCTCCGTTCGCATGAATGACCAGTCACACCAATGCTTTGCAGGGCGAATCAGATTTCTCAGATAGCTGTTGTACTCGTTTCAGGTATGCTAGATACAAAAGTAATGTCATTCCGAACTTGGGGATATCAGCGTTTCCCAGAAGTTCTGTCCTTATCGACTACAAACTGAGCATCAGGGAGAGTAATTGCGACGCGCGTGTCTTCAGCTTCAGGCACCGGGGCAGGGGGCGGGGTTTCCGCGGTTTTCTTGGGCATGTAAGCCCTCGCCCAGCCACCACCTGAAGAAGACGAAGCTGGGGTGGATACAGCTGGAGTGGATGTCTTCAATGGCTTGGCAGCGGCTGCCGCTGCATTGGTTGCGTTCATCCAGGAGTATTTGCCGCCCAACCCAGCAGCTTGTGTCGCTACCGCATTGGACATTTTCTTGCGCACATCCTCTGACATGTTGCGTGCCGTCACCCCAGGCCCATCTTTCTTTTTCTTCTTCCGACCACCCTCATCGTCGTCCAAGTCCATTCCACCCATGCCCCCCGCCTGGGCGGCGAGTGCAGCGGTATGTGCAGCAGTCATGTCTGCCCTCTCCTTCCGCTCTCGTCGGATCTTCAGCTCTTCCTCACGCTCCAATCGTTCCAGCAGATTCGACAACTTGGATACATCACTGCGAATCACGAGGCTCCACATCGGTCCTCCACCACCCTCGTAAGTCCCCGCCGGTCGATCAAATTGAGTGTCCGTGCGATGTCGTGCAGCCACTGCCATCTCTTTCACCAGCTGCTCTAATCGAGCCCGCACGGCTGCTGCCACATATGTGAGCACCTCTGTTGGTATCTCGCCACTGAGTTTGTGGTGCTCCGCGATGGCTTTTACACGCGGTCTGATGTTGTTGACGTCGAAATCGGGATTGAGTGGTCCGTTGGCGGTCCGATCAAGCTTGACTCGAGAGGTAGAGGCAACGGGTTGAGGGGGTGTGGCCTTCGCAAGCGTTAGGTTTCATTTTGAGGGTAGATAAGCCGTACAGTTAGTGCTCTCGTCGACTCTTCGACCGCAGCTGTGGCAGCCGGAGCTGCAGGTGTCGATGCTGATGGAATTTGAGTGATAGGCGTTTGTGTCAAGGACTGTCGTGTGGCTGCTGCGATATTCGCATAATGCGCCTGGTACGCCTGGAATTGCTGATACTGTTGCGGCGTATAAGCCACTGTGTAAGGCGAATACGCCGTTATTCTGGCATTACTCGTCAGGCAATGATCGCGGACCAAGAGTTAAGTAACGCATACGGTGCAGGTGTTGCTCTGACAGGAGTAGGCTGTATAGCGGTTGACGTAGGTGCTGCTGGTGTTGCGGGTGCTGGGACCGGTGTAGCCGCGGGCGTTGCTGCAGTCGGTCTCGTCGTGCTCGATGCTTGCTGTAGCGCGGGGTCTATGTCTACAGGAGGGATGAAATCCTGAGCTGGATAGCCCCAGCGGAGAGTGACAGACAGGTGCTCCAATTGGTGGGTGTAGGGGTTCCCATAATATAGAATAAGCGTCAGGCAACTCGAGAGAGGAACCGAAGGACTAACAGAGGGTGGCTGTGTTTGCCACTCTCGCGGTCACGTGCTTCTTTTAATGCTAGGCTCGTACTTGAGCTCGAACTGAGATCTTCAAAACGAGATGTGTATTATTTCAGACAGTCGACGCTTGAGCCGAGGATATAGATATAATGAGACAGAAAGATGTTTTGGATTATCGAAACGGATCAGGCAGGACGCCGTACCCAAAAGACATAATTGCACTCTGTAGAACCCCAGGCATTTCGTGGGGACAGGATCCATTCTGTGTTCAAGGGATTGTAGATAAGCCCCCGGATCTCTGCCTGAGTCCGCGTGGGAGTGCCAGAACCTGATACCCAAGGTGATTGAGGATTAGGGTATTTCCGGAAAAAGCCAGTCAACTCGTCGGGACGGATGAATTTGGAGTACGTGTGAGTCCCTGGTGCTACCCGACGAAGCATATCTTCAGCCAAAAAGATCGTTAAGAAGTAGGCAAGTGGTGTCCGGGAGATGGTGGAAAGGAAGAGATGCCCCCCAGGCTTGGAAATCGTCAACTGGGAAGTAGGTTCGCGAACGAAGTACACACCTTGACCAACTGTGCGCAGGTGGCCAGAAATCCGGCGGGGTTGTCCACATGCTCGATCACCTCCATTGAGCACACTACATCGTAGCGCTTAGAGTCCGCCAAGAGATCCTCAGCAGCTGTATGTTTGTACGTCAAAGACGAGGTAGACGAGGGTGACGGAGAGCTCAGTGCAGGATCCTGAGCTGCGTGTAGCTTTGCAATGCCGATGTTGGCCTCAGAGGCGTCGATGCCACAGGTTCTGGCGCCCAGACGTGCGAGACTCTGACAAGCCGATCAGCTGGCGCGCGACGCGGATGAAGTGGGGAGGACCTCTGACAGGAGACCGCCGCCACATCCTACGTCTAACACGTCAAGACCTTTCAGTGGATGGGTAGGCGCACTGAAGGCTGGATCTTCGTCGCGCGCGACCTCAAGTAGCTTTTCGCGAATGAAACGCGTGCGGACTGGGTTCATTTGATGAAGGAAGCTGAACTCGCCCGACTCATCCCACCACTGAGCGGAGAGACGAGAGAAATGTGCTATCTCTGAGGCATTGACTGTGGAGACGGTGTGCAAAGCTCGGCGTACGGCTTGAAGATGCATGCTTGCGAAAGACCTGAATTCGGAAACTTGCTCAATGCACGTGATCAAGTTTCACTACGATCACTGTCACGGTGTGCATCATCATAAACGGTACTCATCAACAACTGAAGAAGTCCTCAAGCGATACTGGCGCTACATAAATTGCAGCTGGGACTAGTTGGCTATGCCATCTACTTTCGCCGGTCGAACGAGGACCACCGCTTGTCACTATTTGGTCGGCTGATGGTGCTGGTTGACCGCGAGGGTATTGCATCAGTCGGCTTCAGCGGAGAGAGATCAGTCGGTATCAGACTGATCCCATCCCCGGCGCTTTGCGTCAGCGTCGGAAAGTTGAAAGCCGTGGTTTGTGATGACGTCGCAAAGATGGTGCGTTTCTTTTTCTTCGCAGGTTCTTCTGAACCACCACCGGCGTCTGAAAAAGCAGTAACGCTCTGCGCACGAGCACCTGTCGATCGGCCCGGCTTGGCCACATTCTTGCTTCGTGGTTTCGGTTTGGGTAGAACCGAGTCAGCCTCCACAGTCGATGCACGACTTGCCTCCCGTTTACGCTTTCCTGAAGGAGGGTCCTCGTCTGGATCCTTGTCGTCTTCTTCTACAGCTTGAGCCTTGCCTTTACCCTTGCCTGGTCTGGACGTCTGCCTAGCATCGCTTGCCTTCGATTGAGGCTTAGTTTTCCGTGGCTTCGAGGGAGGCTCGGCGGCCGGCAGTTCTTGAATGTCACTGTCAGTCTCGGGCTGCTGAGAGGGCCCGGCAACCGGCGACAGCTTGTTCGGTCTAGCTTTGGACCTTGGTTTCGGTTTTTTCTTCGCAGGAGGAGATGCAGGCCTGTCGAGATCCTCGGCGACTTCGTCTTCAGAAAACGTGGGAGATGGCACTCGCTAAATATTGCTCAGTCATTTCATCAACTGGAGGATTCGGGCTAACCTTAGAAGTTGACGGTGGTTTGCGCGCTGTCGTCTCCAACTGGCGCACTCGCGCCCTTTCCTGTTCCAATTGTTTCTCAAGATCCTCCTTGTTTTGGCCCAATTCTGCAGCATAAGCCTTTGTGATTGCTTTCATTAGCCCATACTGTGGTGCTTGCGATATCAGACATACCTCGAATTCGTTTACATTTGCCTTGTATTGGGCAGTCTTTTCTTTCTGCTTCCGGAGCTCCTCTTCCCTTTTCTCCAGAAGACTGTTCGCCGCCTTGACAGCCACTTCAAGCTCGACACGTTTCCGCCGTAGACTTTCGACTTCTTCCCCTCCCTTACTCTCCAAATCCTGCCATTTGTCCATCTGATGCCGCAAGTCTTGGTTGGCGCGCTTCAGTTCTTCATTTTGTCTTTCGAGGTCCTCCTTATTTGATTGGGCGCCTTCGAGCTGCAACTCTACGCGCTTGAGTTTGTCTTGTGAAGTGGTCAGTTTGACCTGGAGTCGGGTTTGTTCTTCGTTGAGCTTAGACATTTCGTCCTACCCGAACGTTATCCGTATGTAATAATAGGCCCCAGGCTTCAGGTAAACACACCTCCAGACCACTCCGTTCCTCATCTGCCGCAGAAAGTTTGCCCTGGAGATGCCGAAGTTCGGCGCTGAGATGGGACGAGTCCGAAGCGTGCTTAGACTGCGACTCTTCCAGTTGCTCCTCCAGCTCTTCAATCCGATACTCAAGATCATTCTCCCTCATGGCGAACTTCGTCAGCTGGTAATCCCGATGCAGTCGCGCGATCTTCTCCTGTCTGGCCACCTCCATCTCCTTTAATGTCAGCACCTCGGCCTCCTTGACCCTCACGCCAGCTCTGAGATGTTCCAGCGTATGACATGACAGTATGCGTTCCACTGCGTCGTGCCATTCCTCTCGTTCTTCCTCGAACTTCTTCTGCGCCTCACGCATGGCCCGTTTTGCCCGATCGAGGTCAACGGCACGGTCATCGACGAGCTTCTTGTTCGTCTGTTCAAGAGTTTGATTCCGCTGGACCAGGTCATCAATTTGGGCGTTGACAGCGGTGAGAGGAGGCATTTCGACCTTCGAAACGCGTGTTGGAGGTGGAGTTCCACTTCCCCGTCTTGCTCTGTGTACAATTGTGTGCAATGCTTGATTTGTCACGTGCCTCAATCAACGGCGTCTAAACGCGGTTCCTACTATACTACTGTATGGACTGCAAATACCTTTTCGGCGTTCCACCTGCGGGCTGTCCTGGAGCTACCTGCAAGTGTAATTCAGCAGGATATGGAGGCCCATGTCCTCATTGTCAACGTCGGTAACTGTCCTTCATTGAAACTCAGTTTGCGTGAGCACTTCCCGCGCAATGTTCAGACAAGCTTCGATAAACGCCGTGAAGTAATGCATTGCAAGCATGACCCTTCCATTGCCTCGTTTTCTCTCCCTCCTCGATCCCTCTCCCATGGATGACGACGCTCGACTCTCCAGACTCAACAAGCTGTTCATCAGCATTTTGCACGGAACGCCGTTGACTCGGCACAATACCTCACGTTTCCTCGAGGCGCTTAGATGCCAGGCCGATCCTGTTAGCTGTGTCAACCGAATCATTTCCAATTCTGCGGGCCTCAGTGCCATTCAAGCCGCAATGCGCTCTGATCTTTCCGATGTCGCTCTGAACGGCCAGGCTGCTGATACCATCGCCTACTTCCAAGCCCCCGATCTCGGAGACATCAACGGGGGCGCCTATCTCAATCAAATCCTCCGAGCCGTCGTCGGTGACCCACCAATCTTCTGGGACGCACTGGTCGCGGTCTTCAAGACAGAAAAGCTGTCTCGCGGCCTTCCGTCCTTTGCCTGGCTTTTGTATCAGCTCTGCCGTCTTCCAGACGACGATGCAGACCCATATCTAGAGCTGGCGCGTGCGCCCGAGGTGACGAAGGCGCTTATCGAGGCAGCAGACCAAGGGACTCGGTCGCTGGGATACAAGATCCAACACCTCGCAGAGTCATCGCGGATCAGTGCAGCAGCTCAAGATGACATTGCACCGGGAGGAAGACACGACAACGATTGTGTCGATTATCGCAAGATTGCAATCCTGCCTACAGCGGACGAGCTTGCATGCACAGAACCGCCTTTTCTCCGACCTACTGATCCATCTGAGGTGTTCTCGACGCCCGAGGAAGCCGTGCCACCCTGTTTGGACGGCCAGTTTAGGCTATTACGGGAAGACATGCTATACGAGATGAGAGAAGAGCTGCAGATTGCATTTGGGCATAAGAAAGGACGTCACCGTGGACTGGTTATCGAGGGTTTTAAGGTGCTGGACGATATATTCACTGGGGCCGACGATCGTTCTCCGCACTGGGGCATTCAAATGGAGTGCACCAGTCCTTTGTGGTTTCTCAAAAAGGTGTCAAACAAAAAGAAGTTTTTCGTTGACAATCGGCAATACTTCAAGCACCAGTCCTACACGTGAGCTCCGTCTACATTCTGCGTCGGGGTGCACGTTGACATGCTCCGTTCTAGCTGCCTCATTGTCGACAATGAACTGGTAGCATTCCCCATGATCCATCGCGACGAAGATCTCCTCTCCGCTGCCAAGAACCCTGTCATTGTCCTCCAGTTCGAAGGAGAGACGAGCATGGCAAGAGCCCTCTTGCGTATCAAAAAGCAGAAATTTCCGTCGATCAAGTTGATACAGATTGATACGGCCATCTTTGCGTACGAGCCTGTTCTCAAGGCCCTGCAGCGAATGCGGACTATCCCACTTGCAAAGGAACTATTGTGTTGGACGCGGGACGTGGCTATCGAGATGTTGCCCGACTCTGCCAACGGAGTAGTCAGAGCGGTGAAAGCAGATCCACGCCAGAATCTCGGCACTTTGCTTCGAACGACAAAGCCCATCATCCTAGACGAGTCTCAGGCAGCGTCGCTGCTTTCTGGCCTGACTCAGCCTGTTTCTCTGATACAAGGACCGCCTGGTGCGTCTGCTATCCTGTCATCTTTCTATTCGTGTATGAATCGCGCGGATAGGGACGGGCAAATCATTTATCGGCGCTCTCCTGGCGCGCATCTTGCATGATGCTCAACAGAAGATTCTCGTCGTGTGCTATACCAACCATGCTCTGGACCAGTTTCTCGAAGATATCCTCGACATCGGCGTTCCGCAAGGCAGTATCGTCCGGCTCGGAGGTAAATCGACACCACGAACAGAGCCTTTGAGTTTGTCGAAACAAACTGGTGGATCGCGACTAAGTCGGCTCGATTGGCAAGAGATCACGTCCCTCAAGTCAGACCGCCGAGATTATGAGCTGGCGTTGGACCGGAAGTGGAAACAGCTGCAAAAGGGCATCGACATCCTGACTCATATCGAGTTCGAGGACGAAGACTTCTACGAGGCGCTCTCGGTTCCTGAGGATTCTGATGGAATGAGCCTGGTGGGCCAGGGTGGAAAACAACTCAAGCGCTGGTACCTGCTGAATCGTTGGAATGAAGGGAAGGATGCTGGGATGTTCAAATCTCATCCCCAGATCGTCGAGGCTGCGGCGATATGGCACATGCCACCCGCAGCGCGAAATGCCAAGATGTCCGAATGGACTGAGGCGTGCCGAAAAGCCCGGGTCGAGGAAGTCGCAAAAGCGGGAAAGCATTTCAACCGATGCCAGAGCGAGCTGGATCGGCTTTTCGGGCAGAAACAAGTGTCCATTCTCCGCTCCAAGCGCATCATCGGCTGCACGACCAACGCCGCAGCTAAATATACCGCCGATATCCAGGCTTCCTCTATACACACGGTCATCGTCGAAGAAGCGGGCGAGATCTTGGAGAGCCATGTTCTTACCGCTTTGACCCAGCAGACGAAACAGCTGATCCTGATTGGGGACCACAAGTGAGTGCCGCAAGTATATCCGCGAGATTCACTGAAGATCGAATGCCAGACAACTGCGACCGAAGGTGAACAACTATCAGTTGACAGTTGAAAAGGGAGAAGGATTTGATTTGAATCGCTCGTTGTTTGAGCGTCTCGTTCTCAAAGGCTATCCTCACCAAACACTCTCCAAGCAGCACCGGATGAGACCCGAAATCTCAGCGCTTGTGCGCTGTCTCACATATCCGGATCTAGTCGATGCTCCGGGAACCCTCAACCGGCCGAACGTCCGTGGTGTGCGGGACAACCTAGTCTTCATCGACCACGACAAACCCGAAGACGATGACGCGAAAGTGCAGAACGCTCACGAAGGCGCCAAGTCGTCGAAGCGAAACAGCCACGAGGCGAAGATGGTGCTCAAGATCATCAAGTATCTCGGCCAACAGGGCTACGGGACGGACAAACTCGTTGTGCTCACACCGTATCTCGGGCAACTGAAGGAATTGATGTCTGTTCTGAGCGAGGAAAACGATCCCGTCTTGAACGATCTGGACACGTACGATCTCGTCAGTGCGGGACTGTCCTCTGAAGCATCGGCCAAGATCTCACGCCGGAAACTGCGGCTGGCGACGATTGGTGGGTGGTAGATTGATCGATACAAGCTACTGATATCTCACTGACCCATGTACCAGATAACTATCAGGGCGAGGAAAGTGACATCGTTGTCTCATCGCTGACCAGAAGCAATTCCTCGCACGACATCGGGTTCATGTTCTCGCCGGAACGCCTGAACGTGCTGCTCTCTCGGCCGCGCAACGCATTCATCATGATCGGCAACTCTGACACGTTCCTGCATTCTAGGAAGGGCAAAGACCTGTGGGGCCGATTCTTCGGCATGATGAAAGAGGGAGGACACATCTACGACGGATTGCCGGTCAAGTGCGAGAGGCACCCGGACCGGGTGCAAGTGCTGCGCTCACCAGTAGACTTCGATAACGAATGCCCTGACGGAGGGTGCAAGGAACCCTGGTGCGCACTCTTCCCACTCACCCTCCCATCGACCTGAACTCGAATCCAGCGGGACGATGCTCAACTGCGGCCAACACACATGCCCGTCCAAGTGCCACCAGCTGGCCGACCATTCCAAGATGGAGTGCAAGGCGATTCTGAACGACAAATGCGCGAAAAGTCACCCCCTGTCCTGGAAATGTTTCCAAAAAAGACCGATCACGTGTGTGAAGTGCGATCGCGAGGCGAAGCTGGCGGAGGAGAGGCAAAAGCGCGACTTTGAGCTGCAGCGCAAGCGCGATGAAGAGCAAGCGCGATATGTGCAGGAGCTGGCTGAAATTGACGCACAGATGGCGATTAAGAAGCAGGAGATGCAGGATGCCCGCGCGGCGGAAGAACGTGCCCGGGTCATCGCCCAGAAGAAGAAGGATCTCGAGGGCTTCAAGGCAAGCACAGCTACCGTGATATCGACGACGCCGCCACCAGCTGCTAGTCATGTACAGACGACGAGCCCGACGGCCCCATTATCACCACGTGCCCCAGTTATCACGCTACAGCCGAGTGCTGATTCTGCTGGAGAAACCAAGACCACATCACATAAAGTCGAGATCCCAGTCTCTGACGCTAATCTCGAATGGCAGCGTCAGAAAGATTTCGAGGGTGCTCGTAACGACAGCATTGATTCCATCATGGAGATGATCGGTCTGGAGGACGTGAAATCGACAGTACTCGACATCAAGGCCAAAATCGACACCTCAGTCCGCCAGAACATCTCGCTCCGCACCGAGAGGTTCAACACAACTCTTCTCGGCAATCCTGGCACAGGTGGGGAAGAATGCCAGCGCAACTGTTTTTTGCCGAGACTGAATTATCCATAGGAAAGACGACAGTCGCGAGGCACTATGCAAAGTTTCTGGCTTCCGTGGGTGTGATACCCGGCACCGAGTTCGTCGAAACAACTGGATCTCGGCTGTCCAATGAGGGAGTGCCTGGGACGAAGAAGATCCTGGAGGATGTCCTGAATGCCGGCGGGGGGACCATCTTTGTGGACGAGGCGTACCAGTTGACTGGGCTCAAGAGCTACCAGGGGCCCCAGGTCCTGGACTTCTTGCTCGCGGAGATGGAAAACAACGTGGGAAAGCTCGTCTTCATCTTCGCCGGCTACGAAAAGGAGATGGAAACCTTCTTCGAGCACAATCCCGGGCTGACCAGCCGAGTTCCTTTCCAACTCAAATTTGCCGACTACACTGACTCGGAGCTGCTTGGCATGCTTACTCAGCTTGTGAAGAAGAACTACGGCGGCAAAATGATGTTTGAAGGCGGGATGGGTGGCTTGTACAGCAGAATCGCTGTTCGTCGCTTGGGCCGAGGTCGCGGCAGACCTGGATTTGGAAACGCGCGCGCCGTCGAGAACGTTCTGCAGACCATCACTCGGCGCCAAGCCAGTCGAATCGCTCTGCAGCGAAAACAAGGGAGCCTGCCGGACGACTTCCTCCTCACTGCCGCGGACCTCATCGGTCCGGATCCCTCGAAAGCGATGAAGGAATCCGACGCGTGGGTGAAGCTGCAGAAGCTGACCGGCTTGGACGCTGTCAAGGATTCCGTGCGCAGCCTGCTGCAGATGATCGAGACCAACTACCTGCGGGAGCTGGAGGAGAAGGAACCGCTGCAGATGTCGCTGAATCAGGTCTTTTTTGGCTCACCCGGCACGGGGAAGACGACTGTGGCAGGGCTGTACGGACAGATTCTTGCCGATCTCGGATTGTTGAGCAAGGCAGAAGGTGAGCTTCATCCGACTTTCCTATTGTTGCAGAAGATTGACGCGCGTGACAGTCGTCGTCAAGAACCCCAGCGACTTTGTGGGCGATGTCCTCGGCGCGTCCGAGAGCAAGACCAAGGCGATATTGGCAGCGACTGTAGGAAAGGTGCTGGTGATTGACGAGGTGTGTGCGCTTTTCTGGTGTGCAAATGAGACTGATCATGATAAGGCGTACATGCTCTATGGAGCGAATGGCGGTGGCGGCGTCGGCAACCAAAACGACCCATTCAAGACAGCAGTCATCGACACAATCGTGGCCGAAGTGCAGAATGTCCCGGGCGATGACCGATGTGTCTTGATGCTGGGGTACGAGAAAGAAATGATGGCTATGTTCCAGGTGAATGGAACGGCTACAGTTTCCCAAAGGTGATATGCTGATATAAGATAGAACGTCAATCCTGGTCTAACGCGGCGATTCAACGTCGAATCCCCGTTTGTGTTCCACGACTTCACGGACCCTCAGCTTTTGGAAATCCTCAATTCCAAACTCGCACAGCAACATCTGGGCGCAACGGAAGAAGCAAAGCAGGTCGCAATAGCTGTCGTTGCCCGGGAACGCATCCGTCCCAACTTCGGGAACGCCGGCGCAGTCACAAACCTGCTCACACAGGCTAAACGGCGTTGCCAGTCTCGTCGGACGAGTGCCACCAATATCGTGTTTCAACCACGTGACTTTGACCCTGACTTTGACCGTCACACGCACGCTGCCTCGAACCTGGCCAAACTCTTCGAGGAGATCGTTGGATGCGAGGAGATCGTTTCGAAACTGTCGCGCCTGCAGACGATTGCCGAGAACGGCCGGCGATACGGCAAGGACGCACGTGACATTATACCCACCGCATGGGTCTTCAAAGGGCCCCCTGGCACGGGCAAGACCACTATCGCGCGAAAACTGGGGCAGATATACTTTGACATGGGCATTCTTTCGTCAAACCAGGTCGAGGAGTGTTCCGCGTCTGATCTGGTCGGCCAGTACGTGGGTCAGACGGGACCCAAGACCGCCAAACTCTTTGAAAAGGCTCTCGGCAAAGTCCTTTTCATCGACGAGGCTTACCGCCTGTGCGACGGTGCTTTTGGCAAGGAGGCTGTGAACGAGATCGTGGCGCTTCTGACCGACCCTCGGTTCCAGTCCAAGCTGGTCATTGTCCTTGCTGGATACGACGATGACATTAATGGCTTATTGGCAATGAACCCCGGGCTGTCGAGTCGCTTCAAGGATGAAATGGCATTCAGGAACATGTCTCCGGAGCACTGTCTCGACGTCTTCCGAAAGACCTTGGGCAGGGAGAAAGTCGAACTCTCTGGCGAGGCCGACCACGAGATATTAGTCCTGATCGGCAAGATGACACAGTTCTCATCGTGGGGCAACGCTCGGGACATGAAATCTCTCGCAAAAGACGCATACGGCGCAGCTCTCATGGAATCCATCGGAGACAAACTCTGTCTGAGCTCCAGCACTGCGCTAAAACTCATGCAAGCCCACCTGGACAGTCTCCGCCGCAGAAATGCTGTTGCCGCGGAAACACCTCTGCGATCAGACTTACCAGTTGCGTTACCCACTCCAATTGCGCCAATACGGACTACTGTTGCCACCCGCGACGCTCTCCCAGAAGCAGCACCAGATATGGCAGACACTCGGGCGGACGGGCGGGATCCCGGCGTGTCGAACGCTGTCTGGGAACAATTGGAATCCGACAAGAAGGCAGCTGAATCCGAGCGCCGGAAGCATGAGAAGGCGATCAAAGAGGCGGAGCGACTCGAGCGAGAAGCCGAGGCTTTGCAGCTAGAGCTTGAGGCGCAAAAGCAGCGCGAACGGGCGCAGGCCGAACTCGACGAGCTCAAACGCATTCTAGAGGAAGCACGGCTGCGGGAGTTGCATGCCCGAGAAGAAAGAGAGAGACGCGACCGTGAGCTGCGCAAGGAAATCAAAGCACAGGCTGCGTTGCGAAGGATGGGCGTCTGTGTCGCTGGATTTCAATGGATAAAACAAGCCGGTGGATATAGATGTGCTGGAGGGGCACATTTCGTGAGTGACGCGCAGATAGAGGGTGCTTTGAACTAGTGCTGTGTAGCAAGTAATATGTAGTGTGAAGTTTGAACTGTTCAAGCGTCGCACTGTCATAGCAAGCATGTGACATTCGAGGACATCACGTGAAAGTCACTGGCGTCCTCCGAGTCGCTACCACACCGCAAGCCCAAGGGTCTACAATCCGGGAACACCTATGGCACCAGGCCGGACCGTCCATTCCATCAAAATTCGCGTTCCTCGTCATAATGCCCAGAAGATTGGATCCAAGCTGAGCGCTCAGGTCGAAGCCCAGGCTCGTCTCGACAACATCCGCACGGATACATACCAACCCAACTCTGAATCGTCCACCGCGCTAAACTTGGCTATTGTCGGTCGCGGCACTCTTAGACTCCCACAAACTCTGACATTCCGCTCAGGAAAGCGCCTCGGAATGGAACTCGATGTTGATGACAGCCAGGGCTGAACGAGGGCCGCAATGGGATGTTGGGACTCAGTTGTACGTCTGACCTGTCGTCTCGTTCGCATCTCGCTTTGATACCTTCCTAGATTCCACGTGGACGAGTATTCGGAGCTGTATTACGACTCCACGCCGCTCTTCACTGCCGTGAAGAAACAAAACGAGCAAGAGACTGCCGAGGAGCAGAAACAGCACCAGCAGCAGGCACAGCAGCACCAGCAGGCACAACAAGCACATCGCGAACGGGAGCGAGAACGGGACCGTGAGCGGGAACTGCATCTACAGACCGTCCAGCAGCAGCAGATCGCCATGTCCGATCACCCGCAGACACCCCAGCGCCCGTACGGACCGGCGGGTGGCGCGCAGTACCCCGGCCCTGCTCCCGGCGGCTACCCTGGCTCCCCGGCCATGGGCCCCAGCATGGGCAACATGCGGAATCAGTATCCCTCGGGCGCGCCGTTCGCGCAAGGGCCGGGCAGCATGCCGCAGCCTGCGTTCTACAACAGTCCTATGGGACACGGTCCCGGGGCGCAGTCGCCTGCTAGGATGAATATGCCCGGGATGGGAAACATGGACTCGCCGATGCGGATGGGCATGGGCGGGGGTGTGGGCGGAGGGATGAATGGTGGAATGGGCGGTGGGATGGGCGGCGGGATGGGTGGCGCAATGGCTGGTGGGATGAATAACGGGATGGGCGGCGGGATGGGGAACAACATGGGCGGTGGAATGGGGAACAACATGGGCGGTGGAATGGGGAATAGCATGGGTGGTGGAATGGGTGGCGCAATGGCGAATAACATGGGTGGCGCAATGGGTGGAGGAATGGGCATGAATATGGGGGGCATGATGGGAGGCGGCAACGACATGCTAGGTATGCAGTCTCCGATGGGGATGAGCCGAGGGGGGGGGGTCCAGGTGGCATGTCTCCGAGTATGATGGGTCCTCCCAATCCAGGTCGGAGACAAGTTCGGGGGAGCGCATACGACGAGGCTGCGTACAACCCCTCTATGAGCTGAATACGCATCGACGTTCCTCTCAACTTGTAACTTGTACTAATTTCTCACAACCTCTCTTTTCGTTGATTGTATTCTCGAGTATATACACAGAACCCGATCATATGCGAACCACTTAAAACGGCAACCCTAGGGAACAGCAGTTTCTTTCCAATTGGCAGCAGGACCGCAAGTGAGCATTCTGCCGCGAGACGCTAAACTGATGCCTCCCTCGAATGCGAACCCCGCGCCCGACTTGCGACGAGCCATATGGCGGACATTGCTTTCTGCAGTATTCACAGGCGCAGGCACAGGAGTTGCAGAGAAATGATACGCGCGAGACGGAACGTGAATTTGAGCAGCAGACGGGTGCAGAGTGTTGGCAGAGACGGATCGCGTCCCAGGAAACGGGCGCGCCGCGACTTTGGTTGACAGAACAGGCAACAGACTGTCACTGCGGCTGCGAACGAGGATGGGCGGAGGGGCGCGAATCCGAGAGAGAGATTCCGGCGCATCGATCTGGAAGCGAAGAGACGACGGGGAGCGCTGTGATGTTGACAGAGCGGGTATGTAAGATGCGGGAAAGTGGTACTCGGCGAGAGGACTGTTGGGTCTTGAAGTGTAAATCGGCGGTGGCGGCGTGACCGGAGAAGCAGAGAGATCCGGAATAAGAGATCCACGAGAGAAGACGCAGGAGTTCTGCTTTCCAAGTCTGGGGAGGCTTGTACTACTTGCGTTGTGCGTCGAGAATCTGTCCCGAGAACGAAAGTGCAGCCAAGAGAGTAGATTTCCCTTGTCGTCTTCTTCATCTGGTTGTGGTAGTAACTTTTCGGCGTCTGGATTTTGGCTTTCCAACTTGCTGGCTTGGCGAGCCTGTCTTTCGCGAAAGATAGGATACAGGTAGAAACACATGAACGCGATGAACAAGAGAAGGCTGATGACAAGGGCAGTGACTATATCGATTTGCACAAGGTTGATGTGCATTCTGAAGATTTGAGGAGCGACATACCACTGATGGTGTTAATGGGCTGGACACGGACGCGTATGATCTCGCCATTCACGGTCGGCCCAACATCTAGAATCAAAGGACCACCGAAGAGCGAGTACGCCAAGTCATTAGATGACATCGTCTGGAAAGTAAGGACTGTGTTGCAGAGAATGTGAGGGTAGGAAAGAGTGGGTGGAAAAGAGTGTGTGTGCTGCGTAGAGATGAGGATGTGCCAAAAGAATGAAGTTCAATCTAATGCGGGGTTCGCGACTAACACATGTAGATCAGAGGCAGTGCAGGTTTCACTTGGTACTTGTATTTGTCCTTGATTGCATTTTCTTTTCCCGTGTTCACTCGCAGTTTGGAACGTTGCAGGCTCAGTGACAATCGTGTTTCGCGCATTTTACGCGAGACGGTACGTGTATTGACGCCATACCAGCGCGATCTTGCCTTTCATCAAACATACAACTGACTCACCTGCTGCGGCTCCGATAGGTCACATAGCCCAACAAGTACATCACTACTCATCTCTGCTCTGCTCGCTGCAAGATTGCAGTCCGATATGGATGATGATGATTCTCTCTTTGGTTCTCCACCTCCTAGCCCAGGAAGAGGTAGGTCGCCATCACCCGCACTGGCCCTCCCAAGCGCCAGCACGAGCATCAACTTAGCCGGTCCTATGGCACAAAACGTGGGGACCATTGCACTTCCTGGTTCCCAATGCTTTTCTGAACTTCCGGTCCATCCACTAGCCTTGTCGCTGAGCTTTCCGCCGCTGCAAAGCGAAGGAGCTCTTCGGCCTCCGGCCACGGTCCCGACTCGGAACAGTACCAGTCCCTGCGTCATTCCAACACTGATGACAGCGCATACGGACTCGCTCAAACGTAAATCCACCAAAAGGTCCAACCTAAGGCCATCCATTGTCACACGCCGGCCCACTCCCCCGCCCATTCATCTACCGGACCCGTCCGATCCTCGACCGATTCCTCCCAACTTGCTGCGCAACCAACCTGGTCTTCTGGGGACTGCTGGGCTCGTGGCGGGTGTGCGACCAGCCAACTTCGCCTTGCGCGCGGCGAACCAAGGTTCCAGCGCCGCCAATCCGATCCTTATCGAAGATACACCCGTTGTCAATGCACCTATCGTGCGATCTGGTGGCATTAAGCGGAAGACGCACAAACTCGATCTATCTCTACTCCCGGCACCATCCAATCGTGATATTGTGGCTGTCTTGATGGAGCAGAAGGACACCATTCCGCTGCTGCAGAACATCATCAAGTTTTTGTCGCAGCGGCAAAGCCAAACTGAATCTTCGAGTCGATCCGCAACGCCCAGTGGTCCAGAGCCTGGGCCGAGTCAGAAACGGCGCAAGTTGCGGCACGTTCCGGCAGGCGCTGATCTTTGGGATGTCCCCTTCCCTTTCAACGAAGGCGAAGGTCCACATTCATATCGCGATGATTGGGAGAGAGAGCACGGGAAGAAGTTGGTTGCTGAACTGGTGGCCTTGTTGAAGAGTGCGGCTCGAAAGGCTGCTTTGAAGAATGTGATGAAGGGATATTCTGGTCGGAACGCCCCATCTGATGCTGAATTGGCATCGTTGGGCTCACACTACTCATTGGACACACTGTTCTATGGGAAGCAGCCTACAGAGGTTCTCAGCGATTCGAGCAACGCGTCTCAGCATGGTCCCGCCGAATCTGTCGTTCTGCCGCCTACATCATCCTCGATGCCTGAAATGCATATCCCGCCCCCTGATCCAGCACCCGCTCCAGCTTCCTTCGACCACCTCATCACCTCTTTGCTCTCTGCTGCTCCCGCAGAGCAATTCTCTGTCGATGTTCCTGGCAGTCCTGCACCGTCGTCAGTGGAGTCTGTCAGCTCCGTGGATTCTGGGCTTTTCGACACGTGGATGGACATATTCCAGGCCTTCCCTGTACCGTCAAACGGGGATGAGTTGTTGAGCGCTGCAGACGGGAATGCCGGATTCAATCTCCAGTTGCCTGGGGCCTCCTCTTTTGATGATCTTTCGATGATCGACCCGTTGCTGCTTGGTCTCCCGCCCATGACCGCAAGTAGCACAAGCGCTGTCTCAGCGGACAGCGCTTGTCCTTCCTTGACGGCCTCGCCAATTGTTTCGAGCCGATCTTTTTCGGTGGGACCAATGACACCCTCCGAGAGTGGATGGACTGCGGAGCCAGTTGGGGGCGGGTATCGGAAAGATACAGAACAGGAAGTATTGTCTCTTCTCCAGTCACTATCGCATGGAATTCCCGTCGATAAGGGTAAGGGCAAACAACAGGATCAAGGTACGTCGCGCCGTGCAATATGGGATCGTTTGCTCAAGAAGCTCTGAAGGTGGAGGAGACTTGGAGAGGCGACCACCAGATACCGAAGATGTCGAGTTCGCGCGATTGAAGACGGTTCCGATCGTCGGCAGTCTGACCAAAGCGGAATTATTAGGACGAGCTAAGGAACGGAGGGAAGCTTTGGTCCAGGAAATAGCCCAGACTCGAATATCTTTGTGGCAGTGTACCGTTGAGGGTGCGGTCTTGGCTGGATTGGTCCAGAATTACACCATAACGGAAACATAGCAATTAATAGCTACATACGAAGCATTTTTTCGCACGCTTTGCATAGCCTTGGAGGTATGTAGCAACGACTCCCTTCTTGACAAAGATTGCGATGATCGTGAAGGGCGCGCTGCCCCCTAGCGTATGTGCGGCGGCTACATTGCCTGTCTCCGATTCAGATCGACCGTGTGGCCGCACCTGGACTAGGTCGGAGGACTTTGCGACCCGATAAGATGCATGGGTTCGAAGGGATTTTCATCCGAACCTGACCGAAACCACGCCTCGCTCGCTCAAACTCAGCTCTGCAGCGACGACCACAGGTCAAATACCAAGCCTTGATACGGATCGCCCTACCATGCGATGTCGAAACTCGAGTCTCAGCCCAGCCCGATTTCTCCTAGCGACGCCGAAACATAATCAAACGAATGGTTATCATATAAATGGAAATGGGCGGCGCTGATCAGCTACGGGTCCTTCGTTTCGTTTCCCTCTCGCCCATCCTTTCCGTTCACCCCGCGCTCTTTCTGTTCGTTTCGTTTCTTCGTCGTTGAACGACATTTGCCCTGGTCGGCATTTCTTCCCCCATCGACGCGCCCTTTTCCCTTTAATCTATTCGATTCCGGCTCCATTACGATGGCCCGTACTATCTCTGCTGCGTTTGTGCTCAGCGCGTTCCTTGTCGGCGGGATCAATGCCGCAAACGACTGGACTGTGCCTTGTGTATCAGGATCCTGCAACTATGGTGCGTTTCCTCTCCGGCCTGACTTGCGCAGGCGCTCCAATCCACTTTACAGATATCCCGACGGGACAGAACTCTACGAATGCCTCAGGGACAATGAAGATCGTGCGTTCGATTGATCTGCGTGGCTTTCCGTCGTCTGACTGGTTCACGTACCTGCATAGTGGGGTTCGGCGAATGCGATCACGGACATCACCACTGCAGCAGGCTGGGAGATCTTGTCGTGCAACAGCACCGCGCAAGCGCAGAACATCACCCTCGTCTGCACGCAAGGCCAGGACCAGGACCCGAACTCGCTCTGCTCGCACCTGTACCAGAACAACGGCGCGGTGCACAAGATCGTGCGGCTGCCTGAGAACGTGAGTGGTTTTGGTCGGCTCTGCGTGAGACGCCGAAGTTGACCGGATTATGATGATCACAGTGCCATGCGTCTCCGTTTGCGCGTGTCGCGTTGGCATGGGTGCCGCAGGACCAGACGATCCCGGCGCATGTCCGTCGCATGATGAAGCGGGGCTCGACTCCGGTCGTCAAGGCTCTGCGGATCGACACCGCCTTCGACCAGGTGGACTACTCCAAGTGCGTGGCGTTGCGGAGTATCGTGTTTGATTGGCGCGCTGACCCCGCGATGCAGAACTGGCGCGGTCAACATCGCGCTGCAGGGCGCCAACGTCCCTGGTGCGCCGACGACGCTCCTGATGCCGACCAACTCTCGCCGCTCTCTCCGCCGTCGTGGCTTTGGAAGCATCATCCACTGTGCGTCCTGACCTCTCTCCGAATCGCAACCTTCAGTTGACATGCTGTGCAGCCATCAAGAACGGAGTGGACAATGCTGCTGGTGCAGTCAAGAATGCCGCTGACGGGGTGTGTCTCGCGTGTCCGTTTAGGTTCAAGATGCTGACACAGCCTGCTTACGCTAGGCCGCAAATGCCGTCAAGAACGAGGCCACCAAGGCGGCGGGCGACGTCAAGTCTGTCGCCACCGCTGTGGCGGGCGCTGCGAAAACAGCAGCCTCGGACGCGGCGGCGGCGGCGAAGTCGATCGCGAACAACACGGTTTCTGTCAACAAGAACATCAACCTGCCCCCGATCAACTTCCAGCAGTCAAAGCAGCTTATCAGCCAGTCCGTCGCGTGTGGACCCATTTCGGCCACTCTCGACGCCAACTTTGACGGAAACGCCAATGCGCAGGCCAGCTTGAGTGTTGCTGCGCAGGGCACGATCGTTCCGCCCAAAATCTCCTCGTTTGGTGCCATTCTCGGGATGAACGGGAACATCCAGGGCACGCTCCAGCTCAACTCGGATGTCTCCGGTGCGCTCGACTCGGGCAAGATCACGCTCGTGGACATTGGCATCCCCGGGCTCGACATTCCAGGCATCTTCAGTGCCGGCCCGACGTTCCAGGTTGCGGCGCAGCTCAGCGGATCGCTGGATGTGGCGATGGACGCGACGGTCGGTGTTAACCTCAACATGAACAACGCGCAGATTGCGCTGCCGCCCTCGAACAGCGACTTTGCTTCTGCGTTTTCGTTCGGTGACACCCGTACGTCCTACATTCGCTCGCTTCGACGACTGGGAACATCATCTGAATTGACTCGCAGCACTCACGCTCAATGCTGACCCGAACGTCGCCGTCACTGGGTCGATCACCGCGCATTTGATTCCGTCGATCAACTTGGGCGTCTCTGCGCTCGGCAACGCGGCCTCGGCGAAGATCTTCCTCGAGCTCGATGCGAATGCGGGTGTCACACTCAACCTCGATGCCTCGACGAGCGTCACGGCTGCGAAGAACCTGACTCCGGGCAGCGCCAACAACGCGGCCAGCAACAGCACTGCCACTGCCACTGATAGCACTGCTGCGGCTGATGCCAGCGCAACTGACGCCACCTCCACCGATACTGCGACGGACAGCACCGCCACTGACGCGACTTCGACCGACACTGCTACGGACAGCGCCGCCACCGACGCCACCGCCACTGATGCCTCGGCCGCGAGCACCGCCACTGATGCCACCGTGACCGACTCTGCGGTTGATAGCAGCGCCACTGACGCGACCGCGAGCGCGACCGACTCCGCCACGGACAGCACTGCCACTGACGCTACGGCCGTTGACAACAGCGCCGCGTCGACCGATACTGCTGTGGGAAGCACCGCCACGGACGCTACCTCCACCGATACTGCTACGGACAGCACTGCCACGGATGCCACCTCGACGGATACCGCCGTCGATACCTCGGCCACTGACGCGACCTCCACCGATACTGCCACCGACAGCACCGCGACCGATGCTACCTCCACTGACACCGCGACGGACAGCACTGCCACTGACGCAACCTCGACCGACACTGCGACGGACAGCACCGCCACCGATGCTTCCGCTGTGGACAACAGTGCGACCAGCACCGATGCCGCCGCCGCAAGCGCTGTTACTAACGGTGTTTCGGTTGCACCGGTCAGCTTCGGCGGATGTGTCGGTGCTGCCGGAAACATCAACATCAACGTCGGGGCCACGGGCAGCTTCTTCAACCTCTTCAACGCCTTCAGCAAGACCAAGACCCTGTTCAACAAAGATTTCCAGATCTTCCAGGTGAGCCGCTCGCTTTTCTGCGTCTGTTTCGTGTCAATGACCTTCGTTTTCCCAGAAATGCTTTGGTGATCAGGCCGCCGGTGCCGCCGGTGCGACAGCTACTGATGCGGCTGCGGCTGCCGACGCCACAGCCACCGACGCTGCCGCCGCCGCCGCCGATCCTGCCGCGACGGACGCCTCCTCGACCGACACGGCCGCAGCCGCCGCAAGCACCGATGCCCCAGCGGCCAAGCGTTCGAGCGAGCGCCGGTACATTTTCAACGGCTCGAGCTTGGTCCGCCGGGCTCTGAAGCTGTCGTGCCCCGCCAACATCGGCACCAGCAGCAAAGCCAAGAAGCAGACGATCACCAGCTCCAAGATCCCTGCCTCCAGGTGTGTTGATTCGCCTCGTCACTTGATATGTGTTTGCTCATCGTTGTTTGCAGCATCAAAGCCTTGGCAGCACCTGCTCCTGCTCCTGCTGCACCCAAGGCCGCGGCGCCGGCCAAAGCGGCCAAGACGGCCAATGTGAACACCAAGGTGGCAGCGGCCAAGACTGCGGCGGCAGCAAAGTCTGCAGCGGCCAAGACCACAGCAGCCAAGAAAGCGGCTGCTACCAAGTAAGCTAGCACGTCCGCACACACTGCATAATTTGTACATACTATACTGTATATGGAAGGAACGGTTTCGATTTTTCAGCACTCCTTTTTCGCAAATTGGTCCACCCAGTCCGACACTTTGATCGAGCTCGCGTCTGCATCCACGAACGCGTCCCAGACTTTCCCGGGATCAGCCAGTGTCTGCGCAGTCAGTTTGAGAAACTTGGCCCTGATTCCCTCATATGTATCTGCTCTCCACGGATGCCCCATCGGCTTTTCGACCAGGACTTCGGGCAGAATCTGCCCCGACTCGAGCGTGACGCTCAGCCCATTCGCACAGTTGCGGACACGCGGGTCGTGGTAGTCTTTGGTCATCTGGGGGTCTTCCTCCATCGAGATGACTCCCCGGAGACTCTCCACCACAGGATCGGTCGCATACACCGAGTCGTTTTCGTAGTCCTCTGGCACTGGCCAGTCGCCTTTGACAAGGGTCATCGCCACCATGTACTGCATGCAGTGATCTCGGTCAGCTGCGTTGTGCAGAGCCCCCGTCTTGTCGATGATCCGCATCGCTGCGGCCTGCGTTCGAATGCGGATGCTCTTGATCGTCTGCAGCTTCCCTTTGATCTCTTCCATCCGGGACAGCTTGAGTGCAGCCTCGACGGCGCTGATTCCGTGGCCCTCGGCGGCGACGAGTTTGGTGAGATGGTTCTCCATCACCAGCGTCGAGAACGGGATGGGCAACTGCAGGGCCTGGCCTCCCCAGAAGATGTCGTTGAAGCCCCACTTCGGGGCACTCAGCGCAGTCGGGAACCCCGGCTGTCCGGACTTGGTCATCAGCACGAGATGTACAGCACGCATGCACGCGTCGCCAGCGGCCCATCCCTTCCTGGGGCTGGTGTTCGGCGCTTGGCGATAGAGGCGCAGCGGATGCCCGTCGGCGATAGCCTGGCTGATCGCATCCTGCGCCTGCTCCCGCGAGAGCCCGACCAGTTTCGACAGGACGGCGCTCGTCGCGATCTTGACGAGAATGACGTGGTCCAGGCCGACTTGGTTGAACGCGTTTTTGACCTGTCAAAAGTACTGAATGAGAGGCACAGCAACGTGCGACTGGACTTCCAGCGAGACACACCTGCAGACAGCCCTGGATCTCATACGCCTTGGTCGCCAGTTCCAGCACAGTTTGCATAGTGACACGAGAATCATCTCCGCGCCGGCTCAGCCAGTCCGCGACCGGCAGTATCGCCCCGATGTTGTCCGACGGGTGTCCCCACTCCGCGCCCGGGAACGCGTCGCTGTGGTCGAGATACCGGATGAGCGAGCCCAGGTCAAACGCGCCTTTGAGGGGGTCCACGACATGCGCTGTGCCGGGGACCGGGAAGCCGTTGGGCACGACGGTGCCAGGCACAATGGGGCCGATGAACGACGCGCACGCAGGGACGCTCTCGATCGCACATGCGATGGAGTCGAGGAGCGCGATTCGGGCGGCGCGCAGGGTCGTGGGGGAGGTGACTTCAAACTCGTAGACGTAGTGTGCGATGTCCTGAATCAGACTATCGTAGGGAGGTCGCGATGCGTCAGTGGGTATGGCTTCGGTCATTGCGCGAGGAGATCCAATGCAGAATTACGTCTGTTCTCCCTCCCCTCCTTTTCAATCCCCCGTTCGGCGGTGGACAGCATATTGATGTCCACGGGTGATGTGGATGGTCTTGGGTACAGATATGATGTCAGTCCTTGTTTGGCATCGTGAATCTCCCGATCCTGGATCTGTCATATTGTGGACGATTCAAACTCATGCAGTATTCTAATCTGGTGAGACGTCCGATCACTGATTCAAGCGTTCAACCAACAAAACCCTTTGCCCTGAGTCCTGGTCCGAATCTCCAAAACAGTGCCGGTATCGGCAATGTCGCAACTGAGACGAAGGCCAAAAGGCTGGTCCCCCTGTCGTTATAGAATCAGCAGGAACAATCTCGGCGGATCTGAAATAGAGCGCACCAGCCGTAGCCCAGGTTCTCGTACAATTCCGCACCGACTATGCTGAAAATGGCGCCGAAAACACTGCGTAAAATAATCGCGGCTGCCAAAGCGGAAGCGGCATATTCAGGGAACGAGTCGACGAGATACGTTTGCACGCAGATCTGCGCGTGTGTGTGAGTAAGGATATAGAAACACCCCAAGATGTCGCACATATGCTATAAGCATGCCGAAAGCGAAGATGGCGGCGCCAAGCATTGGAAGGGCCCAGTGAGTCTGATTCTGGGCAGTCCAACCGAAAATGAACAACCCGATGGGCACAAAGACCATGCCGATCTGGTTGACATGAGCGCGTAGTAGAGCTATGTGTGCCAATCAGAACGCACCTGCATAAACAACATGCGGAACTCTGGTTTGTGTTCTCCGTACTTTCGAGACAACGCACGGTACGAGCGGTTGAGCGTGAACAAACAGAACAGCGTCGACAGTAAGCATCCCACACCTGATTCGGTCAGCCGGGACAGCGGGCATGCAAGCGGAGAAACATACCAGCTCCAAGATATGCCAGCCCCTCATTCCCGTGTTGCCAAGCGTAGGTGAAGAGCCCAAAGTGGGGAGTGGGGCCGAAGAGGAGGGGAATCGTGACGAAATGCAGATAGAGGATGCCGTAGATGAGTGCCATGTAGAGGCTCATTGCTGTGACGATGGGTGCCGTGAAGAACATTCGCACTGGCCTGGTGATGCCTTTCGCGAATCCGACGGTGGCAGCCGCAGATCTCTTGCCCTGAGCTCGAGCGGCAATATAAGGGCCATACGTTTCGCGAAGGAAGAAAATAGATATCAAGGTCGTGAATCCAGAACTGCGTCGAGACAGTCGGTTTGGATTCAGCCGACAGATATTAGACTTACGAGATGGCAATAGTCCACATCATCCACCTCCAGCCAGCGTTCTGAGCAATATAGCCCCCGATGACGCCGCCTATCGCAGGCCCAAAGGTGGGTCCGAACCCGTAGATAGCTTGGGCACCGCCTCTTTCTTCACGCTTGAACATGTCTCCAATAGATCCTCCGCCCAAAGATGGTCCTGCACTTAGGCCAGGTCAGTCAGGCAACAGGACACGGGTACATCAAGCCCACCTGCCCGCCAATCCTGCCAGGAGCCGCAGAACAATCAACCCACTCTCCGTTTTGACCAGCGCACACCCGACATTGAAGAGCGAGAACAAGCCAAACGAGATGATGTACACGTTTCTCCTCCCGTACATCTCACTCAGTGGCGCGAGGTACAGCGGGCCCAGGCCAAGTCCGAGAACAAACACCGCTACTGGCACCGCGGAAAGCGCCAAGGACGTGACGTCGAAATCCGAATCGACCTGGTGGGCACCGACCGCGAGTATGGTCGAGCACACTGGGGAGAGCGTGCCCTGGAAGGAGATGAGACAGACGTTGACCCATTTCCTGCGCTTCGGCCAGTCGTAGGGAGACTCGAAAGTCGCCTGGTCCGGCACAGCTTGATCGCCATCCTTTTCCGGGGCACGCGTCAAGGGCAGAGTGGAGGCCGAGTTGGAGACGCCTTGAGTCTTCTCAGCGCGTTCGGTGTCCATCACAAGTAGAGAGAGTCAACTGGTGTAGGGGAGTCCGACGCGCAAGGGATCCTCAGGTGGGTTGTCCCCCAGTCCAAGAAAAGTCTGGGCCCGAGGTCGGAGCCAGAGATGGTGTCGCATGCATCTGACAGTGTTCGAAATAAATCTTGAGAACGATGGAGATGCCGGTCCGCTGAGATCTGACAGTAAGTATCACCGAGATACTAAATCCTATTCGTCCAATGTTTGGTCACCGAGATGTATCACGATACTGCCGGTATAACTGGAACGATCACGTGCACGGCCAAGCACATCCAAGCCGACCATCTTGATTTCCGATCTCAGTCCTTGACCATTGGAATGGCTTGTCTCTACAATCTCCGCTACACGAACAGTCTAGTCGGGGAGATAGTGGCGGCTGAATGGAGTGATCGGTGTTCACGAACTGATTTGCGAGGTGTTCCGCCACCGGGAGCTTGTCTGTCCACTTCTATCCTCTGGCCTATGCTCGCTCACCAGCCTCAAATATCAGGTTCGGATCTTGGAGGTTTTCGGACCCACCTTCTATAGACCTCTGGCCCGGATCGCGGGCGACTTCTGTCAGTTCAATAGCCACTCTTTCGGTAGCGCAATCCCGATTCCTCAGCGCATCATTCAAATCTATGCTGTTTTAGTACGCATTCTCATGTTCACTATGTCATTGTTGTTCTCTTGATACATTGTCCATTTTCTCCTGTGTCGGCTCGATAGTGTCAATTTCCTTCACTACGTGAATTTGGTGTTTCTGCTGTGTAGCATTCATACGAGGAGGCATTGGACGCTCCGGATGTCCTAGACGGAAGTGATGCGGGGACTTTATCCTTGCATTCTTCATCGGTCAATGCCTTGAGACACTCCCTGTCTTTTTCTTATCTCAACCGCACACAGTGCATCAAGACCGAAAAGGCGCTTGTGCCTCTGTCACGATGTTCACGGACGGTCTCATTCTGAGTGTCTCTACTCTGTTTCAGTGTTCTGATTATCCAAAAGCCACCCAACGATTCATCGGGCATATGTCGTCTCTGAACAGTAGTCGCTTCCAACGATTGTTACGTTGATAACATTGCGCCCTCCATGGAGTAAGACGTGACCAGACTGTGGTTTTACCGATGGATAGGTCTCTGGGCTGCTCTGCACGGCGTTTGAGTTCGGGAGAAACTTGTTTCCGTGGCTCGTTACCAATCTCGCCGCTAGAGCCTATCGCATCCCCCTCCAACACCCATCTCACCGCCTGGTCCTGTTGCCCGTATCGCCCGCGCCATACGACAGTCGTATTCATCGGGCATCTCGACCTCGTTATCCGACAGGTTGTCACCGTTTACCGTCCCCCGCTGATCACGTTAGTTCCCGGCATAGTACCCATCCTTCGTGCGTTTCAATTGCACTTCAATCTGAGAGCACATGGCTCCGTTAACACTCTGTCATAAACCTCATCAGAGCCACCACTCGATTCGAACCAAGAATTTGATTACATATTCGATTCAGCCATGGACTGACATCGAGTGGGACCAGATCATCCGGTTGTGACTTTGAGCTTGGTCGACATGCGAAATTGATAGGCTCGGAACCAGGTTCGGGCGAGACCACTGTCAAGAAGGTGCGCAAGGATGCACTCCCTTGGATCATCAGAGACTATCACGTAGAGATTTCGATTATGTATAGTCGTCTCTGTTCAGGGCCGTTGAGCGAGCCACATCTAGACGCTAAATATAATTGATGATCTGACCACCAGATGCTCGTTCTTTTCGCCACGGTTGTCTATCATTCTACGCTGTTCACAAGTTGAGCCGCGACCCAGATGTACCAGGTTTGCACACGGCCTCTCCGTCACATTCGCTAGCATGTCTTGCCCTGAGTGCATCACCGGAGTTGTTCACGAGGGGACCCCAACGGGCACGGAGACGACAATCGGCGGTCTTTCCGCATACACTGTCGGCGAATCGACGACACAGATCATTGTTGTTGGCGTCGACGTATTTGGCTGGAAGTTCAACAACACGCGCCTCCTCGCAGACGAGTACGCGGCACATGGCTTCCGGGTAGTCATTCCCGACCTCTTCAATGGTCGGGCTTTCACCGCGCTATGCTATACTCCGTAATTTGACAACATGCGGTAGGCTTCGAGGTTCCTCAGTGGACTCTCTCTGCGCGGGACCCGACCAACGAGGCGCCGTCTTTGGTGCAGAGATTCATTGCCCGCCCTCTCTCGCTGTCTATCCTGATCCCTTTCGTCGTCCGCAACGGCCAAGCCTCTCAGACCGCTCGCATCACGCTCGTTACTGAGCAACTGCAGAAGGACTATCCCGAGGCCAAGATTGGATTCGTCGGCAAGTGATGGTCCTATGGTGAAATCCAGATGTCTGTTCTAACTGGTTGGCGTCAAGGATACTGCTGGGGTGGGCGATATGCGATTACTCTGAACAGCATGTTCGCAGCGACAGTGGCCTTGCATCCATCCCTGGTCAAGTTCCCTGCCGAGCTTGACGGAGTCACGAAACCCATCAGCTTTGGAATCGCTGAGACAGATCACAACTACGATGCGGAACGAGGGAAAGCGACACTGGCCATCCTGAAGGAGAAGGGACTGGAGGCCACGTCTGAAGTTGTGATCTATGCTGGGGTTCAACACGGCTTCACGACTAGAGGGGATCTGAATCTTCCAGAGAAGAAGGAGGCACGGGACAAAGCGGCACATCAAGTTGTGGATTGGTTCAAGAAATACCTAGTCTAGAGTCTGTTCATCTACCCATGACCATCCTGGTCTTCCATAGCCATAACTTGACCCATCTCCGCACAACGAAAACATAGTTGCCGGTGAAGCTGAGCATTAAAGCGGTGGTTGGCGAGGTCCGAGCCACGACGTCTTGCTTGGGGCTTTGGACCTTCAGCAAGAGCTCGTCCATCGTCACGCTAAGCGGTCGTTCCATAGCAAGACCCAGCGCTATCGCACAATCAGGTCCGGAAAGGCACTATATCATCCGCACGAACCTCGATCCCACACCTGTTGGGCAAGACTCCCCATCACGCGGCTGCACGCGAAGAAAGAAAGAAGAAAGTCGGCCTTCATCCCGTACGCAAACAGAATGCTCCCGCTCAGCGCATCGGCATTCGGATGGGGGTTGGTAGCCCGGCCCTTGAGCAGATCTGGGACGACTGTGCTGGCGAGTCGAATCAGATGCAAGAATGGCCGAGCCTTGGGATCAGCAGACGGATGATTGTCGAGGAAACGCTCCATGATGACAAGTCGAGGGTCAACGACCCGGAGGAGAGCATGACCGTACCCAGGAATGATCTTTCCTGCCAGCAGATGCTTGCGGGCGTAAGCAGTGATCTCGGCTTTGGATGCGTCCGGTCCCAACGCAGAGAGCATGCCCAAGTTGAAGTTCATCGAGTCTGAGATGGCCTTGGCGTGGAGGGGCCCTGTCCCCCCGATCAAGCCAGAGGCAATGGCGAGTGGAGTGTCGGCCCATGCAGACCCCACAAGACCTGGATGCCGTCAGCCGCGGAGGTCTCTGCGATGCAATCACTCACGCATCGCATGGGCCGAGACATTCGCTCCGTGATCTTGGAAAAGAGACCACGACAGTCGGATGAACTCGATGAAATCTGTGTCTTCTCCCCGACCGATTTGTCGAGCAAAGTTCTGGGCAAGATCGGCGTCAGAGAGAGTCCCCTGCCGCTCGATGCCGTGGATGTTGGTGTAAACCCGGGCGACAATGGCAGGAAACATGGCCATGAAGTCGAGCGCATCCTCAAGCGTGTGCTTCCAGATATCCTCCTTCCTCACTCCCTTGGCAAGCGCTGCAGAAAACTGGGATGATCCTGACAAGAACGCTAGAACCATTATGATCTGGGACTCTGAAGGGATTGTCCGAGGAAGCGCATCGCAGAAAGCTTCGGCTGCAGACGAGAGTTTACGAGAAGCGATATCCGCCGCAAAGGCTTTGAGCTGAGATTCGCTGGGCACCCGTGCGGTGTAGAGGAACCATGTCACAGCCTCGGGAGACATTTCAGTTGAGCCCGGCCACTTGGGCAACTCTTCGGACAGCTCCTGGATGGTCTTGCCGTGGTATTTGACCCCGAGAGCGCTTGTTTCGGAGACCTCCCACAAGATGCTCGCCAGTCCGCGCATGCCATGCATGATATTCTGCACAGAGACTTCGCCGACAATCACTTCGCGGTGCTGGATGAGAAGCTTAGCCGCCAGAGCGGCACGGTCCGGGATGCGATTCTCGATAGCTTCGACGAGAAACTATAGACGCATTAGCGAGCTCGCGTCGCGAGAAGTCAGTCACAGACTTACCATCTCGCTATGGTCTGCCATTAGAAAGTGAGTGGACACGGATGTCGATGTCTCCTTTATATCCTGGAGTCCCATTTTGGTTATCCACATTCAGCTGGATGCGTACGGACAAACAAAAGTGCCCAGCAGGCACAGTCTCGACCAATAACGATCAAAGCGGTCTGCCGTGTCGCACATATGGTAGGTGAACTGGACGTTCACCGGCTTGCATCAAGGACAAGAGATCTGTATTGAGTTTCCGAAAGCATCCTGTATCGTGCCTGATGAGAGATACCCAAGCGCTGAAGAACTAGACAGTTGTAATCAAGACTGGGAATAGATGTGGCGGTGAGATGTCAATGCTAGATTTTGACTCCCGATTAAGATTGTCCCGGCATCCTTAGAAAACAAGGGGCGAGTCGCCTTGCGGGAGCATCACGTATCGCACCGTCGCAGCAGCTGGGTTCTGATCAGTGAGAAGCCATACATACGCCGGTCACTGTTCTGTATCAGGTCCGCCCACGCATCTGCCAGCGCGCCGCCCTACAAACCGTTATGGGCCGTTTAGAACCCGATACATCTGTGATTCGAGACCCCGGGGGACGCTATCAAAAAGGGCCTCATGGGATTAGTTTTGTAGTGATGCCAGGAGGTCGAGATGACGCGAGACGGTAACCACCTTTGCCTCGGGATTGTTGTCCTTTGAGCGGCTGAAATGATAAAACTCTGAGCCGCTTCCCGAAACAGGTGAAGGCAACGGCAGATCCACACAGATGGTAGGTGTGAGACTGCCGCACAAGTAGTTACAAGTGTGAGCGGGGTGGTCGGCCCGGTGATGGGGAGTGCGTTTGCAGCGGGGAGCAAACAACGTCGACTCGATTGCAAACGGGAACTGTCAAGAATATGTATCGCATCCTGTGATGGACACACTCGAGTCGTAGTTCTGCAAGCGCACCGGCTTTTTGCAGACCTGGGGCATGCATGACTCTTGTGCGACGCCGGGCATAAGCCTCCACGGATTCTTAAAAAACGAAGGCACGCACTTTGCGTCCTGTGTATATTAGAGGTAAGTATACCCGTCTGAGTGCACGCTGTTGGGGGGGCCAAGCAGTCGCGAGCACGTGACCCTTTGCCGCGTTATTTGTCTCTACTTGCTCGATCACGGTTGAACTTGATGACCACCACCGACGCGGACAGGCTCAGTGCCGAACGCGCGCACTTCAAGAAGAGCCTGTCGAGAGCCCTCACAGAAGACGAGGACCCTCTTGCCACATACGACGCCTTTGTCAAGTGGACGGTCAAGAACTATGCCGAGAACGATCCGGCCTCTGAGCTTTTGCAACTACTTGAGGAGGCGACGGATGCGTTCCAGGGCGATTCGAACTATAAGACCGATCTCCGATATCTGAAACTATGGATCTTGAGGATACGACACCTCCCACGCGACCAAGGCATCACGAAATTCGCGTCATTGATGGCAGACAGCATTGGAGTGTCTTATTCGCTGTTCTATGAGGAGTATGCAGCGTTGTTGGAGAAGGATGGGAGGTGCGTCGTCGTCCGTGTGCATCTATGGAGACTAAAGATGTCGCAGATTCGCCGAGGCGGATGGCGTATTTCGGAAAGGGATCAAACGCAATGTGCGCGCCCTGGAACGACTGAAGACGCGATACAACGAGTTCAAAGCGCGCAAACCATCATCATCGGACTCCGATCGCACTCCCACCCAGCCCTCTCAACCTGAAGCGTCCTCCTCCGCTTCATCCGCCCCCGTCCCACCGCGGGCAACCTTTTCTGTCGACAGCTTTCTCGCCCTGCCATTGAAAGAGCGATACGCAGCCATTTTCGCCCCACCAGCCCCTGGGAAACGCCCCGAGAAGCAGATGTTTGATCTCACGTTGCTATTGAGCGACAAGGAGTACTGTATCGAGGAAGCGCGGGCCAAGTCCATGGGTCTTTACGGCAAGAGCTGGGCCCCGCCCCCACCTCCATCCCAGTTCTCATCGGCCACGCAGCCGATTCATTCCGGTGCCTCGTCGGCGGCCTCATCCTCCTCGTTGAAGGTCAACTTTAACGACGACGGCCAGAGCACTTCGCGACTGAAGAGCCGACGACGGAGCATCATGGGTGGGGCAGAGCCGACCGTCACGATCAACACGCGAGAAGCGCTGGACGATGTCTTTGGGATGTTCAACTCGCCGGAGAAGACGGCGAAACTGGCTGCTGTGGTAAAGAAGCCCGTCACACCGATGGCTCCGCCATCAATGCGAAAGCCAGCGAACGAGAACGAGAACGCACACGCCAAAACGCCTCAGTCAAGTAAGCGCTGTCTGCTTGCGCTTCCGAGTACTGAAATCAGCTCAGGTTTCCGACCGTATGTGGATGAGAACGAGAACGGGAACCAGAATCGTAAAGAGAACACACCAGCCAAGGTGCTTGATACCGTTCAAATGCTTATCCGGGTTGCTGATGCACTCCAGTTCATGCCCTTTGTCGATCCCGAAGCGAGCAAAACACCGTCGTTCACACCTCGGAATGTATTGACCCTGCGAGAAACACCGACCACAGCTAGCAACACACGTCTAACGGCATTCAAACCGCTATCTTCTAGCAAGCTCACGGTTGTCCCTGAAGATACTGGGGTGGCCTCAGAGAAAAGCGTATTCAAGGTCTTCACGCCAGCTTCCGTTCTATCAGAAAGCCAGCCGAAACCGACACCACTGCCGATGCGGGACGTTTTCACAGACGATCACGGGAAACCTTCACCCCCGAAGCCCACACACGAACGAGCCAAGTCGTATCAAGACAGCGTTCCAGCGTTCACACCGTTCGTGGACGAAAATAAGACGCCTTTCAAAGTATTCAGCCGTCCGCCAGACGCGTCAGAGAACGCCTTCACGCCAGGTGGAGGGAGTTCTGTGTTCACCCCGTTCAAAGACATTCCGCGGCCGGCACCGACGACATTCACACCATATCAGGAACCTGCCGACACACCGCCCGTAAGCACGGAGATTCCAGAGGAAGATCAGTACGAAAACGACTATCAATACGAAGATGAGGAGATGGAGGAACCGCCACAGGCCGTGGAGGTTTACGAGGAAGGCGCCGAGGATTCATATCAGGCCCCGCTCGGTGGACGGTTCGGGTCGTTCAATGTCATGACGCCGATCACAGAGCGCACCTTCGAATACACGGCCAGGTCCTCCGTTTTCAACGGGACACCCAGCCGAGGGCAGATCGAGGACGACACGCGGCGGAGCGAGCAGTTTGCTCTAGACAGTGCAGAGCGGCTGGCTGCAGAGTTGCAAGAAGAAGACGAGAAGGAGGCGGCCGAGGCCGAGACGGAGACGGAGGCGGATAACAAGTCTACGAGACTGGCTCATGCCCTGAAATCGAGCTCAATGTTCCGCCCGACGAATCCATGTAACCCGTTCGAGGAATCGGTCATGTCTGCGCTGCTTTCGCTGACGGTGCCGGACCGGTATTTCTACGATCTGGAGCACGAGGACGCGAATCTGCTCGATGCACTGCAGAAATTCACCAAACGCGGTCGGAAGAGCAGTGGGGAGGTGCTTGAAGGTGGTCGATACTCGCTCAATCTTCACGGCCATCGCTTCGGCGTCACCGACAAGCTGGGTGAAGGCGGGTTCGGCGCAGTCTTCCGAGCCAAGGATCTCGGCAACAAACAGGAAGACGATGACGAAGAGGAGGAAGACGACGAGGAAGACGACGACGACGACGAAATGTCATCCGCCGTTGCACTGAAAGTCGTACGACCGCGGAATGTCTGGGAATACCGAGTCTTGCGACGCCTGCATGCTGCCGTAGAGCCTCATCTCCGGCAATCGATTGTGCTGCCGCACGCGTTGTTTGCGTTCCGGGACGAGAGTTATCTTGCGATGGATATCTGTCCCCAGGGCACCCTTCTCAACATCGTCAACGGGGCAAATGCGGGCAGTCTGGCTCAGGCCGGCGGGACGCTCGATGAGCTCTTGGTCATGTTCTTCACGGTCGAGCTGCTGCGGGTCGTCGACGGAATGCACTCCGCCGGATTCATCCACGGCGACCTCAAGATCGACAACTGCCTGCTGCGGCTGGAAGACGTTCCCGGAGGACCCTCGGCGTGGTCGAGTATCTACAATCCCACGGGCGAAGACGGATGGCGCTGTAAAGGCATCAAGCTGATCGACTTTGGGCGGACGATTGACACGCGCCTCTTTCCCGCGGGCCAGCAGTTCGTCGGCGACTGGGAGGCGGATGCACGCGACTGCTTTGAGCTGCGGGAGAAACGTCCCTGGACGTGGCAGACGGACTACTTTGGGCTGGCGGGCGTCGTCTACTGTCTGCTTTTCGGGAAGTACATCCAGGAGAATTCGGTGGGAACGAGGAACGGCCGACGGACGATTGATACACCCTTCAAGCGATACTGGCAAGGCGAACTTTGGGAGGGTCTCTTCGACATTTTACTCAACCCGGGCCTGGTCAGGGTTGATGGGTCTCTGCCAGTATGTGCGGAGCTGGCTGCCGTGCGCGAGCAGATGGAGGGATGGCTGCAGGGCAACTGCAATCGGGCGAGCAATACACTGAAGGGTCTCCTCAAGAAGGTCGAGGTCATGTCTATCTAGCCATTTGTGCAACAAATCGGTCTTGTTTCCAGAATGCGTAACAACATACAGTAGTGACACGAATCCCAGAAAAAGAAGGCCAGATTCCGAAAACAAATGCGACAAGAAATCCTCCCATACGAATCAAGCGTGTCCACCTCCGCCCATTGGAACCTGAGAGCCGTCGTACGGGTGTCCTGTCGGCTGCTGCATCATCATTTGGTACGGCACAGCATGTGCTACTACGTCACGTGAGTATGTACCACGTGATAATTCAAGTCACACGACTTACGCTGAGGGCTTTGATGATAGTATGGATGCGCATGAGCGGGGATCGGCGTGGGCGGCATTGATGGACGATGGGCAGCACCATTGGGTGGGGGGTAGGCACCCGGGGGCGGCTGCATGTAGGCTTGTGGCGCTGCAGAATCGGATCGATCAGTAGGAGAGAACAACACACGCTAGCAACAACGTACGAGGCATCTGGCCCATCTGAGCTGACGCATACATCGCGGGGGGAGGCATACCCGGCGGGTAGGGCATGGCCTGCATGTAGGGCGCACCCATGTATGCGCCCGGCGGCCCGGGTGGAACCATCCCCGGCGGCAGCATCTGGCCGGGATAGCCATACGGCGGATACGCATAGACGTATCCCCTCGCGGCAGCCTCGTCGTCGTACCCGGCTTGCGGCGGCATCGGCATCGGCCCAGGGGGTTGCATGTGCGGAGAGGGATGCGGCGCGTGAGGTGGCGGTGCAGGCGATTGAGGGAACATGAGCATGTAACGTTTGCCGTTGTACGGCCACATGGCAGCTGCGTCCATGAGTGTAATCCTCCTTTGCATGACGCATTCAACGCACCAATTTGAGACGCTTCTACCACCTTGTTGTTCAGCTTGAACGGATTAAAGTCATCCTTAATGTGCGTCGCCGTTTTCTTCAGCACACGGGTGCCAAAGAATGCATTCGGGGTGGCAGGTTGCTCTGCCTTGGGCTTGGGCGAACCAGACGCAGAGGGCGGGCCCTACCAAAAGATAAACACGCATATAGCCACACCACAGATGTTCACTCACCACCGGGGAAAATGTCCCAGCTTTGGGATTCGGCTTGAATGAGGGCGCGTTCGCACTCAGCTTGCCCAACGCATTTGCGTTGACGGGACTGGGGGAAGCCGGGGGCAAGGCTGAGGTCGTCGCGGACGCGGTCATGCTCGGAATTTTAGCTGGTGGCACAGCTTGAGGCTGAGACGACTGCCGTGTCTTGGCCCCACGGAATGGAGGGATCGATTGAATCACCATCTTGGGCGCCTTGACTGGTGTCGCAGCAGCTGCCGGCTTGGACACTCCATTTGCAGCAATAGGAAGCTTTGCTGCAGCAGATTTGACTCCCAACGGAGCAGCAATTGGAGGAGAAACCTTGGACGAGCTGATTTTCGCTGCCAATGCTGGCCCGCCCCTGGGAGCGCCTGGTGCTGTGGTTGGAGACGACGAAGCACCGATGTTGCGCGCACCGGCCGAGGTTGCATCGCGTGTCGCCTTCTCCTTGATAGCGCGCTGCTTTTCCTCGTCCTTAGCAAGAATGGGGACCAAGTCCTCAGGGATGGGTTTGTTCAGCTAAAAATAAAACCAAGTTTGTACAAGTTAACCTGGAGAGCCACACTAGGCGCACCTTGAAATTCTTGCCGAAGCTCACCAATTCCGAAAGGCGCTTGTCCATGTCGCTCTTAACCATTGCCTGGCGCTTCTGTTGCAACCGATTCTTTTCGCTGGTCACGAAGTCACTGAAAGCAGTGACAGCAGCGGGAGTACCAGAGGTCCCAGAGGGAGCCGGCGAAGGCGAGTTGGTTAGTCCGTCAGGGCCGTTTACGGCCACTCTAGGGATCACACCATCAACTTTCCCCAATGGCCTGGCGCCAGGCGGAACATATGCGCCTGGAGCCCGCACAACAGCGCCGTACCTATTGACAGAGTAAGCCAAAGATCAACATGAATCACTGTGGCATACTTGTCTTCCTCATTCTCCCCGCTATCGTCCACGTTATTCATGGAACGCTCCTCAGCTACGTGTGGATTGTTACTCGTGGCCTGGCATTTGTTAACATCTTGGCGTTTCAGCCGCGAGGAACAGGTAGACGCACTCCCATGATTTCGTTCGCGATCTTTTGGGCTTTCCGCTCCCGCTCCTTGTAATCGGGTGCGTTGCGATCGAGCTTGGTGGTGTAAGCCTCTTCATCAAAGGTGGTCTTGACGCCGAACAGACGCTCGTTCGCGTTGAATTGGTCCCATGCGTTTTTACCAGTGGCACCAGTCCCGAACGTCTCCTCATCTGGTGGGTATCAGTCGCGTCGCTGTCAGATTGACATGAAAGCTGTCACCAGCAGTACTCGAGGTCCCAAGTGTCGAGGAGGACGCTGGATTCGTCGCGCTATCAGGCTGCCATGCCTGCAGTTCGCGTTCGCGCGGGAGAGCTTTCTTCTGCAGGTTGGTGATGTCGACATCGGTCCGGAATGCTGATTCGGGCGAGGTGAGGCGAAGATAAGTAGTCAGACGATGCGAGCGGATAGAAACACGTACAATCGCCATTGGGAACCTTCGCGTCAGCCGGGCCTGAGCTCCAAGTATCGATATTGGTCGAGGCAATGAACAGTGACTCCTTGAGGGGTCCGCCGGGATTGGTGAGATCTTTCACGTCGCGTAGAGTGACTCCTGTGGTATCCCCCTCACTACTGGTCGATCCAATCACCCCTTCGAAACGTGAAGACGTCTTTGTTAGCAGCGTTATTGTTGTGCCCTGCGGAAATGAGGAATTTTACGGTTTAGAACCGAAGGGAACGCACCGTTAACCCTGCAAGTGACTGGAGAACGCGATCCATTGAAACAGGAGGAGCGGTCGGGGCTGCGAGGGGTGGGAAGGAAGGAGCGGGGGTCTGTGTGGGATGGGGAGTGGAGGAGGGCGAGTATGTCGGCGAGGCGCGAGCGCCTGTCCACGCAGGTTGCCTAGCACTGAGGGCATACAAGGGGGTTCATGAGTTGAGATAGACCTTGATTCACGCGAATGACACACCGCGCAGGCTCTGGAGCAGGTTTCCGTTGCTGTTTTGGCGGCCTGGTAGAAGAGGCCATGGTGGAAACAGACGAACACTGATATTTGGCGCAGGGCAACGAAGGGTTAGGGTTGAGTTGTTCAGAAGTTACACTGACTGGCCAAGAGTGCTCGAGGCCACTGTAACAGATGAAGTAGGCTGCCTATTAGAACGGCGGAGAAACAAGCGCTTGCCTGTACAGCTATAGCGACACCTTTGATACCCGTCTCCGTTGCCGAAAGGTATTCCTCCAGCTCTGTTCTGCGTGTTGGCCACTGGGATTTTCCGTCTGAACATTTGGCCTTGACCATGCATTACTATTGCCTGAATCTATCGCGCACATCGTTTACTTCGCTGTTCTTTTGAAGGTGGATATCGATCACACTGTCACCTCGCTGTTTACTGGGGCCGATAGTGTTCTACTGCTCACGTTGAAAGAATCCAAACCTCAATCTCAAGTATGGCTTATGACACTTGCTAAATCTCATGGTTCTTATGGTTTAGATTTGCACAGAGCTTGAGACCAGTGTTAGAGAGATGATCAGAGTGTGGAGACAACCAGTGCAGGCATGTACTGATCGATGGGGCCTCGTTCTCAACGGAGAAGGGTTGAGCCTATGAATAACAGAATCAAGCGACGACCGGTCGTGTTGCCCGTTGCTTGCCAACCCACAATAAGGACGGATGGACTAATCGTCGCTCAGAAAACGAGGCCGACGCTGACAGAAAGGACCGGAAATCTGATCCTGACAGGAGCAATGAGCCAGAATGAGCCAAAGTGAGCCAGAATGACCATCTCCCGTGGTTCTCAGGGTGGAAGAAGTGATGCAAGCAGATGAGCCCCTTTTCGAGGCAGTGGAGCGCACAAGAGCGCACAGCCTTGATCTCACCACCCATCAATCCATCAAGGGCGTGCGTCACTTCGCTAATTATAGCCACCTGCTCGCAATCTCTATAAAAGGGGAAGTAACTCTCCACCATTGCCAGGTTTCTTCTCTCCTCCACTACTAAGCCACCTCTTTTAACCAACTCTTATATCATGGGATTTTTCTCTGAAGACTCCAAGGCTGGCCAGGCGTGGGCCGCGGTTCGTCCATATGTCCTGATCATCCGCCGTCTCTGACGCGTTCAATCTAGTTCAACGAGCCCACTACTCACAAGGGCGACATCTCCCACGAGTTGCTCGCTGGAGCTGCTTCCTTCGTTGCTGCTCGCGAGTACGAGAAGCACTGTGCTGCCAACGGCAAGCCTTCCTCGCACGCCGAGGCCAAGGCTCTGCTGTGAGTACCTACTCACGGTCATCGTTCTCATCGGCCCTCGTCTCATCGTGTTGCAGCGCTGGTTTCGCTGGTGCCTTCATCGACAAGGAGGTCGAGTCCCGCGGTCTCGACTTCGTTGACAAGGAGAAGGCCAAGAAGCACGGTGCGCAATCCACATTGCCCACAATATGCTCCTTACTGATTTCGCCATCCTAGCCCACGAGCACATCTCGGAGACTGTTGACGTCGAGGGCTACTAGATGCGCAATAAGTAAAGTGTAATCGCACAATCTGTACCACCTGGGTGTAACCAAGGACTTTTGAATTGCGAGATCGTGTGCCAGCAGATAGGGCGATCGATTAGGTGCCACAACGGTCAGATGATTTGTGCATGACATTCGTAATGGAAATTTCCGTTTGATCATGAGAATGGTTGGCAAGTCAAGCACGTTTGTGTTAGGGCTAAATCAAAGCTTGGCTTGGATCTTTGGCTCCTCTGACACTTTCACCACTCTTTTCCATACGTCAGTGGAGTCTCCCAAAAAGTACGACTGTACGCACAATTTCCCTGTGTTTCCGCCGCTGAAGAGCATCGGCAGCGCCAAAGGCGCCTGCTCCAGGCCCTCGACGATATGGAACTTGCGCTTGATTGTCCCATCAGCGAGGCCTCTCGCGAGTTCATCGATGGCGGCCGGGAATTCCGTGACATAATCCAAGCTGGATGAAATTAACGACTGTATGCAGGACAGATAGAAGCACACAAACATGATGAATCCCTGGATTTTGGCCCGCATCGAAATAAGCGTTTGATAGTTCTGCAGACCTTTTGGCTTGACGGCATCTATCATGGTCTTCTAGGCTTCAAGCAGACATCGCAGAATTGAATACACACTATATTGTGAAATTGCGCCTAGGTAAATGTCAGCGAAAGCATCGCGCACTGAGACATAGATAAGACTGACCACAAAGTGCGATCCTAGCACCCTGTAAAAAGGCTGATGAGTGGAGGTATACACACTTTTTTACGCGGCGACTGACCTTATTCAACCGAGTCAAGACCAGGTCGAGAATATCTCCTCCGACATTGTCAAAGTAAACGTCCCAAAACCCGACCGCACGCAGGTCCTTGTTGAAGCTAGGGCTCTTGTAGTTGAATGCTTTGACCACCCCGATCTCCTTTTCCAGCCAGCGGCACTTGTCTTCCGCCCCAGCAATGGCGTAGACTTCAGCGCCTGCGCGCTTTCCGAGCTGGCATGCGAGAGTGCCTACGGATCCTGCAGCACCCGAGACGAGCATCTTCTCCCCCGGTTTGATATCACAGATATCTCGGATGCCAAAGTACGCAGTGAGACCGGATGTACCGAGAGTGTTGAGGAAGTCAAGAGTCTGGACGCCCTTGGGCACCCTGTCGCGGCAATCAGGCGGTGTTCACGGGTCGACGAAGCGCCACACGCACGTTATCTTCTCGACCTGCTTGTCCTTCATGACCGCAAACTCCGTCCACCCAAAGGCTCCCGAGACAACGTCTCCGACTTTGAACGCGCTTGAAGCGCCGACTTTGGTGACCACGCCCAGCCCCTGGGCGCGCATCGTCTCCCCAATCTGCACGGGAGGCAGATAGCTGCGCGCATCGCGAATGTAGCCGCGCATAGCGGGGTCAAGACTCAGCCATGTCACTTGCACCAGAATCTGGTCGTCCTTGGGGACGAGCGAGGACAGCGACTGCGTCTCGGCGCGGAACGTATCAGGCTGGATGTCGGCGACCGGCCGCGACGCGAGGACGATCCGTTTGTAACCTGTGAAGAGAGTGAGGACATGTCAAGCAGTTGAGCAGACTCCGACTCACTCATTGCTGGAAACAGGAAGAGTCAAGTTTGAGAGTATAAGAGGTGAGCTTGACAGGAATCTGGGGTCGGCGAAATGACCTCCGAGATGGTGACCGGACCGGTCACCTTATAACCGACATAAATGACGTGCGCTTTGCCTGTGAAATACTTACGTTCGTCTCTCTCACTGCTCGATGTCTTCACACAGATGGAGAAACATCTCTAAACAGCATGAATGTCAGACTACGAATCGTGGGGTTGCTCTTCAGCGGCACGAGCCAGCACTGGCTGAAGGACTTGTTGGTAGAATTCGAAGATCAATTTCGATCTGATCGTATTACGTGGCGGATGATACGCGCGGTCACGTGTGACAGGTTCATCTTGAACTTTGCCTCGATTGCACCGCGTCCAGTCGCTAATCTGGCCCGACAACGGCAGCTGGCCCCTCCACATGGAGTCCAAGACCTCCCGCACATACTTTTCTGCCTCCCGCTCGCACTATGACATCCTAGGAGTGAGCAGCAGAGCCTCACCAGAAGAAAGTAGGTCTAGGTATCCAAACCCAATGCCTCATCGCTCACATGGCCTCAGTTCGGCGTGCGTACAAGGCCAAGGCTCTGGAAACACATCCCGATAAACTCGAGCCGACAGCTTCTCCCGAGGAGAAGCAAAGGTCGGAGGCACGTTTTCATCGCGTGCAGCAGGCGTTCGAAGTACTTCGTGACAGCGCGAAACGAAGAGTAGGCGGCTTTACTTCCTATTGAGCCACTCTAATGGCATGATTTCAGGCGTACGATGCGGAACGTGGTTTTCGGCCTCCGCCCGCGCGATCCCAGACTGCTCCACCCACGTTTGAAGATCGCAAGCTCAGCGAAGCTTATCGTGCGCGCATGGCTGATCGCGCGGCATGGGCAGCCCGTCAACGTGAAGAGTGCTATGAGAAGATTCGGGAACTGCGAGAACGAGAAGCGGCGGCGCGTGAAGCCCAGAAGAAACGTGAAATGAATCCAGAAAGTGACCATCGGCAATTGGTCAACCGCATACTTGCAGAGTTGTATGAGAGGAATCCAGAGTGGAAAGATCGTAGAGAGAAAGTTGGTGTCAAAGTGAGTATCTCGGAAGGACTTTGCTATTGAAGTTGAACAGTCGGCTTTGCAGCGCCAGGAACCCACGAACACAACTAACCCACATTCTCCTCCACCCGTCCCTTCTTGAACCTCCCTATGATTGCGTTATTATGCGCCCACTGAGTTATCTCGTTTTTATTGGCGGCTTCCATTATGTTGTGAGCTTGTTGTACTTATGTCCCGTCCGTGAGCTGTTGTCTATGTGTCGAACGCTCTTTCTTCATGTCGTGATATTGACTCTTCCGCTGATATACTTCCTTGATATCACCTCTCCTCCATTACACGTAAGCTAGTCAACCGACTTTTCGCAATGTGACCTATGTGCGATACCGCCCGGTCCAGCTCCGACCTCCAAATAGGGTCGCCTGCTGTGATGGCAATGATCTCTTCGAGGGGAGGAGAATGTGGGTCAAGTGAATGTGGAATCCCCAGCGCATCCTCCATTTCATGTGCCACCTCAGCCCTACTGCGCCCATTGACGAACGTTATATACCGCAGTGACGGGTATCTCCGCTCATAGCACATGTTGAGGTGCGCAAGGCGTGCAAGGACCTCGGGCGGCGTCGCTCTGGCCGCCTGCTCCTTTGCGCTGAGATGGGAGAGGTTCTGCGTCTCCCCGATGCGCGGATGGCCGGCGATGAACTGGGCGCGGAGCGCGTCGTCCCAAGAGGACAGCTCGGCTAACGACGCATCGATGAGATCCTCATACGACGCCCACGGCTGGGATCGGGTGGCGAGGGCCGGCGCGAGGGTTTCCTGGAGGATCTCAGACGGCTCGAAGAGCGTGTCCAATGCCCGCGTCGTCTGCGATACATCGGACAGCGCGGCTAGCGGTGGGAGCGTTGTCATTGCTGTCGGCGGCGGCGGGTCCGGAAAACCTTGGAAGGCGTGGCGGTGCACTCGCAGACATGTGATATTTCCGAGTCCATCATGCGATCCGAGTCCATCCTTTTCTCTTCCCTAGACTCCGCGACGCTTCGCCGTGAGCAGACCCCAGACCCGCGTCGTTGTCGTAATCTGATTCTTCCTTGTTGTATATTGCAGCCCTAGACTTCCGCTGCGACTGTCTGTGCCAATGCCCAACCATGTATTGCGGCAGCTTCAGCTACTCGTGCCCGGTGCAGCCTTGACGTACTATCTCGAAACGCCAGACCACCTACTAGCGACGCTCTCGAGCAGGGGATGGGGAAGGTGCGTCGGGTGCATGTTCTGGTCGCTGCTGGGGGCTCATCGGCTAGCAGAACCGCTGCGTTGGCGAGCCTGGGACTCGAGGCGCTCACGATCGTTCTGTTCGTGTACATCTTCCTAACGCCGTGGATTCACGGCGAATCACCCAACGTGCGTCATCTCATCTCCAGACACCTTCTGCTGTGCAGCGTTCTCATCACCATCATCACCCTCGCGCGGCAGTTCCGTTCCTGGCGAGCCTCCGGGGTGCTGTCGTCCGTTATTCCTGTGCGTCCGTGATGGAAGCCCTTCTCTTCCGCGTCCCCCGCGCACCGACGCACGCACCCACAGATCCTCACGTTCTCGATTGTGACCGGGTGGCTGGGCATGGTGGCGACGCTGGGACAGACGAGCATGGGGTACCCCCGCGCCGTCGTGGGCAGTACGTGTCGGCCCCCGGCCTCCAATCCAATCACCCTGATCAGCTTCTCACGCCGCGTCGACAGCTTCTGCGATCTACGCCGCCACCTTTGGCCTGCTTGGCCTCATCCCTGCACCGAGTTTCCGGCGTTCAAGTCAATCGCGGAGACCGGACTAGCAGGCTGCGCGCATTTGATATTTATGTAGCAGTTGCTGCCTCGTGAGGGTGCAGCAACATCTTGAGTCGCCCGGGAGTGCCAGTGGTCGGGCTGAACCGCAGGTCCTCGACAGCAGGCAAGAAGATACTGTGATACAGTCTCTGACACACAAGATGGGATGCATGGGCGATGTATACCACAGTCTGATGTCATATAGATACAACCCATGAGAGATAAAGAAGTACAAGATCCCCGATCTCACATCGATTGTCTCGCTCCCCAGCTTCAAAGCCCGATGCGATGTCACCAATTTGCAAGACACGGCCATCAAAAGACATGCTAAAGTGTTGACGTCGTTTCAACTGAGAAAAGTCTACTGCAGAAAGAACAAGGCAGCTATGGGTTACATTCACGCATCGCACTCAGATGGATTTGAATAAAGCGCCTCTGGGCTTCCTCAACGACTCTGCAAACCCCAAAAACGTCTCCGCAAGCCTGACCGTGTCCAGCGCAACCGAATACGACGAATCCACAACAGCCGCAGCCGGCATCAGCGGGTTGCTTACCGGGGCATTGCGCTGTACCTCGAGCGCCAGCTGCGCCATGCGGCGCAGGGTCGCCGATTGCGAGTCGCGCCCAAACGACACGGAGTGGAACGACAGCGGCCGCCCGAGCGCCAC